AGCTCTCGGTAAGGAAGAAGATGTCAGAACAAGTGTTCTTTCTCACCTCCCGTTGGCCAAGGCAGTTGGAGTGGAGTTGTACTGGCAGTGGCAGTTGCGCTGGTGGTGGTGGCAGTGGTAGTAGTGGCAGGCCACGAGGAGGAGGCTCGCAGGAGCAGTAGCTGAACAGCTCGAGTTGCCGCCGTCACAACATGTTGGGAGCGGAGCTCTCAAGGTTAACGTCGAAGACTCGCAATGCCTTTTGCTGAGCTGGAACGACACCGAGTCCAGGACCAAAGCGACAGGCGACATTTTTGACTGTCAATGCATCATGACGGGCAGCCTCTGCGAAAGGCGCTGAATGCTGAATGGTGACACCCCAGTGCAGAAGTCTAAAGAACAGGAGCTGCCCTGGTCATACCTTGGTGTGCACAAGGCATGCAGTCGTGTGAAGTACGCCATATCACTTGTCGATGATTGTCGATGTGTGGCCGCACTGTGCTAGTGATGGAGTGGCCAAAATTGGCAAATTAGCCGCCGTATGCGAGCATTCCACAGTCCTGTCTGAACTCGCGATCTTCGACGCTGCAAGCACAGCTCGTGGATTTAATGTCATTTTGAAGCTCCTTTTGCCTGAGCAACGTTGCTTAGTTTCTGCAGCAACTCCCACATACAAGTGAACCGTGTGATCGGCACCAAAAGCCCAATCAATTTGCTTTTGCAACGCACCCACCAGGCTGCAAATTCACAGCATGTGCACAAGCAGGCGCTCCGCGGAATTCCGTGGAGACAGGCCTAGTATAGAGAAGGCAACCCGTGCGCCGCGACCAAACCGAGAATCTTTATCTCTTCCTTCAACGTTCCGCTTGAGACATCCAGATTCGTTGTGCGGCCAAACTCGGAGTTGTTATGTGTTCGGCGGGCATTGCGCCCCGAGCGCAGCTCATGTCTTTGTAACGAAAAGACGTGTCGTGGCAATGTGCCATGTGCGGTGGCTTCAGAATTGCACTGTCGCTCTGAGGAGCTGCGGCACATCATCGCAGCCGTGCGGCGACGATGGCAGGAGTTTTGCTCTGCGGCTGCTCGGCCTGAGAGAACAGGAGTTCGGATGTAGGGTGCCATCTGCATTTCTGCGCAACAGTCGTTTTCGGAGCAGTCCCACAGCCTCGTCATCCCCGAACCTAGGCAAAGCCACAACTGTCTCAGTGTGGCACGGACAGGTTAACAAGCCTACAAGGACGACATGCCGACTCGCTTTCTGGCTGAGAAACCTTTGGCGTAGTTGGTTTTTCCGTACCTGCAAGCTCCCACACGAAGCTGATCGACATACTTTGCTACATATGTGAGAACGAAAGCAGGTACCACCCGCCTGCCAAGGCAAGCGCTTCTGGACAATCATTGCTGGGTCAACTTTGCCCAGCCAACGCGAAAGCTTCATCTGGCACCATATGCCATCACACTGTCTGTGCAACAAGCTCCCACAAAAAAAAAACTCGCCTCGGCGCCATGATGCTTGCTGCTTGTGGCTTGTGGCTCGCAACCAGTCACCGAATGTGCTCAGCAAACAAAGGTCTCCTACATGAGCACTAGCGACAGTTTGCAGTCACGCTAGCTGTGAACATGAAATTTCTACTGAAAGCATCGCGCAAACGGACGTCGGCTTAGCCGGTTTTGGCTTGCTTGCCCATCAGCTGCTCCCAAGCAACGCTTTGCAGCATGCTGCAGCCTGGACATGCCGGGACTGAGTGAAGCAAGTGCCGCTGTATTTTCATGATTCAGATACGGAAGAACGCCTTCATCAAAGCAATGGGTTCGAGACGACTATGGCTACTAAATACTCACTGAAATCTAGCGATGCAGGAAATTACCCAAGGTCCAAGCCGGAGAAAGAGTGCGTGCAACCTCTTGAGAAGTCCAATTAGCTTTGCAGAGGTAGAAGCAGAGTCTTTGCTTTTTTTTTCTGTGCGGTCGTTGCAAATTTTGAGGGTAGCCTCAGGTCTTCTCACTCTTCCATCATCTTCGCCTGGGCGGCAGCGATTTTGGCGGCGACCTTGGCCCTGCGCTGCTCGAGCGAAATCTTGCGGCTGCGGGTGTGCTCAGTGCCGTCCGAAGCCTTCATGGTGTCCCCATCCTGCGTATAGCTGATGTCTTTCTTTTCTGCCTTCTCTCCGTCGGGATCCTCACGAATCTTCTCGTGCGCCTCTGTGTACATGTCCTCCATCTTCTCGGCATCGATACCATTCTCTATGTACTTGGAGAAATGAGCTTCGTACTTTGTCGGATCTTCCTCCTGCAGCATTTCCATGTACTCCTTCACCTTGCATTGGACACGAAGACAACGTCCATGTTATGGAACTTGAATTTCGGGGGGAATGCGTCCATACAAACGCTCGCGTATACCCGGTAGGTACGCGAGTACGTAACTACGTACATCAGCTGCATGGGCATGCACGTAGGGAGCATGTATGTATGAGGCATGTTTTCATGTCCGGGAACAGGATGGAACAGGTACCAGTACACAAGTATGTAGTCATGTCCTGCATGTGAGGCTGCAGGTCAAAATTGTGGGGAGGGGGGGTGGGCGTACGCTCGTACAAACCTTTGTACGTACGTGCCCCCTTCCGCCTGCGTACCTTGAATTCCTTATGATAGGCTTCCTGCAGCATGCACTACACGCAATCTAAGCCTCGGGCATGGCTGCCGAAAATCTTCTCCTTGTGAGCCTCAGCATCGTACTCGGACTCGCCGCCCTTCTCATCTGCTGCTTTGAAGCCCGGGAAGTTCTTGCTGTTGTGAGGGACGTGAAGACCACCATCAACTGCACCCTTCAGCGCTCCCCACATTCGATGGCCCACGCAAGTTCGGCGGATCCCGACGTCCAGAATGCACTTGAAGGGCCGCTGCTCGTTTTCTTCATCTTCGATGTGGTACTCCTCACCATCGAGCTCTTCCTTTCCCTTGAACTTCTCATCCAAGCCGAACCGCTTCAGGACTCGTCGGGCCAACAGGAGCCCGGTGGCATAAGCCGCCGCATAGTTCTTATGGCCGGCAGGGATGCCAAAGCCAGCGAGCTCGTTGGAAGAAGCTGCTGCAACCACAACATCCCCCCTCAGAGTCGCATACGCACACTGGCAGATGCACCGTCTGTTGGAAAAACGAACCACCAAGCGATACTTCCGATTGTTGAACTTATTCTTGTCCTGGCGAACCATCTTCCTGCGAGCATGGTAGTCCGTCTTCCCCTCCCGCCGCCGCCGCCGTGCCACCTGGAACCTCTTGAAGTAGGCCGCATTCTTCAGCACCTTCACAAACGCCATGGCCTATTGTTTCGATCGATCAGGGGATCGCACAGACCCTCCAGAGCCAAACATGCCAAGCCAAACGAGATTGCGGAACAACGTATGCATTTGGCAATGCGAGCTGCAACAGAAGCGGCTGCAAAGCAACTGGCCAAAACGCTTGATACATCCCAAAAAAGGCATGGGCGACTGCTACCAGTACTTGCTGTGCTGCTCTTCTTGCCAGCCTCCTACACACACGAACAAGCTCGTTTGCGATCCGATGGTATTTTTGCGCGTTCTACTGGCAACGCAGTCTTCTCACTCTTCCATCATCTTCGCCTGGGCGGCAGCGATTTTGGCGGCGACCTTGGCCCTGCGCTGCTCGAGCGAAATCTTGCGGCTGCGGGTGTGCTCAGTGCCGTCCGAAGCCTTCATGGTGTCCCCATCCTGCGTATAGCTGATGTCTTTCTTTTCTGCCTTCTCTCCGTCGGGATCCTCGCGAATCTTCTCGTGCGCCTCTGTGTACATGTCCTCCATCTTCTCGGCATCGATACCATTCTCTATGTACTTGGAGAAATGAGCTTCGTACTTCGTCGGATCTTCCTCCTGCAGCATTTCCATGTACTCCTTCACCTTGCATTGGACACGAAGACAACGTCCATGTTATGGAACTTGAATTTCGGGGGGAATGCGTCCATACAAACGCTCGTGTATACCCGGTAGGTATGCAAGTACGTACCTACGTACATCAGCTGCATGGGCATGCACGTAGGGAGGCATGTATGTATGTATGTATGTGTGTGCAGGTATGTATTCATGTCCGGGAACAGGATGGAACAGGTACCAGTACATAAGTATGTAGTCATGTCCTGCATGTGAGGCTGCAGGTCAAAATTGTGGGGAGGGGGGGTGGGCGTACGCTCGTACAAACCTTTGTATGTACGTGCCCCCTTCCGCCTGCGTACCTTGAATTCCTTATGATAGGCTTCCTGCAGCATGCACTACACGCAATCTAAGCCTCGGGCATGGCTGCCGAAAATCTTCTCCTTGTGAGCCTCAGCATCGTACTCGGACTCGCCGCCCTTCTCATCTGCTGCTTTGAAGCCCGGGAAGTTCTTGCTGTTGTGAGGGACGTGAAGACCACCATCAACTGCACCCTTCAGCGCTCCCCACATTCGATGGCCCACGCAAGTTCGGCGGATCCCGACGTCCAGAATGCACTTGAAGGGCCGCTGCTCGTTTTCTTCATCTTCGATGTGGTACTCCTCACCATCGAGCTCTTCCTTTCCCTTGAACTTCTCATCCAAGCCGAACCGCTTCAGGACTCGTCGGGCCAACAGGAGCCCGGTGGCATAAGCCGCCGCATAGTTCTTATGGCCGGCAGGGATGCCAAAGCCAGCGAGCTCGTTGGAAGAAGCTGCTGCAACCACAACATCCCCCCTCAGAGTCGCATACGCACACTGGCAGATGCACCGTCTGTTGGAAAAACGAACCACCAAGCGATACTTCCGATTGTTGAACTTATTCTTGTCCTGGCGAACCATCTTCCTGCGAGCATGGTAGTCCGTCTTCCCCTCCCGCCGCCGCCGCCGTGCCACCTGGAACCTCTTGAAGTAGGCCGCATTCTTCAGCACCTTCACAAACGCCATGGCCCACAACAAGATCTAGCAATTCCGTAGCCAATGCTCGCGAGCTGATTGAAAGAGCTTTGATGCCGCTGTGTTTCATGGTCTCGAAATGTCACACAGCAAATGCATCAGCTGACGGCAAAGACATGTTTTCCTCGGGTATTGGAGCACCGCTCTCGCTGCCGACGGCAGCCATCGGCTGTGCCTACGTGGTGTTTTGGCAATCCCTCCCGCCGAATTTGAGAAGCCTTGGCCAAACTAAGCTAGTTGCGAGAGTCAGTGGACAGCAGCACTCCGGCAGTTGTGCGAAGGCATCCATCTTAGAGACCTCCACTTCAAACCTGTCTTGCAGCATGCGCACATGGGCTGGAGCATACTTTAAACGAAGAATTGCTGCATTTCAGCTCCAAGCGCATCTACACCCTTCATCTCGCTCAGGAAAACAAGTCTCTGCCTGGACTCGTTTGTTCAGTTGTGGAATGCAAAGTGCAAAGACCGGAGCTTCAAGCTTGAGGCTGACACTTGCGAGACCAATGCACAAAAGGCTCGACGGAGTGAAACTTTGTCCTTGCTGCGAATCGAAGGTCTGTGAGACAAGCAAGCGACACTGCAGACACGCCTTGACGATCGATAGGTTTCAGAGGTTGCAGCCTCCTTGAACCAAGCATACCTCGCTCCCAAGGCACTGAAGTCCAAGCACGAGTTCGCTTGTTTCGAGAACAGCCATAGGTCAGCCGCGTCGGGTAGTGAACCAGCGCGGTGTTGTCCTGAACATCGTAGCGCGGGGTCACAAGATGTCACAACCACCGACTTCTGGTCACAGCTGCTGTAGATCGCTTGGTTCAAAAAAACTTTTCGAGGGGGAGCATGCGAATTCCAGATCTGACGCAAGTCTGAAAATTGCAGCTTTTGAACATGCTTCTGGATTCGGGCTGGAGCGGGAAGAATCAGTGAGTCGGGCTGCATAGGGAGACGAAACTGCAGGAGTCGCTTGCGCAGTCCTCAGAGCATCCGATACGTCGCCGTTTCGTTGGGCGGCCAGAGACTGAGGTCTCAGTGGACGCCAGCCAGCGAATCAACGCCTCTGAGCAGGGCCAGGGCTCTTTAAGAGACTCCTTCGATTCCAAAAAAGCGGCAGCCTCTTCAGATTGGAGAATCTGCAAGACAGCTTGCAGCATGTCCTTCCAAACACCAGGAGGCAACGGTTAAGTCGCGTTGTCATCATCTACTGCAAGATCGACTACGGTGTAAGCGACACACGACAGCATTCAGCGAGGGAAGCAAACAAAGCCTTCGGAACCTCGCAAACAGAAAGAGGGTGGCTTTGACACGACTTGTGAACGAACCACTTCTGTGCAGAGAACGCAGACATTGAACAAACATCCGACTTGCATCAGGCGATGTCAAGAATGCATTCAAGGACTTCCACCACTGAGGTCTTCGATGTGCAGCCGTATGGTTCAATGTAGGTGTGCTTACCAGTGAAAACATGGATGCACCAACGAAACTTGTGCAAGGCCAAACGGGCGGCCTGGTGTTCCAAGCCCAACCGAAGGCTAAGCCGTGAGATTGGAGCACGTCTCGAGCTGCAGAGGCTACTGAAAAGAAGAAGTGAGGAGTGAGGTTGAAAGCTTCAAGATGCTTCAAGAACGCGACGCACGATGGGGAGCACACGACATGATAGCAGAAGTGAGGCGAAGCACTGTCGAAGCAAAGCGGACTCCCGAGGTTTTCCGGATGTCACGGAATGTGATAACAAAGCATCTTCTGAATTACTGAAGGCGGAGCAGACACGCATGTCACTATATGTCACTGACCCAGACGCCATGCCGCGCCGAGTTCGCGCCCGTCCAGACAGTTTTCTTTCTAGGTGCTGCTCAGGCTAGCCGACTGGGCGAAATGCAACGTGGACAAGTAGCAAGCACTAGGCTCCTGCGCCGTCAGCTTCTTACAGAGTGGGGACACCTCGGAAACTGCGAAGACAGCGCAGCGCAACAGCGCCGAAGCGCATCGCTTTAGATTTGGGCCGCTTGGGCCCAGGCCCAGCTGGTGGTGGCCTGTGCCACATCGCTGCATGCTTCTCAAATCAACTTTTTTTGTGTGTGTGTGTGCGTAAAACCCACGCCCGACGCCCCCTCTGCCTGCAGATCATTCCTGCGCACGTGGTCACTTCGAAGCCCTTGTCGCTGTCCAGTGTGCCTCTGTCCAAAGCAACGTCGTTTGAGAGGACCGGGAAAATGGTGGCCCTGTGGCACCCTGCCCGATGAGAATGTCGTAGAAGCCAGATGTCTTGCTGGAAATCGACCTTGGTTTTGGCGGCTCCGATCGCTGCAGCGATGCTGGCATGATCCGCCATAACTGAGCCTTCTTGGCAGGCTGACCAAGTCTGATGTTTTGGTACCTGTCTGCAGAACAAGATGGGCAGGTGCCCTGTGGAAAGTGCTGGGGGTCCACTCGGCATATCAGTGGCGGCCCAGACAATGCTTAGACCAGCAGTAGACACCTCACAATATCTTTAAGCTCCCCAATGGCAGAGTGTCCGATGACCAGTGCCTTGCAATCAGCATCGATTGCTTCTGCTGCCTGGACATCAAGAGCAGGGAGGATCTACTCCACGCGGACAGCGCAATCGAAAGGCTGAGGGCGAGTGAGGAAGCCAGCATTAGCCACACTGGCACTGTAGCAATTGTCCAGATGTGAGAAACTAGAGGAAGGCGGATCTTGCAGCGATGCATGGTAGACACATCGTGCATGCCATGCAATGCCATCAATGGCAGTGCATGGATGCAAGCCAAACGCGAGTAACAAGCTGTTGCGGATTCGCAAGCGGCTTCTAGCTGCTATGGAGAAGTTCCTCTAGTTTGTTGTGGGTCCCAAGATCAAACCAAACAAGCCGCGCGACCAAAAAACGGAAGGGGGAGGCGCACCTTGCCATGCCTGTCCAAACTTCTCTAGCGATCTCTGGCATACTCGAAAAGTGTGAACTGAGGAGTACAGAAAAATGATGAATGTGCTCGGAAACATCGCTCAAGAGGTCAATGAGTGGCATCCATTTTCATCTACTATCAGAAAGACACTGTCCACTTCAACCTGTTGGTTTGCAAACCTTTGGGGCTACTCAGGCCCTCCACAGGTTGGGACTACGGTGCTTTCGAGATTGGACATGAGTGGACGGTCATGAAGATGTCGTTGGAAGACATCGTAGCACTGTCGCAGTAGCCCCAATCCCGGTAGCTCACACATGGAAGGTCCTGAATGTTCAAAACCCAGCTGCCCGCCTCCCTGGAGGATTGAAACGGAACGTGCGTGTAGCAGAACCTGGAGAGTAAATGGTCCGGCGACGTCTTCGTGAAAACTACGTGGAAACATGCCAGGCAGACAGAGGTGCGTGGGCCGAAGTTGAAGGCGAAGCTGCGCGGTCGAACAAAGCATCCCTGACGAAGCCTGTGCCGGCCAGGGGTCCATCTACAGTTCCCGCAGATTCATCCTGCCTTCATCGAATAAGGCACCTCCGATCACAACCGACTGCATGTATATTGGTGCCTGTCTGCATGGTAGCAAGTCATCATCGACGACTGCAGTTTTCCAGTGCTTGTGCTTTGCTGTGCTCGTGGAGGAAGCACGAAGCCATGCAGAGGAAAAGCATCCACTGGCTTCATGTAGACCCGCCAGCCACTATTGGGCTCGTGCTGCCGATTGAAACGAGGGCTATGCATCTGCTCCTGCTACCCTGCCAACAACATTACAGCTGCATGCGGTGTTGTCACGATCGTGGGGCAGAGATTGTAATTTCGTTTCGAAGCTTTCGTGCCTTCGACATTGACTGCGAACTGAACCTGTCAGCGCTGCATTGGCTGAGCTTTGCTCTCGAGCTCGTCCAAACCACACTTCGAGTTCTGTGTCCTTCGAGTAAGCGATGTGGCTTTTGCCGGTTCTCAGATGCATGACCTTCAAAAGCAACTTGTCAAGGTTTTCCTGCTTGGGTCTCTGCTGGCAGCAGCAGTGTATTCCGGAGACAACCAGGTGCGCACAAGCTATCACGCTACCAATGAATGCTGCATCAGGCCTCGATCAGTCTCGAAAGCAAGGCGCCCTGCAAGCAGCGCTCATCAGCATGATGTGAAATGTCTTCTGTCTGTCCGATACACAAAGAGGCAAAAAATGCGATACCGACTGCAGCGGCAACTTTTGGGTCTCGATTGGACGAATAGTGCGAGCACAGCCGCTTCTTGCGGCGTGACAGCTGTTCCTGTCAGCAGGACGGAGCTGCTTTGCAAGCATCGGTGCCGCGGACAGCATGTTTTGTCTAGGAGCCCGGCAAGAATCAAAGACCTTGTCTTGGTGTCAAAAGCAGTGAATGCTACCGTTACCGACAGCAACCCCTGTGATGCCTAGGTCTTTGCAAGCGAGCCGCCCGCACGGCGGCCGAGATCGGAGCGCGACACACAGGGCACCCGAGTCCTTCATCGCCCAGCTCTCCAGGTCTGCAATGTTCGACAACGACAAGCTAAGGTCTGAAGTCGCACGACGAGGCGGCATCTTCCTCGTAGTCGAACTTGCTCGGCACAGCTGAAGCACATAGCCTGCACCAGTGTGTCGACACACTTGAAGTCGTAGTAGTAGTAGTAGTAGTAGTAGTAGTAGTAGTAGTAGTAGTAGTAGTAGTAGTAGCAGAAGTAGTAGGAGTAGGAGTAGAGGCAGAGGCAGTCGCGGTAGTAGTCGTCGTAGCAGCAGCAGCAGCAGCAGTAGTAGTAGTAGTAGTAGCAGTAGTAGTAGTAGTAGTAGTAGTAGTAATTTGCATGCTCCGACAGGGGGAATGGGGGTCGGGGGTGGGGGAGGGTACGGGTAACGATGACTTTCTTGTTTCGTACTTCCTCGTCGTGACGTTCTTCTTTATTTCCGGCTTTGCGTATTCTTGTCTTATTAGGGGTGGAGGGGCGGGTCAGGGGAGGGCTAATGACGTTCTTGTTTCGTGTTTCCTCGTGAGTTATGTACGAATTGCTGGGCTGCCAGTACTTTCGGCACGACTTGAAGCCCTCCATCATTCATTCAGAAGCATTCCCATGATAAACTTCCAAGTGGTCGCCGCGCATGCCACTAAATAGAACGTTACATTCTGAAGCAAACTGAACTAAACCTTCGTATGCCGGCTTGCTTGTAAAGACTAACGCTGGCACTCTCAAACCTTAAAGTAGTCCTCAAAGTCACCGTTGGCTTCTACGCCGGTGTAAGCAGCCAAAACATATCATTCCAAACAGTCCCACTTAGCCACTTAGGCTTCAGCCTGAGACCCTCAACACCCATGACATCTCCAGGCCGTAATTCGCTCTTGCCAGGGAGCTATTCGGCTATGCTAGCCATGTTCACGGACGGTTTCGCTTGGTCCAAGTCTACTTATTCCTCAGTTTGCTGTGATTTCAGCATGTCTTGGATGGATCATCGCATGTCTCAATCTCGCTACAAGCATCCTGAGCTTTACCCACCACGCAAAGCCGTCCCTATGGCATGACTTGCTGCTTCGGGTTTAGGTGTTTCAGTCCGAAGCTGGGTTCTGACTGCCGTCACTCCTGGAATTCTGAGATTTGTACTCCTTGCAACCACGTCTGAGGTTGACGCTTGCACGATCCTCCACACGAACGCTTTCGAGCAAGACTTGGAAAGGAGATGGTGATATTTCGCCACGAATACCGACCGGCACTTCGCAAAAAACACACACTCTCTGTCGCGACCTTCTTGAAGAAGACTTCAGGTGCTTTGTAGCGCTGTCGCAATTGGAGCATTTCAAGCAAGACAGTGGATGATGTGTCGTGGTTCATGTTGCATGATGTTGCATAGTGCTTCATCACAGTCTCGAGGTCCAGCCCCGATGGACACAGCCAGAACAAGAACTTGGACAAAAGCTTCAGCTCCAACGGAAAGGACATCATGAAGGATAAGAAAACACCTGCAAAACAGATATGCCTGGAAAGGACCAGCTTATGGAACAGCATATGAACAAGATTGAACAGGTCCTAGCGTTTGTTGGTTCTTTCCTCAGCCCGGGTGTCATGACAATGCACTGAAACGATATGCACTTCTGCATGTGGCGAATTGCAGATGAGTGGTTTGCTGATGATTCTGGGATCTCGTTGCTGGAGCTGTGGATGACTTCCAGGCAACGCGCAAGACACCAAAAAGACGCTACGAATCATCCTTGGGCTCCCCCAGCACAGACTTCTGCAGAACGATGTTTCGGCCTTGACCACTAAACGATCCTCAGCGACTTCAGATAACACCGAGAGCATCAGTGCCAAAAGCATCCCCAAGCTTCGGCACTTCTACTAGCAGTACTTTAGCCCGCAGCAGCGGCAGCATAAGTTTGGGTTCCTTCCTTGCCCCTGCATTGTCCTCCTGTGAGACTTCGATAAAAAAGATCTGCATTGACGTAGAGACCCACGGAACTCTTTCTACTTTCGGCTTCTCGCATTTTCATACTTCCCTTGACGAGGTTTTCTTCGAAGCCATGCTTCACAATGTTGCCTTTGCTGCCGCTTCATAAGAATTTATCCGATTTGGGGCAGGCCAACTGTTGAACACAAATGGGAGCCTACTTGTATGTATGAACACTGGCGAAGCAGAAATTTCTGTGTGCATTTATGTCACAAAGATCCCGTGTCCGAGTGCTTCAGTTGAAAAGCCTCTTTCTCAAATCTTTGCATCAGAGTTAGAAGATCTACGTCACACTGGCAAGGTTGATGGAGGTCTAAGGACCTGAACAACAATCGAACTGTCACGCCGATCGCGCAATTTCCATGTTTCAACCTTCAACAGGGAGTCCAGCGAGGTCCTACCAATGAGCCAGTGAGGCTCTCCTCTTCGTTCCTACCAAAACTTCTGGCTGGGGTTCCCTGCTGGCTCTTTGAAGCGCTGGGCGATTCCCGTTCCACTTGGGATTTTGGGATTCCACCTCATCATCTTCCGTCAGGTTTTCGGGAGCTATCGTAGACATGGATCATTTCTTTCGTCTACTTGCGCTCTATGTTTCTTCTTTCGTTCTTTCGTTGTGTCCCTTCTTGTACTCCTGGGAAGAAGGGCAAAAACAGACGGCAAACAAGAATGTCAATGGCAATCGAATCAGCGGAAGGAGCCTTGTGGCCACATGGCACGAGAGCTGTGTCTTTCGGTACTGCCACGCAAATGCAGCAGATATCCTGTCAATGCGCAGAGTACATGACTTGCACAGCGGCAAATGCCCGAAACTGGGTCTGTCCTGCCCAGCTGCACGTTCAGCCATGACTTCCAAATCGTCGCTGCTGAGATCACTCGAATTCTCCTCAAAGCCAGCCGAAACGGTGAGGATCAATGTGGTGGACATGATGGTACTTTGCACAACACCGTTTGAAAGCAAAAGCAGCATAGCAAAGCGGTCAGGTGCGAGTCGAAGACCGAGTTTCCTGATAACATTAAACTCGAAAGGCTTGGCTGCCGGTCTTCAACTGGGTCAGCTTGTGAGCACGAACTTCCGATCGAACAATATCACGGCGCGGCGTCAAGCAGATGTAACAAAGGTTCCACAGGGACTTCCCTCTTAACCCCTTCCCCGATGACCCCCCCCTTCCGCCTTAGCCAGCAGGACGGACCCCCCCTCCCTTTGAATTGGATTTCGGGTTGGCCCTTCGTCCGCAGATTTTGCTTGCTAAAATCAACCTACACCAATGAAACACCATTACGCGGATGCTATTGTCAAAACGGACCCTTCGGAGCACACCTGTCCATGTTCTTTCGGGAACACTTTACGTGGATCGTGGCTTAACGTATCGCTGTGAATTCCATCGCAGCGACCTGCCGTCAATACTCTCGGTAGACAGAGGCAAGATCAAGCAAGCAAAGGCAACACGAAGCGTGACAAGAGACCGGGCCACGAGGCAGGCACCACTCGCAAGAAGTGAAGCAACATGACAAGAAACTAGGACAACAAGAGCCACTCATCAGACACAGCACCAGGTAACCTCTCGGGAACGGGAGGGTGACATGAGGCTCGGCAGCATGGCAACAAACGTTCACGTGGCAGCAATGTCAAGACGACCCATGTGGAGGCCACTCTGACCCACCTCAGCTATTTTCTCTTTGAGCTCAGCCATCGCAAGTCCCAGCGCGAAGCTCACCAGCGCAAGGCCTCGGCACAAAGCGTTCACGGCGCGCTAGCAACGCTTCGAGGATCGAGGCTCGCGCAGAGGAACACAATGTATGGAAGCGTAAGGAGCAGCAGCAACCTGGGGGTTGCCAAGTACATAACTTTGACAGCAAAGCATAGCAAGCTGACAAGGCAGTGCTCCCAATGATTTGTCGGATGTGACTCACACGCCACTGCTCCAAAAAACCTCCTGGGCTGCATCTGTGCACCTGCAGCAAGTCCTGAAGTGAATGCAGCTGCAGGACAACCGCAAGGGCTGCAGCGAGCACTTCGACACCCCTACAGGGTCACGTGGTGAAGCTTAGCTGAATATTTTGCGAGAAGGCGTGCCCACATCAAACCCTTGTCGACCGCTGCATTGGCCGAACAAGGCGAATCAGGAAACTTGCTCGACCACAGAGACACGTCCGGGAAAGAATCTGTGCGTTCCCGGCACGGTGCGATGACAAGAGAACTATCGACTAATGCTCATGTTGCTTGACATTGCTTGATCATGGCCGACGGGCCAGCTTCAGGCTGACTGATGGCCCTGCTTGCGCAGACACAGGCTGGCTGCTGAGCTGCAGCGATCGGAACGGAACAGCCGGGAAATCATGCGACATAACGATATTTCCCATGCCAGCACGGGATAGCACGGGTCTCGAACTGCACACGAATCTCGTCTTACGAAGCATGACTGAAGCACGATGATCGACACAGAGGATGCACCACTTGCTGCAAATCTGTGATTTATAGACAGCGCCTCGCCTATGCTGCTCGTTCCGTCTACTCTCGACAATCTAGCTTTCTGGGTGGACCTGTGTGCCAACACGCTTGCATCTAACTGTAGACAACATTGCACCTCTCGGGCTGCTGCAACCAAGATGGTGTCTGGCTCTTGCCATCAAATACACCTGGAATTCCAGGAAGGTATCGCGCGCGCAAGTCAACAACCTAGGGCTGCTGTGTGCTGCGGCCCGCAAGATCTTCGACCGCGAAGTTGATGCCTCATCCACCATTCGCCAGGTGTCAATGCGCGCACTGAAGAGCTGCAAAGTTCTCGGCTCCGAACAGACTGCTGCTGGAATCGACGTTGCAAGAAGCATGTGCATGAAGACGTGAAGCTGCGCAGAAACAATGCAACCTACGCCGCGTCGATCGTGCATAAGCTGGGATGCACAAACCTGCCCGACCTGGCTCAGGACTAAGGCACCGTGAAAGCCAACGGCTGCTAACCTTGCAAAGGTGTACCGGTTCGCATGACACGGGAGCTTGAGCAAAATGAAGTACCTCTTCGAGAGGTATCTGTCGTGTTTTGGGAGCAACATCCTATCGATATGTGCCACCTGAAAAAAGACTCCTTTGGAACGAATTCCAGTTTTTTGCGCCCTGTACCCCGCATGCAACACTGCATGCTGTTCAAGACTAGGTGCTTCATCCTGGGGATGAATGCCCGAGACATGTTTGCGCTAGACACATGTGGTTTGTCCGCGCCCGCTCAGAAGGCTCAGCTGAAACCTCTCGCATCCGAGACTCAGGACCAGAACGGAGCTGACGATGAGGACCAGCGGGCTCCGACGAATATCAAATCCGACGAAGGACCTGAAGTGTGGACAAAACCGTGACATTCTGTGCCAGTGGATGCTGCTATACGCCGCTATGCTGAAAGACTGCTTTAGGGGCTGAGCACTCCAGCAATGACCATCCTTGCAGGCTGCCGTGTGAACAAGCTGAGGTATGTTATTGAAGATGCTGGTTGCGAACGGCTCACACCTGTCACCTGCCTCCGGCAACTATGCTGGAAGTGCAAACAAGTGGCTCTATGCCTGTCGTCCACAGCACGCATTCTCTCCGGCCCAAGACCTGCAAAAGGCGGTCGGATGATGTCGGAGAGCGACCATCATGTATGCGACGACGGCGGGACAACCTAAACATACCTAAACCAGGAAGTGAAGACGGGTCACAAAGGTCAAAAGGGACGGCCCAAAGCACAGAGTCGTCCGCATGCAAGCTATGGCTGCTGCCCTTGTGCCATTGGGTGACAGTCACCGGTCGACGCCGCACATCCCTGTGCCTAATCCCGCAAAGCATCCCAACCCTGTCTTGTCAGACTCTCCCACCACAATCGCCATGTAGCAGGCTCTTGCCACAAGGCGGGCTGGCATCAGAGCTAGATCTTGCGAGATCAGTGTCTCTGGTTCGTTGACGGCAGGTGATTCCGAACTCTTTGTCAGGGTACCGCAGGCACAGGCTCTGCCGCTGCACAGCTAGAAAGCAAACGACCCCGGTGGAACTTTCGCAATTTTCGGGTGAGCACGTGTCGGCTCGAGATGCTGGGATCGGGGCACCGCAACTCGCTCGTTGCTGTTCGCTGGACCTTGTGGAAGGAGTCCAGCACTTCAGGTGGCTGCCTTGCACGCTGCGTTTCGAGGCGTGACCATGGTGAGGCCTGGCACCGCGTCGCCAAGAGCTAAGAGCACTGCGCAGCGTCGTTCAATATGACACTCATTTCTGGGCGAAGCCGGTGCAGGCCTAACACCGTCGCGAAAACAAGACAGCAATGTAAGCAACACGAGAACACACATGTTCCACAGAATCAGCGCTGCTGAGCTGCAGCTGAACTTTTTCCTGTACGGGCTGCGGCTGAAAGAAACCAACTTTAATGACTGCATTCGCCGGCAAGAGCTGGCAAGCGTCCTCTTCACCCTTGCAGGCATTGCTCCGGCAGTGAGCGGGAATGGGGAGTTCTACATTACCTCGTACATAGCCGTTCCTGGCATGACTCACTTCAAACAGTGAAAGAGTTCCAGGATTGACGCAAAGCTACGAGTGCCATCTGCGAATCCTTTGCATGTTGCGTGGCTTGAAGCCGAAATGGCTGATGGGGTACTTGGGTTGTCCAGTCATTAGCGTCGCTGCTGCCGTCCCGGCACTACAAGGTTCTCCAGATCCCGTACAGCTATCGCGGTCTTACGCGGGAGCATGTAGCACACACGTACATGCACTTCGTCAGCACTGCCCAGGCCTGCCACCCAACATGGTTCCAGCGACAAATTTTGTCAGAGCAGCTGTAGCACACTGTCCTCGAATCCGGCCTCGGCTGTGAATTTGTGGAAGCATTCCGTAAGGTCTGCTGTCTGGCACGGACAGGACGTGCCTGGTGTCGCTTCGTCCAGATTTGTAGCGAAGAACTCCATCACGATGGAAATTGACCCCATCGGCCTGCAAGCATAACACATTACGCAGCATTTTCCGGACATCTCTGCGAGGGAGTCGTTCTGGAACACGAAACGTAACCAAAAGACAGACCCTCGGGGATGGGAGGGAGAGAGAGCGAGAGAGTGGCAGCGAAAGATACCGAGACAGAGAGAGCCACACAATCACAAAGACACATACACACACACACACAACACACACACACACACACACAAACACACACAAACACACACAAACACACACCCACACACGCAAACATGCGCATGCGCACACGCGCACACCGTGGACCAACAAGGCTTGTGCACACACGCACCGCCCGGCCCTTCCAGGACAGTCAACACGAGTAGAACGAACTGCAATGCACGCAAATACTATCCCGTGCATGTTTTTGCCAACGCCTTCTCCACGACATTGCTGAAATTGAAACTCCCGAGCCTGCTGTTTTGACTTGCTCACACAACTGACCGGAAATGTTTGGCTTTTGCTGGAAGAGCCCGGTGCAACTCCTGACAGTGAAAACCCAGTTCCAAATTGTTGTGGGAAAGTGCACAAATTTGAGCTAGCACAATGCGTCGGAGGATAGATCGGACTGCATTTTTGGGGGGTCGTAAAAAAGATTGCAAAGTCGGAAAAGAGCATAGATCTGCTGATGATGAAATTCAGCAATGGCTGAAAAGCCTCATTGGCAAAATTGATCAGCAACAACCAGTTGTCAATTGGTTCGAGAATAATGTTCTGATATTATCGAAGAAGAAGTCTTCTACCAGGACTGCCATATCTAGATCGCACTGTAAAGGCTATGTACATCTAGTCGTTGAGGTAGGATTGAGATTAATGACCCAAGGTGCATTCAATCGAGGCATCCACGAATGGATGAAGGAATATTCTGTACCTTGAGCATCATGAAGTTCGGAGAAACGTCGAAGTGGAATCATATTGGCTTCAAAAAATCTCCACGTGAATGAAAGTAATGTAGCATGAGCTCATCATCGCCAAAGTCTCCACGCTACAATGACCGAAGTTTACGTAGGCGAGCATCCCGACGAGAGTGAACTGAAACAGAAGTAGACCCAACATAAGTGCGTCTACGCTGAAAAAGAGCACCATGTCGGGAGTTCCAGCCACGCGCTTTCACAAGCGGAATCATCATGACGTGGACTGCTTTGCCAAATTGACATAGGTCCGAAACTCCTGAAGGCTCAAGTCTTGTAGATGAGTAATCTTCGCGTCCAAGTTCAGATATGCGCTGCTCGAGAACTGCTGCGAAAAATGGCATGTACAAAGATGAATGCGGCTAAAACTCTGGCAAGTAGCCGAAGTGCGGTATAACTCATATCAGCAAGAAATGTAAAACTGAATCATCAGACCATGTAGAAGAATAGCAGAATTATCCTCGAGCAGCGTATCTTCATCTGATCCGAGTCCGATGTCGCTGATGGCGGTGGCCGCGAGCAAAACTGTCACAAGCTTTGGCCCCTTGGTCTTTGTTGCAAAAGATACGGTACAAGCAAGATGCGACCACGTGTCGTGCAAAGCTCGAGGCGGTCTTTTGGAACGCCTTCGAGGATTTCTGGGACTCGTGCAATGACTTTCAAAGGCTCTTGGTGTTTGTGTTGACTGTTTGTCTTGACCAAGAGGTTGCTTCAAACTCTTGATCCAGGCATTGATCGCCTGCTTTGAGTGTCTTGTAATGTTCTGACTGAGAGGGGCACGGTCCCCGAAATGCCCGGGGTTGATTGCACGGTTCACGAGATCTTCTTTCATAGCAAAAAGCACTGGGGCCCCCTTCGTCTCGAGCAATCGACAACGCGTTGCTGGCTGAGAGCTTTCAGCACTCTTGTTGTTGCGAGCTTTCTCAGCCTCCAGCTGAGTTCGCAATGACTCAATCTCTTGCTGAGCAGGACTTGGAGATGACGACGTGTTCACAGCAAAGGGCTCAAGTTGCTCAGTAAGAAGAGTCGGTAGGGCTTGAGCCTTATGAACATTGATCTCTTCTGAAAGGGGTGGAGACTTGGAAGGATCAGCGACATTCTGTGTCTTGCAAAACTGATGGTCTACGTCATCCAGTTCCATTTCTTCTCTCTAATCACAGACAGCAAAGCTTGCAAAACGACTGCTTCATTCATTTTTCTGGCTACAAGCAAGCTCATATGACGTCCATGTGAGAGAGCGCGAAGCTGTTGATTGTCAAAGCAGGTCTACGAGCTTCACTTGTTCAATGTTCTGTCCAGCAAGACCATCTTAATCTTTGGAACTTCAGGATGTTAGGGCTTAGCTGCAAAGCAAAAATTTAACAAAGACTTCACGGGTGTCCAAGTGATTCTTGCTCTGCTGCCAATCCTGGTGCCGCTTGAGGTCTTGGTTCTTGGAAGAAGGCTTTGTAGGTGTCCAGGAAGCCTTAATCGTTGCCGGCTTCATCATGCTTCCAGTCCCAAGATGATGAGGTTGACCACTGGTGATGCGGCGGCACAAGTAGCATACAGATTCGATAGGTGGTGATCTGCCGCGAGATCGAGAGCGAGATATACTGTTGCGTCCAGGATTACCTTTAGGTACGACTTCGTCGGCAAGCCTTTACACAAAAAGCTTTTACCGAATTAAGTCCGCTAGGTCAAGGGCCGTCAGAACCTGACGGACTTTTTGGTGGTGGTGTTGGTGGCGGAGGTCGTCAAGAAAGTCGCCACATTGGGTCTCAACGCAACACTTGTTCTCGGAGGGCGGTAGGGCGTGTACGTAGGAGCCCCGGGCCTCAAAGCTGTGCCCGTTGTGATCGTTTTTAGCATGCATGGCTTTCGGATTGCTTTCGGCATCGCTTTCTGAGGTGGAGGCCTGGGTCTGTCCGAAGCATCTCCCCAACGTTGTAAAATACTGTCAGTGTTGGCGAGTCCAATGTCCTGAAACTGATCCATGAACACAGGTCGACGAGCATTGTTGTCAAAACAGCATAGAGAGTATTCAACTGTCCAGACGACAAAGTAAGAAGAGTGTCGGCTATTTGGTCAGGATGATGATCATCCCTTCGTTCTCATGGTCATTGCTACTACCCGACATGTTGTAACAGACTGAAAACCGAAACGATTCACGGCAACCAATTGAAATGAAATGCCAAAACTAACATGCACATTTCCTAGATGTAAAACAATATCATTGTTCATGGTTACAGTATGCGCAGGCTCAAACATAAGCAACTCAGACCATTCTGGACCCTATCGTTCATCATGGGGTTCACGAACACGAAGTAGGAGGTAGAATCTGGAGACCTTCGCGCGGGATTCCCTGATAGCCCAACGCTTGTCTTTGCTGGGAGACCTAATCAACTCAAAGCCGCGAAGGTTCTGCACCTCTCCGTGCGTGCGGACGGAGATTTGTTCTGACAGGTGTTCATAGCCCCAGAAACGATGACACCGCACTGATTCTTGCTGTGGAAGGCAAGTCTAGATGTCAGTCAAACTGGCACTCCATCCTCTCCTTCGTATGCCGCTCTTCCACGGAACCCAAGTGGTGTATCTGTATGCTTCATACCGACAGTCTCATTGCAAAGAAGCGCCACTGCATCCATGCCACCATCTGAAGGTGCTTGACCCGTTCCTACCGCAGAAAGCGAATGGCCGGGAAACTTGTCTGTGTCGATCTGCCACATAATAGCACTGCTGTGCAGCCATGCTTCTGCAGGTTTTTGAAAGATTTTCTCATAGACATGCTTCACAATCACGATGGCTTGACAAAAGTTGACAAGTACAGAATGCTGAATATCCCAGGAAAATACTGCAGTAGGGGGACGACACTGCACTAACTGCAAAACAACCGAATGCAGCGAGTAAACTCATCACGAAGAACATTCATCCAAGCTTTGCTCTCTTCAGCCAGGTGAGCAAGACGGCCAGCGTAATATTTGAAGAGCCGCAAAATCTGGAATTGTGCAACAAAAGTCTGCATATTCAACGGCACGTGAGTTTTGAAGCATGGCCTCGTTAAGGGTAGCTTCAGTAAGTCGAACTTGGCGAATTGCCAAGGCTGCCGCTACTCCTTGAGGATCACAAGCTGAAATCGGACTTGCACTCGACATCGCCACTGTATGAGCTGACATAGACGTCGTCATACTTCCAGATAGATCCGCTGGCAGTGGAGCTGTTCTCGGTGGGATTCGTGGTGGCGGAACTGCTTGCAATGGCGGCTGCACTTGCTTTGGTGGATTCGTTGGATGTGCAGGCCCAGCTACCGATGTATCAAGTGGAGGTGAATGTGGAAAAGGAAAGTGGAGGTGGTGTGGTCATGTGGTGGAACCGACATTGTGAGGTGTCTGTGCATGAAAAGTTGAAGCTTGAGGTGGAATGATTTGTGGTCGTGGATGAAAACGTGATTTCGCAACTGGTGCAACTTCAGGTGAGGCTTTGGGAGGCACAGCTGGTGTAGATACATTGCCAGCATAAGAACTTGGCGGTGTGGTGAAACAAGTGTATGCGTGGCAGGTGTAGTTCCGGACCATCGGCACGCGCAGGAAGGGCTTCGGGATCGCTCTGTCCGACGACGAACATACCCACTGGTTGAAACCACGATGGGTAGAATCTCGGTTCTGCTTTCGTGTAACAACGAGCACATAACACAGGACGGCGCGGAACAGACGCAAAGCCCCCACCTCAGTAGCAGGGCGGCACCACGAAGAACATCAACAAGGGAACGAACTCGATACGGATCGCCGCTAGCCGCAGCTGTTCGCAAGCCTCGAAAGCACCGCATCTGACCTACTGTAGCGGTGCAGTTTCTGGGAATTTCAAGGCACGCACTTAGCGAGATCCTCGCGAGAACACCCCATTTCGCGATTTTTCACAATGAGCTAGCGAAGTTGTCTGTTCCTGTGTTGAGCAGGAAGCACTTAACGCGCAATTATGAACAAACATGCACAATCTCAAGAACCACTTAGATTTGCACGAAGCGGGCCCTGGCTTTCCGGAGATGCTGCCAAAGTTCAGCTGAAATCACATACGCAACCCGAAGCCGCTTTATATCTGCAGTGTTTTCGATTGAAATGCTACATCGAAACTCAAATCCGCGCTCGCCTCAAGCGGCCTCAACTGAAGTCGTCGCTTGCTCCGTGTGCTTCATTGCTACATAAAGCTTTCCTTTCATTGCAATGGCGTGCAGCCCGCATGTTTTTGAAGGTATTGACTCTGCAGAACTTCATGGCAAGACACGCACACACACACACACACAGCAACATCCACGAAGCCGTGCGCGCACACATGATCACCGACATCCATACACTCACACACCCACCAGAGACGCAGACAGGCCTTCGGATCTGTAGGCATCCCGTGCGACGGCTTGGCTCCAGTTCTGCGGCAGTCTCAAGCAATGAGGCACAGAGATGCACAGAGCAGGTCAAGCGCTGTCAAGCGGGTCTTTAGGCTTTGGATTGAAGTTTCGATGGCCATGCGCGGTGCTAAAGAGAATGACTGCAGCTCCTGTTCCGGTCGCAAACAGGTGCTGGCGCTGCGGCTGCATCCTGAACACAGAGTTTGGCGATACGGCGACAAGCGTGCCTTCGGCCTGGCCTAGCACGGTGCTCAAGCCACCGCATGATTGTGAAAGTATTCAATGCTCAATGCCTCCTCCCGGAGCTTTCGTGCCAAACTTCCTTCGCTGCTACTGCTCAGTGGCAGCAGGGCCTGGGACAACCGAGGCAGATACTCTGAGGGTCTGCTACCAATGCTGGCCCCCGAGGGCCCGACGCACTGCCCACAGGGAAGTGCGCTGACCTCTGAGAAATGCACAGGAAGCACAAGTATTAGCAGCGGTGTCGTCGACTTCCGGCGGCTTGGGCTGTGACATAAAAGTGCAAGCGAACGTTGTCTTGCACAGCAAACCGCAACTCCTGAGACACAGAAGGGTGAAGGCTGCACCCACCAACAAAGACAGAAGCTAGGAATGCCCACGCCTCCACATGCACTCGCTTTAGCAGAACGGCCTGAATGGCTGAGCTGAGCGCAAACATTCCACCTTAACGCGTTGCAGGCAAAGAGTTTCGAGGCCCAAGCCACGGTATCGGGAGTGGCGGCGTTCGCCTGTCAGCTGCTGAGCTGCAAATACCACGGCAGACATGGAGGTACTGTTTGCCACGAGGCCAATGCAGCGCAAAGCATGTCAGCCAGCAGGAAGCGATGGAAGACCCTCCGGCAGAGTGCCTGTAGGGCACAACTCTTCCGGAATCTTCCGGGCGAGCCCAGACATGCCACATGCCGTGCTATGCTGCTTCAATGACATGCACTGTATGGCACGTAACCGCAGACTTAAAACGACGAGCAGAAAACGGTTGCGTCAGCAAAAGGCAGCGCAGAAGAAAGGCCTCGGCATGGCAGTCGTGGAGAACCTTCGCAAATCGCTGGTGCTCAGAGGGAGGGTGGAGGCAGGGCGTGTGGTCTCGGTACAGTAGGGTTTCTTGGGTGGGTGAAGTGGGGTGGGTGTCTTGTTGAAAGCTACTTGCTCAGTGTTAAATAGGGGCTTCAGCTTTAGCTGTTCCAGACTGGGGCGAGTGTCTGCAGAGGCTGTGATTTTCAGGCCTCGGCCGTCTGGCCAGTGGTATGCGCTAGCCAGAGGCCACGCCGGCCAATGAAAGCCACTGGATGCGCTGGTAGCATGCACGGTATCATCGTTCGGTCGTGGATGCAGTCGACAATGGATGGACAGGTACTGTTGACGTTATCATCTTTCGCGCATGGGAACTAGGCAGACCGTCCACTGGATGTGCTGTTAATATGGATGCTATCATCGCTCGGGCATGGATGTGTGGGGCTGGATGTGCCGCCGGATGCAAACGGAACAATTACAAACAGTCCCCACCTGCTTGCTGTCGGAAAGGCTTTGTGGCGGGATAAGCTGCGAGGTGACCGCGGAGGCGATGAACTTTAGAACCAGAACTGCTCAAGATCGTTGCTGACCCTGCCAGTGGAAACACACTTTCCGGCACCCGTCCGCTATAGCAAGTCCGCGTGAACAGGTAATTTAAACGTGGTCTGAGTCTTACGTGGTTGTGTGTTCGCCCTCTCACCTCGGTTCCCTTACCCACCTCTTCCTGTCGGATCGCGTCTCACCGCGTCACTACGAAACGAGACAGGAGCATCCCTGAATCCTGTGCCAGCTGCCATCCGCGGTTTGATTTTTACCGTTGCTTTAATAGAGACAGGGAGCCGCATTGACACTGACAGCGCGTGGATTTCATGGCAAAATACCACACTAAACAAATACGATATCTATCATCTTGGCCTAACTGCAACTTGTGGGAAAACGAAAACACACCCAATCAGTTGCAGCACAGAGTAGACAAGTAGTTTCCAAGCCACATCGACATGGCCCTTTGACGGGTGGCTCCGGGCCCCATGGCGATTTTGTCTAAGATGGCTCAGGGCAGGCATAAGAGAAAGAGAAACCTTGCATGCAAAATCGCTGAACATCAAACGCACCCTGTAACAAACATCGTTCCGACTGTGATGGATGGAGTTGATAAACACCATGTTTTGCATTTGCATTGCACGGGTTCAATGGCTTGCTGCCACACTTCACGGAATTAGTCTCAGTGTATGTGTTCTGGGCTCCGGCATATCCTGAAGCTCCGAAACCAAAACCCATTCCAAGAAACTTATCCTGTTGTAGATCCTTCGTCCTCTGATGCCGTCAGCATCTCAAAGATTTAATCTTTCTCCGCACGGGGCATGAGTGCTGTTGACCGTCGTCCGTTTTATGATGTCGATCGAGGGCGTTCGAGGCTTCCTTTGGGAGTACAACTTTCCATTTCGCGCTTTTCATGTTTATGTCATGGCTTCCCATGTCATGCCAGCCTTTCATGCAAAAACACATGGCGCAAGAAAAAACACAAGAAGAGCAAGACTTAAAGCAATGAGTTCGCAGAACATAGTCCATGTCCCATGAGAGTGTGAGACAGATGTTCGATCCGGAAGTCAGCCCGGCGGTTTGTGCCCCGTAGTGTAGTGTTGAGACTTGGGGGCAGAGCAAAACCAGCTGAGCTTACCCGTCCCCGAAAGGGCCTAACAGGCAATGCGGCCAAAAATGCTAAGAGCCGCACCAGAGCATACTCCAGCACGCCGAGTTCCAGTGTTAGGAGCAATCGACATGCGACGCAAACGGGGTAGACCCTCTGGACAACTGGATAAGACTAGGCAAAAAATGTCAAGCTAGATAACTTGGAAGGCACAGAGTAGGCCTGAAGCGCATCACGACTGTCAAATGGATCTCTTCAGCGCGCCGGCGCTACATGGTGCTACCGTGATGCGGCACGTCGCTTGAGTTGCCACGTTGGTCTCACTGCGGGACTGCCAGGTGGGCGCTTGCAACTAGCCGAACCCTCATTGGAGTAAGAGGCCTTTGTGAGCCAGCTCTTGTAATTGAGAGACAGAGAGAGAGGGAGAGAGAGAGAGAGAGAGAGAGACAGAGAGAGAGAGAGAGAGCGCGAGAGAGAGCGCGAGAGAGAGCGTCCTCGGTCAAATCGAGACGAATGGCAGCTCAGCAATCGCAAGGACGGACTGGAGTGTTGTGAACGGATGCTAGCGCAGTGTGGAGGGCCTGTTGGTCATGAGTCAGAACCATGGAAGGAGGGTTCGGGTTGTTGACTGGCCCACCAGGATATGTGCGCTGCAGGTCAGCCGCACCCCTGTACAGAGAGGAGGCCTGAAGGCAGAATCCGGGCAGAGGACCCCAGCACCCGGCCAATGTTATGGGTCAACAACCCGGACAGAAGGGAGAAGTCACAGAGCCAGGACTCCTGGCAAAGCCCAGGAAAAGGTCAAGAAGAAACCGGCAGAGGACTGGATTCAGCATGCATCGTCTGTGTTGCTGGCTGACTGCGGAGCAGTGTTGCTTGTACAGAATCCTAGCCCATGCAATCCCAACTGTCGGGTGAGCAAGATCGTGGCCAACAGAGCCGCGAAGGCACGAAGGTAACGAACTACAGCAGTTCACTCCGACCGGTGGCACTTCGCAAGAAGACCAGAGTGGCAGGCGATGCCTCTCCAGCTCCCCACCAGAATCGCAAAGGCGCGGATCGGCAACGCCAAACCATCCGGCAGCTACATAGTTAGACATAGTTATCCCGATATCCCTCTGGAAGGCTCTTGAGAAGCCCTATACCATCACGCCTTGTGACTCGATCTGCGGCAGTCCGTGCTGCTGAGTCAAAGAAGATCATGATTGGGCGTGTGTGCGGCACCTCCCGTGAAGAGTAGGATTCGCAAAGTGAGGGCCCGATTTTGGTGGGGTCGGGGCTCGCCAGCTACAAACAGGATGCTATACAGGAAAAAAGCGACCCGCGGACTTCGCGTGGGCAGTCGCGTGGAGCCAGGACTTGACCAAGTTCCCGGCACACGACAGGGACCAAAATCTACAGGAGGCAGGGCCTTTAGGCCACAGTGTTGGCGTTCCTGCCTAAGCTTCCGGCTCCATACCCTTCGCGAGCTGTTGCGATGCTTTTGCTGGGGCTGCTGCAAGTCAGCAGCAAGGAGCCCAACGCACACTGAGGGCAGGGACTGGTGTTGGCTGTACAGAACCGGGTGGAAATCCAGGAGGAATGTGCGGGTCCTGGAAACCTTCCACAAATGCGCGGCCTGTAGTCCAAGGCTCCCCGGTCGGACACTTCCCAGTCGAAGCATTCTGGTCTTCCCGCGACCACAGCAAGCGAGCGAGGAAAAAACAACCTAGGGGAAGGCCGTGAGGAACACCAGGCAGGACACCGCCATACACCGCCTCTGCAAGTCCAGGGTTCCGGACTGAACGAGAGTGGTCGGGCCGGTTGCTTTTGCAGCCGGCCTAAAAAGCGGCGGGGGGTCATTCAAGAAACTCTGATATTACGTTTCTGTTCTGTTGAGCAGTGACATGGTGATACAAGAAATCCGACCAGGATGAGTGGCAGGCAAGCGGGGGCTACGGTCGACAACAAGATTCCCCAACCACACTAAATCAAACAGGTCTCACCACCTGCAGCCACAAGACCCATCTAGATGACTCACCACCCTCATGCCCTTATGCTCGAGCATCATGCTTCAGAAGCAGGTGCAGCCCATCAAAGGGCAGCCAAAGCATGTCTCGCCTGAAATATGAAGTCTTATTAATAATCTTTTTTATTTTTAGTGGTTCTCTAGTTTCTGAAGCTCTATCTGGCCTGGCCATTGCCAGTGGTCATAGCAGCGACACCAAGGCATCGAGTCCCGGTCGCCAGGGCCTTGGCATTTGGGGACCATCGCAAGGCCCAGCAACCACGCATGGCATCGCATGGCGCAGACTGGAGGCAGATTGAGACTGCAGCCAAAACCTGCAAATGGCCGCCGGGCTTCTCGGCCACAATGCCCGCAAGAACTGTCCATGACCGGCCTGCGGTATCTCAAGGACCACACCAGGTTTTTCAAGGACGTCAGGGCGGGGCGGTTATCAACATTACAGCTGGTGTTGCAAGTAGGGGGCTTGAGGGATTTTCTAGAGCTGATTCGAAGGGTCTTGAGCTGGTTCAACGTGGATTCATGCTAGGGAGATCCATGTCGGGGCAATTGAAAGCTGGCTCTATGTTGTACCGGGTCGCCATTCGTGCCAAGGCTTCGCTGGGAAACCCTCTCAGGTCTGTCGCTTCTGGCCTCTCTAGGCGCGTCGGCTCGGCTCTGGTCGACTGGAGCTTACCACCCGAAAATTGAAAGTTGTGGTCCTCAAAGGAGTCCCCCCGTCTTGAGCACGTTCCAAGGTCTGCCGAATTTTATGTTAGAACAGCGCAGAACGTCTGGCTAACAATTCTTTCTCTTTCTCGCTCAGGCTGTTTCTCTGCGACGCCTTGGGGCTTGCCGCGGCCAGGCAACTCATCGTAGCGTGACAGCACGGCCTCCAACCATAAACAGGGACAAGGCTCATCGACTAAGTCAGACACAGTGCCTGAGCAATGCGGTCGGAGATCGTAGCTGAGATCTCCCTGGCAGGACTGCGAAGGGAGGCTGCCCCGGTTTCGACCGGTTTCGATAGCATCAGCAATGCCGGTGACTGCAAGTTCATGCTCTGAGTGCCACCCGGCACTCGGCCCCTCTGGCGCCGCGTTGAGGATTGACATGGCATGGCACTCAGAAGCTTCGGCCGCTCGGCCATGACTTCACGGGATTGCGGTCCCAAAATCACACCGAGTCTGGCTTGCAACAACACCCTTGGCGAAGGGCCTGAGAGCAAGGCTTTGGTCCGATGATTTGCCGAGATCCAGGAAAGGAAGGTCAGGATAAAGTGCGAACGTGCAACTCGTGAAGTCTCTTGATCCGATGGAAGTTCCTGCGTCTTGAGGCGTAGCGAGATACATGAATGACTAGTGACTAGTGGAAAGGCCCTGGCAGCAATGCTCGAGTCTCGCTTTACCTTTTTCGTTTGCTGCTTCTCCAGGTTGACTGGTCTCCCTCACGTCCAGGCATCCTGCGGGCAGAACATGCTGAGTCTGCATTCAGATGGGCCTTGAAGGCTTTCAAAGTGACTCACATGTACTATGATCTGACATGCTCTGTCCCGGTGGATGTCTCTTCTTTCTCTGTCAGCCAGCTCGGCTCGCCGTTGAAGTGGAGCACGCCTCCTGAAAATGACGCTACAAAACTGCCAGACCTCGAGGTCACTGACTCAGCTCCTGGGACTGCGGAGGCTCTCATCACCTCTTCCAACGGCAATCCCAAACGAGCAGCCTTGGGCGCAGCAGTGATGCCAAATGGCATTATCATGGTGCATCCACTGCATGCCACGGCATACTTGATCATGCATGGAGGCCTTTCGCGCCATTCGCTGCTCGTATTTCCTTCGCCATCGCTCTCAGTTGCAGCTACCGCGCTTCAAGATCACGGCTTTCGTCGCCTCCGACACTCCACTTCATAGGCTTGCTGAGCTCGCAGTTCCCGATCCCTTGAACGGCAGAGCCAAATCCAGCTGCTGCTCTGCTGCTTGTTTCCGCGGCGACAGGCCTTTGCTCCTTCTCCTTGCTGGCTCTGAAGCTGCCGGGGGCTCGCTTGAAGGCCTCGGCCTCGTGTCGATGGAAGCTAGAAGATGTTAAGACGAAGAGCGGAGCTGCGACCTTGGACAGGAGTTCACACATCTCCTGCCGATCAAACGGCCACACGAATGCAGAAGTGCACTGGATTGCACTGGTGCTGGCTCACTACGAGTCTTGTATTCTCACTGCCATGAACGGGGACACGAAGACTCGAGCTGGTAACTAGCGGATGGTCAAGGGGCCAAGCGGAGGGATGAGGGATGCAGAACAAGCGATAAAGTGAGGTGCCTGAGCTACCCCTCGCCTTGTACCCTTCAACCTTTGACCGGTTGTGTAGTTTACACATGCTTACACTCGAGGGAGTGTTTGGGCAAGACCGTCAGCGAATTGGATTTCCGAGGTTCAAGCATTTCCAAACGCTTGTCTCGCTTAGGCTGACAGTTAAACAAACGCGTGGCAGCAAAACGCACTGGGTGCAAATCAGCCGAATTCGAAGCTAACCGTGAAAAAATCGAATGACTGACCTCTCATCCTTCTTAAACAAAATCCTGTCGCACAGCAATTAATTACTCCTGTCCGACTACCAGGAAAAGATGGTGAGGTGAGTGACAACAGATATGCTTCGGGGCAGCAGAGATGTCTGCAGGCCGGACCTGGAATGACTTGGAGCTTTTGAAATCCTGCCAAGGGCAAACTGCGCACAGGTGGGCTGTTGACAGACTGGGCCTGTGCCTCCAGCAGCTGGAACTCGGTTAGCTCAGCCTTGGCCATTCGCCGACAATGGAAAATGATAGTCGACCTGGCAGCCAAAAAAGGAGCAAGTGTCGCTCCGATCCGACCTCTGCCGTGCAGAGCATGGAGCCGAGCCAGGACTTGTTAGGGACCCGGGCAGGGGAGGTGGCTGGAATCTGGAGACGTAGTCCAGGTAAACTCGTGCTTTCTCGAGGCCATCCTTGCTTTCGGAATGGAAAGTCTTAGTTGGACCGGCTGACTGCTGACAGCTGGACCGTTGGAACTCGCAGTTGGACGCCCTGCAGGGACACAGGCCGTCCGAGGCCTTTCTGACTGTAAGCATCCAGCACGCACCTCTTCTACTTCCCCGCTTGATGAAAGGCTCTTCCGCTCCTTTACAGGATGTGATGGAGCTTTCAAGCACCCGGCGAGAAAAGCAGCTCGAGGGGTTTTGCCCTTCACGTTCCTTGCGCAGTTGCTTTCTTGTGGCAACCTGACAGCCAGCAGATCTTTTGTGACTTGCACATGCCCACACGGCTCGGCTCAACTCAACTGGCAAGGACTACAAAAGCTGATAGGGAAAGACACAAGAAGCAATGAGATGTTCGCAAAGGCCATCAAGAAGGCCCACACATTGAGGATTTGTGCATGTCCCAACCCCTTTGCCCGACTCAGGACAGGAAGGCAAAGGGCCTGACTTGAGTGGGACCGCGGCAATGCACCGAAATGCTTCTTGGTGGCCTTATTGCCTTGTTACGTTGCTTCTTCCTGCGCCGTGCGCACCCACAACACATCAAAACTCAGCGTTGGTCGAGGGATGTCGAGGCAAGGCACCGGGATTCGCATTGCCTTCCGAAACCCCTCGAACATGCTTCCGCGTTTAGAGTGAATGCCCCCCAAAAACATATCGGTGGCATGTGATGTTAGCTCTAGCAACTCTAGCAGACGTCGCTCTGTCTCCTTTCCTCCCGACGGCTGCCAACGGTCCTGCGAATGATTAATCCGTGGTCGGGTTTTCAGGGTGGCATTGGCATCTGGGTTTTGGAAGAAAGGCTCAATTTGGTGGAAGATCCTTCAAGTCGCGGAAGTGGCTCGTGAAGATTAGTGTGGGCAAAACATCGGAGCCATCCCAGCGAGTCTGGCCGGTGGGCTGTGGAGGTTCGCGGAATGCCGCAATGCCCAGTTCAACTTCGGCCTCAAGGACCTATCGGCAACAAGGTCGCCTATGTCGCACACCTCCGGCGGAGCTCTCCCGATGAGTCCCACATCAGTTCTAGATGTGAGGAATATGGAACAGGCTTTTATCCGCCTGATTTTGACATAGGGATGGCGCTCAATGCCTGGTATTCAAGCGAGGCCGCCCCTCAGGTGGTGGAGTCAACACAAATGTCCATTCCCTCCTGCTGAGATAGCAAGACGTGGGCATTTATGTCTTCTGCCATCCCCAGACTGCCACTTGAAAGGGGCAGCAAAGATAACGCAACTACTCCCCAATTGCACGGTACCTGTTCCATGCTGTTCCTGCACCTGAGGACGTCTCCGTTTCCTGGGCTCTGGTCGAAAAGCCCGAGTCCCGAGTGCGCATGATCACGGAAGGCTGGGAGTTGCACACGGCCTTGGGCCTAGGGCCCAAGACAGTTTGGTCTGCTGGGCGTCTCAAGTCTCTCAAGATGTCACATGGGAGCAACGGCAGTCACAAGCCGGAGATGCAGATTTCAGACGTCCCGTTGGAAATGCAGCACTTTCCACCTACCGGCGCTCAGTTCCTGCATCCATGCTGACCTAACCCGAGTCACACCCCCCGCTCTCCTGGTTGCTTCCTTTCCGTCTGGTGGCGAGAGACTCAAAAACAAGGACGCGCACACATATCGTCTTGTCGAGATGGAATAGCCACAGAGCCATGCGCAATAACTGGCCGCAGGAGGCTCAACCTTTAAGCCCGCGTCTCGCATGGTCTTTGCAAGAGAAGCAACTTAAACCAGCATGTGCCTTCTGCAGCTCCTCTGCGTTCAGCGATGCGCCAGAAGCCTTTCGCCCAGATGCTTTCTTTTGCTCTGCTCTGTCGCTCCGTGTGTGAGATCCGACTTCACTTTTCAATGTTGTCATCCACTTAATGCCAACACCTTTGGGAATCCTTTCCTATTTCGGCTCGGAGCTCGATAGCAGCACGGAGCTCAAAAGTCTTCTTCGCTGGATTACGGCGTCTGCTCTGCCCCGACCGAACACAGCGACCAAGGACTGCCTGCCGCTCTAAAAGCTTTTGCACTTGGCGAAGCTTCTTCTCGACCTGGCAGGCAGCAGGCTTCAGCTCAGGTTTGCAGCCCTTGCCGGCTTTCGCCGCCTTTCTCAACGCTTTCTTCGAGTCGACTTCGCCTTCAGGTCTCAACATACGTCACCAGCAATTCTGCACTTCTCCGAAGGAGTTTGCATGCTATGAGGCATGACATGAGGTTTCAGTTCCGGGGCCTTTACCGGAACCGGCGAAAATGCAAGGATCGTCCAGCATACCCTCTGCCGACATGACCTCGTGGACCAAGCAATCTAAGAGAATACAAGCTTCACTATACCAAGGTTGAGAGTCGCTGGGTCAGCCGCGCCGTCGGCTTGTGTAAGCTCAAGGTTTGCGACAACATCCTCCTGAGATGTCACATCCCAAACTGCTGCGGAGCCTTCGCTGCTGTCGGATTTGGAAGCACCCTTTGACTGGTGTTCTTGGTGGTGGTGGTGCACCTTTGTTCCTGTGGCTTTGTTGTCGTTGGTAGCACTTTTGCTGAACGTGCTGCTGCTGCTGCTGCTGCCGCCAGCGGCGGTAAAGACTACGGTTTTCGCTGTTCACTGCAGCACCACTACTCTAGAAGCCAAGTGGCATGATGATCATCATCATGATGATGAGGGGGGGAGGAGGAGGAGGAGGAGGAGGAGGAGGAGGAGGAGGAGGAGGAGGAGGAGGAGGAGGAGGCGGAGGAGGAGGAGGAGGAGGAGGAGGAGGAGGAGGAGGAGGAGGAAGACGATGAAGATGAACACGAATAATCGTGATGCTAGTCACCTCAGTAAAGAGTAATCATAAGAAGATGATGCTGATGACTGTACCGTGGCTCAGTGGATGACGGTCACTTCGAAGGCGATCACAGCACTGGAAGCTATGGAAGTGATACTCATGATGAGGAGACTGGTATGGCTTGTGATTGTTCCACTGGTGATCAAACAGCGCTCGAAGGCGGTGACAGTTCTGGCGGAGGGTGGTGGTATCCTCTGACCCTCTGCCTATCCGTATCCCTCTCGCACTGTCTCGCCAGAAATCACGCTCCTAGGGAAGACTTCTCCAAGCCCAGGTGCCCACGACTTGATGTTTCCGTTGGAAAGGATCGGCACGCTCACCACCTTCTTGATAGCACGAACCTGGACAAGACATGCAGGTGCTTCTGCTGCTTTGCCAGCTTTGCACTGCCCCACCTGGTCAAGATGCGCAGGACCGTCCCTTCGATGTGTCGGTGTACCACGGTATCGTGCATGCACTGCGATGAGACTGGCGCCCGAGGCCTAACACGTGCAAACAGGGGAACAGAGAGGCAGCTTCAACACAAATTATCTCTGGACTCTGCCCACCTCGAGCTGTTTCACCAGCTCCAAAGTCTCCTGCCAAGAGTTACGACACATCGGGTTAGACCCTTCATGCCCACTCTTTACTGCAGGGTTCCCGGTTCGGAACATCGGCGACGATGGGCGCAACATCAAGCAAACCCCAAAACTCTGAAACAAAACTTTTGTTGGCAAGCACCAAACCCTAAAACGGATCCTTGTCTGGTAAGCTTATGGAATGCTGGTCCCTGCAATCCAAACATAAAACGAGATGGTGGCTGGCAAGGCAAACCCTGCAACGACACACAACAGACCTACCACTACTACTACTACTACTACTACTACTACTCCTACTCCTACTCCTACTCCTACTCCTACTCCTACTCCTACTACGACTACGACTACGACTACGACTACGACTACGACTACGACTACGACTACGACTACTACTACTACTACTACTACTACTACTACTACTACTACTACTACTACTACTACTACTACTACTACTACTACTACTACTACTACTACTACTACTACTACTACTACTACTACTACTATACTACGACTACTACTACTACTACTACTACTACTACTACTACTACTACTACTACTACTACTACTACTACTACTACTACTACTACTACTACTTACTACTACTACTACGACAACAACAACAACAACTACTACTACTACTACTACTACTACTACTACTACGACTACGACTACTACTACTACTACTACTACTACTACTACTACTACTACTTCTACTTCTACAAATACGCAAGCCCCCGAGTATGCATAACCCTAAACCCTAGAACCGTAAGCCCTTAAACCCGAAGCCCTGAACCGCCCAAACTCCTAAACCCTAAATCGATGCGCACACCGTTCGCGCCCCTTAACCCTAAAGGTCCAAGCGTACCAACATTACCAAAAGGACGGCCCCACCCCACCCAGACCTACAAAATACCGCCAAGCAAGATTACCAAAATGACGTGAACTCTTGCCCCCCTTATTGCGAGGAAGATTTCCTAGATGACGATCATCTTGCCCGCCGCCAAGATCGCCAAGATGAACAAGAGAATTAGCGGTTCTAAATCCCCGGTATGAAGCAGTAGTTGTAGTGGTGGTAGCAGTAGGAGTAGTAGGAGTAGTAGGAGTAGTAGAAGTAGTAGGAGTAGTAGGAGTAGTAGGAGTAGTAGGAGTAGTAGGAGTAGTAGTAGTAGTAGTCGTCGTCGTAGTAGTAGTAGTAGCAGTAGTAGCAGTAGTAGTAGTAGTAGTGGTAGCTATTGGTAGTAGCAGTAGCAGTAGGCGTAGCAGTAGTAGTAGTATAGTACTAATAGTAGTAGGGCCCATCACCCTCGTTTGCCGCACTTCAGGGGTGACTTTCGGGGTGGGGGGGGGGGGGGGGGAATACCGGCATGTTTACATCGGTCAGTCGCATATAAGCTTCCATGTTGATTGACGCGCTGTCACAAGCATTCATGCCTTGTACGAGCGTGCCGGAACCACCGGTGTTTATAGGGCTTCGCCGCTTTATGCGGCATACTGCAGAAGGATGTTTGGCTTTCTGGCATAAGGCGCACTGTCATAAGCGGTGATGCCTGGTGCGAGCATACCCAACTGGTATTTACAGCATCTGTGCTTCTTGCACAACATATCACAACATAGTGCACAACACATTGGTGACGGCGAAGATGATGAAGATCCCATACTGTCTATACGACTTTTCGATGTGCTCCCGCCGCCAATCGACGTAGCACCAAAGCATGTCCTTAGATGCGCTCCGCAGACAAGTACCTTAGTCAAAGAAGCCGGGGCTTCCCTGCAGCAGCAGCCAAAAGCCAGCACAGCCACATGACAGGAGTGCAAACAAACGTGCATGCAGTGAGAGCCTACAGGACCAAACCCGCCGCCCCCCACAACACACACAACCCAAGCATGTGCGTCGTCGTCAAGTCGTCAGCACAGCATGAGCGAGCACCAGGTACAGGGACCTAGCGTTCGACAGCAGAAGGGTCCAGGCCCCATCTCTCGCGCCAGAGGTCATCAGTATCTCCCATACTATCAATATCTCATCTCATAAACAAGGTTAGTTTTAGAGGTATTAGAAACCACCTATATTCGCAAGTCCTGCGCCTGCCACGAGAAACGCAAATTGAAACAACCAAGATCAGGTTGATGTGGAGGACACGCTTGCGCCGAACATCGCGTTCCAAGACACGTCCTGGCTGCTGCCGCCGCAAAAAAGCCGCATTTGCAAGAGAACGGAACAGCAAAAACTCGATGTTTTTGCCAATTTCAGAACAGAAACCATTAAGACAATGACGCCCAAATCGTCCTGTGTTCACATGCAAGTCAAACATTCGAACTTGCTAACACTTTCCTGCAAAGCTCCGGAAACTGCTCAAAACCCAAGCGAAAATACAATGTTACCATAACCGCACTCTGCATGTTGCATTGAAGCATCACTGAACACCGAACACCTGTTTGCCGCGCCATGTGCACGGCAAATGAAGTGTAGTAAAAGCGTTGGGCCTAGTAGTAGTAGTAGTAGTAGTAGTAGTAGTAGTAGTAGTAGTAGTAGTAGTAGTAGTAGTAGTAGTAGTAGTAGTAGTAGTAGTAGTAGTAGTAGTAGTAGTTAGTAGTAGCAGTAGTAGTAGCAGTAGTAGTAGTAGTAGTAGTAGCAGTAGTAGTAGTAATAGGACGAAGACGAGGACGAGGACGGGGAGCACTACTACTGCTGGTACCACTACTACAAATTACTAGTAGTACCAGTACTGCCAGTACCACTCCCAATGCCACTGGCACAACAACGACAGCTACTACGACTACGACTAGCACAGACACATTTCACTACGGCTACCACTACCACGATCGAACTATTGCTGGGCCTACCCCCTTGCCCACGTCGCTGTTGGAGAAAAGCGATAGAAGTCAAGTGCAACATGTGCAACAGGAATGGAAGGGAGAGAGTGAGAGTCAACCCGGTACCTTCCTCCAGCTCATCCAGCAGGCGAATTTTGCAGAACACAGGCAGCGGAAGTGCCTGGCTCAGAGGCGAGGCACGGGCTGCACGGGCTGCACGTTGCAAAGAGCAAAGACATCTCCCGTCCGGGGGGGTCTGGGTCGCCTCTGAAAGGCGCTTGACGATGCTGCAAACCAAACCTCGGTCCTGCTTCTCCAGCAGATAGGCCTCTTCTGGCTCAAAACACTCTGATCTGCGAAAGCTTGGCTGCATGGCAAAGCGAAGCGTGTCGGAGGGACACCAAAATGCTCTGCATGTGCCTCTGCCAGCAGCACATCATATCAAGACAATCGGAAGCAGCAGTTCTTGGGAGACATGACGACATGCAGCGGACACATAAGTGATGGACTACTCGCTGAGGGCAGCCCAAATTGAGATCTATTGCATCAACACCTCCAGCGGCGGGCACTGCACTGCGTCTTACTCAGGCTCTTTCAGGGACTGACGGCCACATCGTGCGGAATTTGCTGGGCTCGGGATGCTGGATGCTCTGCATGCGGATTTGCCTACAACCCTTCCCAAAGCGCTCGAGAAGACCACCCGGTCTATGCCACTCGGCAAGAATGCAAGCAGAAGCCACCACTAGCTGCAGAGCCGTGTATGGCGAAGCTGGTGCTGTAGTTATCTTCACGACACGCAGCATCAGCACAGAAGCAAAACAAACAGTGTATTGAGTAGCTGCAAGCATGCCCAAGGACCCAGGCAAGCGGAAAAATGCCGTACAAGAAGGCTATGAGCTGCTTTCAGCGAGACAGATCTTCTATACTCACAGCAACTCAGGGTTGCTTTCTCGTGCAAACCGTGTTTTGCTTTGGGACTTCTGCCGCGGGTGTAGCCGAGTGCGCGACGGTCTGCAACGTGTCGTGCTGCTGCTAGCAGCACCTGCAAGCTGAGGACATTTCGCATATGCCTTTTACTGTGTTCCGCTATCCGTGAACAGTTGGGTTGCACGTTCGACACACAGAGGCCACTTGTTCCGCTCTGCGCAGTTCGTTCACCAAGTGAGTCTGCTGCATACTTGTCTTTTTCGGAAGTGTGCGATGCGTAGCCGCCAGGCTAAGATTAACCCGGACTGGTACGGTACACTGCAAGCCCAGTCTTCTTCACTCTCCAAAGCTTTCTGTCTTTGTGCGAACAGTCGAAGTCGCCGGCTAGCTCTTTTGAACACAGCTTCGGACGTCGCGTCAGTAGCGTTTTCCTCATGCAGACGCTGCCTCAGTAAGAATGCACCATCGACGAAGAACTGCATGGAGAGCAGCCAGAAGACGCACAAATGGAATCTAAAGACCACCTCGACGCTCGGTTGCAGTAATTAGTGGCCACGCCAGAAAAAAGACAAAACAACGATCTTGGTTTACACCGCTTGAACGTGGCTAGCGTCAAACACTGCGATCCATGCACCGACGACCGTTGATCCACAACTTCTTCAATTTCAAGTCCTCAAGCCAGCGGATCTGTTGTGCACATCACGGGTCCGGAACCCCAGAGGTACACCCCGGATCACGGGCCTGTGGGGTGGGCGCCAATCGAGCCGAGACGGTTTCCGAAAAGGACTGACTCATGCAGCCTCGAGTGCGCCATCCTGAGAACAACAGTTGACACGAACTTCCATGAAGGTAAGACTCAGGACTGCAGTTTTCGCGAAGAGCACAAACCACAATGAAGACGCAACACCACGAGGTGTCCATGTAGATGCCCTGTAGCAGACACGAACTCCCATGCAGAGACACCTTTAAGTACATGGGAGAGCAAAACCACTACCGAAACAAGCTGTCCAACATACGGCCCCACTCTAAATCACCCAAGACCCCCGTAGGATCCGTAGGCAACGCACCTCACAACGACAGGAAGCACAACATCTAAATACATGCATATGCCAATGACCTGGCCAATGCAACCGCAGTGTGTACCCATAGCTTTGACATACCCCAAAAACTTGTAAGGCTCGCAATGCATTTCCATTGATGAAACATGTGCACCATTTTTTTTTGTCAGAACGATTCTGCGGAGGAGAAAGCACCAGTCCGAGCCACAATATGCACGTTTCGTTGGGGGTAGCTCGATTTCAGCAGGCCGACACACAGTTCTCTGTGGCGGGACGACTCCGAGACCGCATATGAGCACAGCAAGGAGCAGGCCGAACCCGAGAACATATCCAAAATGCTTGAATTCTGTTTGGGCTAGGAGGACTGGGGAAGACCATAGATTCTGCATTTTGTTTTTGAATGGTGGGGCGGGCCAACGTCACCTGATTAAGACATTACAGTAGCAAAAATGTTTATCTTATTGGGATTTGGGGGTCATTTGCGGGAATTCTAGAAAGCACTGCAGAGTGAGTGCACATCATCACGTTCGGGAGCCCCGAAGTAGGGATTGTACGTTGAAATCGGCTGCCCCCGGCCACAGCCTGACTGCACGCAGAACATGGCAGAACGCTAGCTTAGTCGAAAATCGCACTGCGCCACAGTGGGGGCTGCACAGCCTGTGCGCAGGAGCCGCGAACAGTAATGAACTAAAGAACCCAGTCAACCCTGTGGGCTGCGATCTGACTCAGAAGTACTTCTTCTGGAGGGAATTCTTGTCATATTGAACATTGAATACTATGTTGCTACTCGCAGCTTAGTAGCATGCCTCGAAGCAAGCTCTTCTTTCAGATCTTGTACCGCATCGCATCGCTTGCCTCCGGATCGTTGCCACAGAAATGGGCGACGAGAGGCCTGTCCTCTCATCAAAGAACATTTGCTGATGTTTGTTCTCCTCGGGATTTGCCGGCCTCTGGGCAGGTCTGGAATCCATTTTCCGGTGCAGCTCGATAGTCCGCATCTGTCGAGAACGGGCCGGAGTAAATCCTGGCATTCGGCTTTCAGAGACCACTGCACTCTACACTCTCCATGTCTCCAGAGCCTGTTTTTAATGAGACTTGCTTGCGTTGTGAACTGCGAAGGGGCTCTGTGGGTCAGAGGGGATCAAGGACGGTGCTGCCGGCCGCCATCTATGCAAAGTGCGTGTGCCTAGGTTTCAATACAATGAAGCTCACAGTCACTCATCAACTTCTCCACGGGACTATTGTCGGCTGGGATTCAATCCTTCGCGAAGGGTCCGCAGATTTGAGAATCGAAAGATCTGGGCGCGGGGGGTTTCATCCCAATCACGTCGAGCGTGCATCGGCGTGTAGCAGAGCTGCGCTCCGAATTGCCGAGTCATCATCCTGCACAGGGCAGAAGTGCCACATCCGGCAAGTCATGTCAGCAAAACAACTCCGCTGCAGAAGCCTGAAAGGAAGCTCAGAACCGCCAACCATAGGTGCCAGGACATACCGATGAGGCGGAAGCTCGAAGCCTGAGCTGGTTGCAGCTGAACCGGCAGCAGTTCCCCAGGTCAGCTGGCCGTACGTGGCTTTGGCATCAATGATCGGCACAAAGCATCTTCACCTGCAAAGTCAAGGGCCACCTTGTGGGAACCGCATGTCCCCCATCCTTGTGCCTGAAATCCTGGCCCTCTTCTCTACCCCGTGCCGTTCGAAGCGCTGGCGCTTGCCTCTCCGAACCTTCACATCTTGCAAACTTTGCTCAGGTTTAACGGCCATGGGTGTGTTTCCAGCTGAGTTGCTGCAATTGATTTCATTTTCGACGAACAGCAGAACGGACACATAGAAGCGATGTGTTCTGATACTATGTATCCGTACGGACGTAGATTCCGAGCTGCATGTAGCATCATGTAGCGACTTCACCGTTCAAGCACAACATGGGACGTCGAAGATAGCCTGAGCCTGAAGCGACAAAACAAACAATGCTTTGACTCGCCTGGAAAATTACTCCGTGCATCCTGACCCGACCTGTTTTTTGATGCAATTTGACGCGCTACCTCCTGCGGTCCTAATGCGGGGCAAAAGAATTTGCACTTGTAGTTGCACTTAAGACGCAAAACAAACCGTTGCACATATCCGCACACCACATCAACACCGTACTTGCTGATGTCATCGGCATTGACTGATGGATGTGGACATACCGTGTGTGTGTGTGTGTGTGTGCTAAGTAACAATGCAGGGGGCAGCAGGGGGCAGCCGGGAGTCCACAGTTCTGCTGCCAACCAAGACGGCTGTGGATACTCCGTGGAGCAGATTGGGATGCCAATCTGTGTACCTGCAATAGAGTGCGGTGACGCGGTGTGCAAACAAGAGCCACAGTCCCGACTCACATTTAGACCAAGAGGTCTACTGCAAGTGTGGTACAGCATGGCTTTCCCTCGTTGGCGACAGCTGAGTGGAAGGTTGCTTCCACGAAACTGACTTCACATGGTTTGTCCGAAGCTCGTGAATATACTACCTCTGGAGCAACGGGAAGAATGAAGATTGAAATTATTGTTGACAGTTTCGTTGAGTCTGCTCTGCTATGTTTTCTGTCCTTGGTTGAGTCCTCGCTCGTTTTGTGTCAAAGTAGAACAGTCCGCATTCACGATTTGAGCTCTGAGTGCTCCATCCCCATGAAGTCACCTTGCTGACTATCAGGAATCATTTCACTTCTTCACATGACTGTACATCTGACACGGACCCGGGACCCATGAAAATTGAACCATTGACTTCACGGACAGGTCGGAATTTTGTGGCTCGTGGGAAACCTAGGTTTTCTTGTGTTGAGATATGTAACAACTCATCTAATCATGCCTGGGCCTCAAACGGCACAACCTCCTCCATGCAGAAAAGACGAGGAAGTGCCGCTCATTTCCATCATCACCAACCAAGTGATCGCTCAGTTTTTGGTTTGCTGTTGTTCCGGTTTCTTCAGCCCCAGACCTCTGTCAAGCCTTGAGTTCCTCTTTGTTGCTGTGGTTTTGGTTGCTTCAGCCCCAGACCGCTGTCAAGCCTCGAGCTCTCCTTTTGTTGTTGTTGTGGTTTCTTCAGCCCCGGACCTCTGTGGAGCCGTGAGTTTCCAGGTAGAGGCAGAAACTTGTGAGCTTTCCCCCAGAAAAATGTGTGTGTGTGTGTGTGTCATCCCTGTAACAAAGGGCTAAGTAACAATGCAGGGGGCAGCAGGGAGTCCACAGTTCTGCTGCCAACGAAGACGGCTGTGGATACTCCGTGGAGCAGATTGGGACGCCAACGTGTGTACCTGCAATAGATCGCGATGTGCAAACAAGAGCCACATTCCCGACCCACATTTAGACCAAGAGGTCTACTACAAGTAAGTGTGTGTGTGTGTCTGTTTTATGCTTCCTCCGGGGTCCTGGCTTGAGTTTCTTCTTGGTAGTGCAACTTTAGGGCGGGAATCGCTTTCCGCTGCTGGTTTAGGTGAGGGAGCCTTGCAGCGGTTTCAGCTCGGCAATCTTTTCCCTTTCGAAGCCTACAAAGACACGACGAGGGACGTGCCAAGGCCATTGCAGCATGGGCCAGCTTTCTGCATTTTGGAAACCCTGATGACCAAGAAGCCCCATATCAGCCACAAACTATGGTGGAATGACAGAACTCCCGTGAGTGAGGGCAATGCAGCGCAGAAGAGGAGGACCGTGAGACACGCTGACGACCCACCCAACACTGCCACACTCTCCAATGAAGCCTAAAGCGTACATCGTGGAACCGCCGAAACAATAGGGGCGGGAGAAGGGAACCGCAGCCATACCATGGGTGCGAGCGGTTCTCGCACACGGTACCACAGCCATTTAGACCTGTTTCGGCTTGAAGCCGACGGACTCAAGCCTTCTATTTCGGTTCAGGAATCAAGGACTGCCATCCAGGATCTAGTTGCGAACATGAACACCGCAACTGCAAGTCCAGCACGAGCAATTTGGAACGTGCCAAATCAGCAAAGAGGACAACGAATGCCAGTTATTGCAGCAAACAGGCCTGTAGCAATTCCTAAATTCTGGTCCTCCCCATGCCCATGCGCCGCCCGCCTCTGTTTCAGCTAGGACCTGAATCGGCATGGATGCGGAGACAGTGACAAGCTCGCGTGCTCTGAGCTATTGACAGAAACCGTGCCATCGTCCCACTGTACCTGGACACATTCACATGGTTGTCTGAAGTGCTTGCGGTGTTCCGGGGACAAAGAAGTTATCACATCGCCTGGGCTCCAACGCTTCCCGTGAATGACAAACGCCGCGCCTTGAGCCTTTCTCCAATGTGCTTGACGAGCTTGCATGCATACCATTCCTGCACTTTCCAGCTTTCGCTTCGTGGAAACCAGACCGCTGGCTGCGCATGACAGTTCCAGGCACCTCGTCAGGCTGCCAGTATCCGAACAGCTTTGTCCCAGGAGCTAACTCATCGCAGTCATCGCGCATGGGTTATGACCCCGCTCAGGTTGAAGCATTAGAGCTGCGGTCTGGTTCAAGAGTTCAATTCAGATCAGAGCATGCGCCGATAACGCTTTGTCGAAGCCTTCAGATGCACCGTCCTGCGATGTGCTTGCAGTGACTCTTGAGCTGTCGTAGCCCTAATGGCTGTCGAGCAATCAAGTAACGGCAGGGCACTCGCCTTTTCCCACCAGTTTGCAAGGGATCGAAGCAAGATGCATCTTGTGGCATCTTGGTGGCACGGATGTGGGCATCTCTAAGTAATGGCCAGCATCCATGGACGGGCCAACTTGGCGAACAGGCAGAAGCCAAAGGCAAAGCATGTCGTCCAAGCGGCCATCTCGGGCGGGGTCGTCGGCCGTTGGGCTGCATCTGGACGCGCTGTCGCAGAGTCGAATCACAGCAAGCACAACGGGAAACTCCTTCGAAGGGAACGTTGTCACGGCCGCACGTCAACACGGCATTAGTCGTCCAACCAGTTTGATACATCAACCTCAAGTTGATCGTAGGATGGCTGGGCAACAACGTCCTTAATCGACCTGCTTGCCCTGGCTAGCCGATCTTTGGCGGCTCTTCCAAGCGCAGTCAGTGCAGTGACTTCTGTTTTCGCGTCGCGAGAAAACGACTCGCGAGAGCTTGCCCGGCTTGCCCTGCCCGAGGCAACCGAGGCGGCGCCTCCGCGACGCACGTTTCGACTTTGCTGTCGCGGGGTGGTGCCCGATCCCTCGCGTGGAGTTGAGGGAGTGTGCCTTGGAGTTGATTCGAGCGGCATGGAAGCGGCATGTCTCGGAGTTGTCCGTCGACTTTGCGAGTATTGGCACGCAGTCACATCTGTGCTGGAGAAGGGCTCAGTTGGCTTGACAGGGAGGGGTGGCAGCTTCTTGCCACTCAGGAAATCTTGCCGAGCAGCGGGGATATTCTGCTCCCCAGGAGTTCCCTGAAGCAACTTGCGGACCACATCCAGCTTGGCAGGCTTTGGTTTCGACTCCGGGCAGCGTGTTTCATGCTTGGCGATCCGATCAAAGCGGAATTTTCGATGGCAGTACTTGCACTCCTCCAGCAGCGACCCGGAATCATTCGGCTCCGAAGTTTCGACCTCCTTCTTGCCCTCCAAAGCGTCCAAGAACTCCTGGCCGCCGCTTCTACACAGGACTCCAGTGGTGCGCTTTCTGTGCCTGCAAGACACTGGAAGACAGCTGGCCCGGAAGCATCAGGTGTGGCTCCGGGCTGGCACCTCTCACAATTAATCGTTTCCGGTACAGTCATTGATCTGCAGCTCTTTCTCCGTATGACTACGGCCCTTCCGCATTTCCGAGTTTTATGGGTGGACATGAACTTCACAATTTCCCACAGCACATGACAGGTGCATCTGCGGATAGCTCGGGAGAAATGAATTGGTGCCAATCTCTGTCTGACATCTTTCTGCAAGACGGTCTACGGAAGTTTGCATGTTGCTTGATTTGTGCACGTGTCAGTGTCTCCATGTCTTGCTGTCGGTGTGTGAGTGTCCGTGTGTCTGTATGTGCACGTTGGGGTGGGGGTGGGGTGAGGTGGGGCGGGGTGGGGTGGGTGCGCAGTAATGTCAACATGAATCTGCAGTGACGAAGACCTGCGTGGCTGACTTTTGCAATACGAACACCAATCCGTTCCCATGGTCGCACACATGTGAACTGCACAAACTCAACCAGCGCAAGGCCGGCGGCACGTCCAATAAAGCTTAGGGAACTTATGTTGGCGCTTGTGCCGCAAGAGGAAAACACACCGGACAGCTCATGGGACACACGTACATTGGAAAATGGCATAGGGCATAGGGAAGCTAGACCTAAGGCATGCATAAGCTTTGCCAAGCCAGCGAGGTGAGGTTGGCACTCCCCCACCCATGCTTCCACAGACATCTGTCACCGGCCGCAGACAGACAGAAAAAGACATTGACTGACAGTCAACACAGCTGGGAATGTGGTCGGACAGCATGAAGGCGCATGCATCAGCCATCTATATACCTTGCCACCAGTCATGAGGCATGAGGTTTTGAAGACTCGGCTGGTACAACTTCGAGCCCTTCAACTCCTCGGCCCCAGCAAGCTTTTCGTTTTGCCGGTTAGCATGTGTGCACTCTGGGCCTAGATTCAGCAGAACATTATGGGCTTAAGAAGCGATGCCCGTGCGCTCGCCTTGTCAACTGCATCGCTTTGTCGAAACTGGAACGTTATAGAGGCGGGGTAATATTCCATGGCTGGGAATTTCCTTACACGTTGTACCTCCCCCACCCCCCGCCACTGTTTCTCAAGCATCCTTTATAGGTTCAGAAACGCAACAACTGGCCCGGCCCCGGCTTTTGGCTTTACAACACCCCCACACCCCCGCTCCAGTTCCAGCGGCTAAGAGCTAAGGCTCGGAATTCCTGGATGCCGTGGCCTGCTTTGGATGCATGCGCGACGAGCTCGAAGCCCAATGCCTCACACGTAAGTCGTACTGAGATTCACTGAGGTTTCATAGAGTGCAGCCAAAGATCCTGAAGGATCCTCTTCGCTGCATCCCACCTTCCAATGGCCTCGTCATGTCGCGGGACGAGACACGGGCCGGTGCCTGGCACGAGGCCCCTAGGCCCACCTCCGACACCGCCGGGTTTGAGAGCCGAAGGCGACGATATTTCTTCTCCTTGCGGCAAAGAGAAGCACGCTGCCTAAACCAGAACTTGAAGATGAGTCCTCCAGGAAGCATGCATTTCGTGCCACATCCCGGAGCCTGTCCAAAGTGAGTGTGAGCAGTGTGCCTCAGGTGTGGCGTTGTACACGTGTTCGGCAGCCAGTCGGAACGCGACTGTGAGCTCTTTGAGGGTGGCGCGCGACTCCTCATCACCCGCAGCTTCCTGCCACAAGTCCAGTGTGCCACCGAACGCTCGCTGCCCGCCGGACGTTAGCCGATGTGCTTTCCAGCTGCAAGTTCGACACACAGTGAGTCTCGCTGCAAACAAACGTGCAGAGTGGCTAAGATCATGCTCATTCGTGTCTCCAGCTCTAACCGGCTTGGATGATCTAAGAACCTAACAGGCAGAGCAACAGGTACAGAATGCGTGACTCTCCTTTTCCAGCTGTTCGTCATTGTCAGATGCATCCACGTCCGAACGTCTGAGCATCCCGAAAACAGTTTCACAAAGCTCACTGCCGTGATTCAGGCCTTGATTTCTTGATATTTCTTGTCAATAGGAACCGCGACACGTTTGCGATAATTTCACGTGGAAACTTCTGCTGCTTCGTGCGATTTTGCGAAAGGTGTGTGTTGCTGAGGTCTGATTCCTTTGACGGTCGCCGGAGGGACCGAGCCTATCGGGGCTGCGATCTTCGAGACTGTCGACGAATCTTCCCTCGTCTCAGATCAGCCATGATCATGCAGCATTGCGGTCTCAGACCATGAATACTGCTTGCTGTTGGTACAGGCGTCCATGCATACTTCATAACAGATAACGATTTCATTAATGGCTATGTATTCAATGTATTCTTTGCACGCGTATGTGTCATGCCCACGGACAGCACTGCATGTCAATTTACAATTTTCCGGGCAGATCCTGAAAAATGGATGGCATGAGCAGAAGTCATGCATACATTCGCACAAATAGCATTTCCAGAGAGGAGAACCTCCTGGGTTCCACTCTCCCGAATACGGTGTGTCGCTAACTCAACATGGTGTCCGAACTTGGGAATGAAGGCGTGGAGCAAAGAGACGTTTGGGAACTGAACTGCCGACAGGCGGATGCAAAACTGCTATGTAGCGCAGAAGGCTGTGTGCTGCAATGCGACTGTGCTGTCAGACGGACATGGGACGGCAATGAAGCGAAAAAAAGATAAGAATGGGCCGGAAGCGAGCATGTAGGGCGGAAGGTCAGGCCCTGTGCAGGCAAAACTTGGCAAAACCCTGTGGGGCGGGTGGACGAGATGAGGCAGAACTGATCTGATAAATCTTACAGTACCTCCAAGCTGCGGGCAAAGAAACCCTGCCCAGTGGCAAAACGATGCACAACTCTTGAACAACATGATGCCACAACGAGTACCGTCTGCCGATGTTGATTCTCAACTCCTCAAGTTGGCAACGAGGCGTCATGGCCTCGCCCTTGCAGACTGTGCCTTTCCCACTTCGTATTTAAACCATCCGAAGTCCAAACCATTCCAAACCTGGAATTGCCTTGTATTGTGCGGAAGTCATTCTTCAGATCCTCGCTGGACCCTTCGCTAACCGGCAGGGATACACAGCGCTGTGGGAACATGGAACATCATGGAACATGCCGCAGCTTTGGTCTGGACGGCCCGAGAAGGCGACGGCCTGTGAGTCTTGATGGCATCGCGTCGCCACTTCAGAAAAGAAACCAGGGGTTCGCTCCCTCAAAGCAAGATACTCAAATCGTGGACCGTACGTTGTCCGATTTCGGGCGAAGGACATCAGGTGTCGCTTGTGAAGCGCTTCTTGGAACGATACTTGACGAGCTGGCATTGATGAGCACAAGGTCCGCCTGTGCGATCTCTGTCTTCAGCAGGTTCAGCTCTTTGGCGACCTTTGAACCGAGCGTTGTAGTGCCCTACATCGGCCCATTCTGACAAGTTGCGCACGGCCGCGCGGGTGAGCTGCACGCCCTCCTCAGCCTGAACCAGAGAAACTTGGAGCTCTGCAGGGCTTGACTCCGATGCCGAGCGGCAGGCCGGCAAGGTCGGGGAGCATACGCTCGCTGCGGATACGTGGCCTTCCTGGCTCAGACGTTGTCGGCAAACTTCCTGGACAGGTGCGTGCATCGGACGCGGAGACACCAGGCATCACCGAGTCCACCGAGACGGATGTTAATTACGACACGAAACGTCGCTGCACCACGCGAGCAACACGATTTCGCCCGACTGAAACGCTCTTCCCTGCATGTACTGGCGGGGCTTAGGCCAGTCTGCTACGCCTGCTATGCTATGCAAAACCTGTGCTTCTTGTTGAGACATGTGGAATGCCACCGCGTGCAGAATGCAGCGTTCGCAACTCCACATTTCTGATGTCGACTGCATAGCATAGCAGTGCATTGAGCGAGAAAGCGTCGTCATGATTGCCATCACGTACATGCCTGCAACGCTATATCTGAAGCCTCCGATGCACGGAAGACAGACTCGCCGTGGCTGGGCTCTCGCCTCATGCTCCACGATCTGGAGCAAGCCCAAGCCTCAACGAAGGAACGAACGAAAGAAGCTTATTGAGCGATGATGTGTTTGTTTGACAAAAGGGGCTACTGGTAGTTAGCACGTTGCAGCTAGTCCTTCGCCTTTGGAGCTGAAGAGGCTCAGAGAGGCTCAATCCAACAACCGCAGTTCGGACTCTTGGAAGAGACTTGGAAGACGTTTCTTTGCATGTCGACCTCTCAGAAGTAACACTTCAGGTCTCTTTGACTGGCTTTGCTTACATGTCGCTTGCGGCCGCCGGCCGACGGCCCTGGCCTTGCTGTCCGCAGATGGAGCAGACGAAGCAACCGCGACTGTCCAAGCCTCGGAGCTGTGAGTGCCTTTTTTCATGCTCATTGGGAAGTGGTTGGGAAGTGGAAGAAGTGGAAGAGTAAGGTCAGGTCTTCCGATTTCGCCAGCCTGGCGGAATCTAGGGTGTCGCTGTCGGGCGCACGAAAAATACGCACAGAGACAAAGGACCTCGATCTTCGCGAGGGCTGTTTGCAAAGACATGGACTTGTCCTGACTCTTTACGACGAGTTCAGCTGCTTGTCAGGTATGGCTGCACTACAACCCGTACCGGTCCTGCCACACCTTCTCAGCGTCGTCAATGCCCGGCACTCCCTGAGCACCAAGGAGGAAACTGTGAGCATCTGTACGTGCAACAGCTTATGCTTAGTGGCCTCAACTCTCAGGTGCATGTCGTCAGCTATACTATATGACTTTACTTGTATTTCCAAGTCCCAGAAGATCTCAAAGGGTTTGGCGCGAGGGGGCCATCACCGAGCCTCGGCCATCCGCATGCGCTTGCAGCGCACAAGATGCTCTGGAAGATCATCTTTTCGCACCTTTGGACACTGCAACATGGCAGCCGAGTCGTATGAACAAGCGGCACCGCAGGAAGCTGACCAACGAACTGGGTTTGGCAGTTTGCTTCGTCACATCTCTGTGCATATCCGTGCATGTTGCAGGGTCTTGTGGAGGATTTGCAGCGGGATTTTGCAGGCACTGCGTGCTTCAGATGATTCAGACATATCACACATGTGTCTAAAGCCTTGGCATGTTCCGTCCTCTAAACCATGCTCTGCGAGCTATCGTCTGGGACATGCCAGGATTTTCCGTGATTCCGCTAGCCCGGACTGCCAGAGTAGCAGAGATCGGACTCTGAGCACAAGGCCGGACGCTTACACGAAGAGCAGGTGACCAGCTGCGCTCGCGCTTGTCCTTGAGAAGCCATGCTCAGCATCGTTTGGTGTGTTGCTGGCTGTGTTACTGTAGTGAGGCCGCAGCTCGCACATGCCTGGCATGGCGGCAAATGCACAGTAACGCACCACTTGTAGGGTGAGAGAGGCTTGGGGGAATTCTCGCGCCTTGAGATGATACTTCAGGGAGGTTCCCAAGAAAGTTTGACCTCGGAAGGATGCAGCAACACATACCGAGGATGCTGGCTGCACGTGGAGGCTGAGGTGCCGAACTGCAAATTGGGCAACACTGGCCTCAGAGTGCCACTCAGATGTTGCGAATGATACGTTCACAGGTGCCTCGCTGCAAAGCGAGCCTCCTTTCAGAGCAAATGCCATCAAAGCACAAATCAGCTTCAAGCCACTTTATTGTAGATTGTACGAGCAGCTTCGCAACGTGCCAAGCCTTACTAAAGAAGATTGGCAAAGTGTTACGAGGAGAAAGGAGATGCAGAGGAAGGCTGGCATGTTTCAGCAGGACTACTATTCTTCGATGCTGACTGTGCGAGTCATCCCACATTGCAATGAGCCAGTGCAATTTCGTGGGCGAGACAAGACAAACTTTGGGGACAGGCCCAGTGCAACAACATCCACCTGCCATGGCTCAATTTCGGAACTGTCGTTTCGGCGAAAAGCGGCATTGATCCGGACTGGCTTTCGCCAGGAGCTGACATGCCAATTTAGCACGTCTTTTCCCTGTGGAGGTAACCTCGGTGAGGGTTCGTTGACCCAGTACGAGACCACCTCAGAATGCCTTAGAACGTTGCCTTCATGGGAACATATCTCAAAAGCTTCGGCCAAGTGCCACAGCAGCCTAGATCAACGTGGGATGGAGCAACTTCTGTGCCCTGCTCATTCCTTGTCGTCTTCGACCGAAGAGCTTCTTCGTCAAATGCGTGCAACTCTTCATAATATGAAAAAGCGGAATCTACAAGGTGATATGTCAGAGCATGAACTAGCTCTGCGCCCAGCAGAATGAGCATTCCATGCTCCAAAGAGACAACAACTCCGTACTTGGCGTACATGGACATACACACCGTAACCAAGTAAACGCCGACCATGGCTACGTCCAGCATGGATAATTTTCGTGCGATCCTTGCAATGGTGATCCACTTGCAGCTCGTGGGCACCGGCGGGAGCGGGAGCGGCTGTGGCTGTGCAATGGGATGCTGCCCTTCGATCTCCGCATGTGAATGTGGCTGATTGAGACTTGCATAGTTTTTACTACTGGAAAGGAGCTGCAGGGCAGCCAATACCAGCGCAAGCATATCCAAGAAGGTGCTACCCACAACACACACCAAGATCAAAGCGAGCGAGAGAACTGTATTGGCTTCCCCCTCGTGCAGCCTGCCGACGTAGTCTGTGACACATGAGACGATGCTTGTCTCTGACCTGAGCAAGTGCCTCAAATCCAAGATATCAACCACAGTTCGGGCTGATTCTGGCAGAGGCCCATATGGAGGAAAGAGCTGCTTCGTCTCGATGTGGAAAGACATGCACGGGGCATGCAATCCGTGTAAAAAGACGGGGACGAACACCAGCACGAGCCTTAGAGTCAAAGTACAACTGATGATCACGCTGGCCAAGCTACTCAACTCTTTGTCAAGACCTTCTACTTGTACCAGATCTCAATGCTAGGCACACCTGGTGAACCAAAGCAATGCAGATGTGTGGACTCAAACCCTGCGAGTGACAAGCTCACCGCAATGGCCAATCCACGTTCTCCAAGGTGTCGCAGGGCCACAGGCGCGATCGGAACCGATTTCCGAGACGTTGCCTCCCAAAGTGATGCAACTTGGGGAGGGCTAGGACGGCCAGGATGTGGTTCAGCTACTGGAAGTGGTGCTATCCAGTATGTCGGAATAACAACTGCTTTGAGATACTTTCAGGCAGGCTTGCCACTGTGAGAACGGATCACGAGTCCAGCCCGGCCTGTGGCAGCGGCACGCCCAAGGATGAGACAGTTGCTGTCACCACGAATGTGCTGAAGCAGGAGAAGCCGATCTCCAGCCTGCATGGGTTCTATGTAGATAATTTGGATTATGGCCGCTTGGCTTGGCTTTTTGCAGATGTTGCGCCTCGCCCTCGACAGAATTAGTGGCTCCTGATCCAGGGTGCGCACCAAGTCGACCAGCAGGACGTAAGCGAACATATCTGGAGAAGCCCACTTAGACCTATGCTGCACCCACAGAATGACCCATCGGAATATCTCGGCACACCTTGCAGAAGTGAAGCGAAAGGCTTCACCCAGAACAAGCATGATCAGCTCGAAGACAGGGATGACCATGGAAAACAGGATAACCAGGAACGCACCAATCCGAGAGCCGGTTTTCCAGAGAAGGTGTGCCAAGCCAGTTGTCGTCTCAGTGCAGACTGGGTGGCCAGCTTCCGGTTCAACATTCTTGCGGTGTCCGATTATGTTGATCACGATGCTAAAACTGAACACCGGGTTGATCAATCCAGGAATTAACAGCAAGTAGCTTGTGCATAGCAGTAGTATTGCCCAAAAGTGTGGCCGGCCCTCCATAAGTGCTCCTCGGCACCTGCTGTCGAGGACCCAACCAAGCACAAGTGAAAGGCAAACCGCTACAAGTATAAGGATGGCAAGCCAGTTGATTTGCTCCGGCGAGTCACCACCGAGCTTCGGTGGAACGTCGTAGTCCGGTCGATTCAGTCCGGAATAAACCTCATGCATTCCTGCTGACACTGCATTCCCCACCTTCTCCAGTTGAGTTTGGAGCGACATTGCGCTGCTTGTGTTGCGGTGCAGGTGAGGCCATGCTACTCCACCGTCACTTGTGAAGGAAAACATCAGCAGTATCACGCGCATGTCCGTATGCATGCGTGGATGTGGCAAGATCAGGGTTGAAGCAGCCAGCCCTTGGGTAGTCTGTGGCAGTTTCTTGTTTGAACCCGAAAATTCGTCCAACACCAGTGTTGCAGCCCGGCTCTAGTTCAAAAGAGCCGGTAACTCGCAAAACAAGCTGGTGCTAAATATTTGTAATTATGATCAGATAGCTAGGAGAACAGAGAACAGCATGAATTGCTGAAAACGGCACCCCTTTGCAGATGCTTCTGTCATCTGAATTCAATTTCAAGGCCGCCGACAGATACCCGAACACCTGGAAAACCGGAACTTTCTCCGCGCTGCGACTTCCCGCTTTCGGAGGTGCCGTACAGGTCCCCCGAGCGCCGCATCCAGGCGCGCCGCGGCCTCCGAAGGAAACCACACAACCATCGAAATGCAGCGGTGCCGCAGAATCGTGTTTGAAAGTTGAAAGCAACGAGGCTAGCAATCCCTTCTGCTTAGTTCCGGAAGACACACACACACACACACACGCACAAGATGCCGTACTGTGAACACAAGGGAAAGTGCATAGTCCGATCTTGGCTGCTAGGTGGGGTTGCGAACACTAGAGGGATGTATGAAAAAAAGACATGCGACACAGCTACTCAATCTTGTCTCTACAGCACCAGAGCTTGAACTTTCGAATTCGATCCAGTGCTGGCCTCACTTCGGTGTCTCTGTTTCTCCTGTCGCGAGTGACGATCAGGCTTCTTGGGAGAATTATTGAGAAACGGAAAGCAGATCGGCGAGGCAAACTGACACTGCCCCCATGCGCTTGCTCGAGTCCAAACTTGCCACACTCAAAGCGCAAACCGCTAAAGGATTCCTGCCAGCGCTCGGGGTTTGAGTGTTTTCCCGACCGACACGCCCTTTAGCTCGAAACACGGAAGGATGAGGTCATACCGAGCTATACCCACCCAGCACTGGAGGGAAAGGGAGACTTGCTGCACGCCCCAGACTCCTTCCTTTCGCAGTCTTGCTGCATCAGACATCGAGGGCAGAGATGGGGAGGGACGGGTAAGTGGGAGTCGTGCTTAGCTGCTTTTGTAACCGGGCTCGCAGTCATACGGCGTATGCTCCTACGCGTGGCCTTCTCAGGAAAGCTAACTAAGGATGGCCTCGACACCCCCGTGTTCGTACGAACCAGGACTAGTTTTGCTACGCACTGCCTCGGACTGCCAAGATCTGCTAAGGAATAATGCTTCATATACAACGACAGTTGGAGAATCATGCATGGCTTCAATCTTTTCCTACACGCTGCAAGTCACGACCAGATGCTGTGCCAGCACTGCCATACAATGCTGTAAGTCCTGCAACGAACGACACAACGGCTACACATCGCCGAACCGCTTTGCATGCCTTGCAAGGCTGCAAGACCGATGTGGCCAAGTTTTCGACAAAAACGGTGGTACCGCGTCCGGACAAGTGCCCCCGCTGAGCCTCCCTGTTAAACGTCCGTATTCGACTTCAGTGTGGAACTGAGCACATCTGAGCACCATGCATGTTTTCTCCATCGCCATTCCAGTACATCATGTGCGAAGTCTTCCATGCATGCCATCGCAACACGCCTTCATCTTGACTGAATGTCGTGACACAAGAAAACTTTGGCGATCAGAGTCAGAAAAAAAAACACTCGTGTCTGTGAGGATCAAGTCACAGCTTGACGGACAATATCTGGTGCAGCTCGCGCGGGAGGACACATGCTAAGCTGCACTGTCCACTGGCCAAGTGCTGTGTCCTCGCCAGAGTAAAGGTCATCCACCCACGTCTTGACATTCCTGGCATGAGGCGGAAAGCAGCTGCTGCCCCATCCTTCACGCTGTCTGGCAGCTGTCGGATGGCAGCTACTACCACAAGCACCACAGGAAGAGAGAGAGTGAGAGGGCGAGCGAGAGATAATGAATATGAAGCGCCAAAAGTCTTCAACATTGCACCCATTCTGCTGTCTTCGCATCTCTCACAGCACGTGTGGGTACGCCTGCTGTCCGGGTCTGCCATGCTTGCCATGTCTGACCTGCCGCGAGATGGAGCCGTAGGTGTCTCAGGAGCAGTCATGCATTTGCCCTGTGAGCGGGTGCTCCAAGCAAGCCCCTCCTACCAAGTCGACCGAAAAGGGGTTTGACTGGCAACCTGCGAATCGACCTCTCGTGGATAAGCAGCTTTCAGCTGAGGCTGCTGCAAAGAAGGGCTGCCCCAGCCCTGATTTTGAAACGACAGATGCCCACAGTTTGGAGAATGCGCACTCTTTCTCTTGATGACCTTAATTCTGAATTCTTGTCATTCTTGTTTTTTGGCCACTCGTGTTTGAGAAAGAACCAAACACAAACTGTTCGGGTGCAGAGTTTCATGTTGTTTTCCTGCGACATGCTCGGTTCATGTCGGAGGTCCTTCCTCCATCGCTGTGCCAAGAACTGCATAATTTGTTCGCCTGGTGTGGCCTTGCAAGTGCTCTTCTTGAGCTGGCTCTTGGTCTTGGGGCTCCTGCTGAACCGGAAAACAATTGATTTCCTTGCAGACTCTACATGATCCAAGCTCAAAACACATGTGTGCTTCAAGGCATTCCGATTGCACCGGCTCCCCGAAAGCCCCAACACTACTGTTGCCAACGGAACCTCAAGCAGAACAACCTCCCCGAGCACTGGAGCACCGCCACGACAAACGGTCGGACTGTCTCAGGGTGTGACCAACGTTTCCCACTTCTGCACACCAGTCTCCGTCAGAAAACCCTTCGTCACCTTCATCAGCTCACGACCTGTAGCCCAGGCTGCAAACGGTATCGCGTGGCGAGAGGCTAGCTCGTCTCCACTCGTCCAGGAGGGCGCACCATGTGCCACCAGCACTGCTCGTCCGCGTGGGTGCGGTAGACGCCCTGTCCGACCGGCCTCATCTCAACTGTCCATGGAACGGCAAATGGAGTGGCACACAACATCAGCCGACCGTCTGCGAAAGCAAAAGCAGTCTTTCTCGCAAATCTGCGCAGTTACGGCGGCCGTGCGAAACAGTTCATCTGCTGAGCCAGACTTCGTTGAGTATCGGAGATGCTTCATGATGCTTAACCAGGACCCAGGAGCCGGCCCCGTCAACCAAGAACGACCCCAAACCCAAAACATGTCACTGCAAGCCGCAGCCTCACGTGACGGAGGCAACTATCTTGCACATGCAATCCTGAGGTGGAAATATGATGAAATATGTGGAAACTCACGGCACAGTCCTCTGAGCCCTTGCAGTCTCTCTTTCCGCGCTGAGGTGGCCAAACATGGCAAGATCGCACAAATGCCGCTCGTGATCCCACATTTGACAGGCTGCAGCGGCTAGTACAATATGAAGCCTGGCTCAGGAGGGTCAATTACCTTGGGGTCTTCTGTGATGCTGATCCCGGAGATGTACACATCGCCTAAGTTCCGACGTTGCAGAAGCAGGCAATCCAAAGAGCAAGCGAAAAGCCGTGCGACAGCCAAGCAAGGAGTGTTTTTTTACAAATGCAATGAAATCGAACTGGCGGAACTTCTGCTTTCCCCTGCCACGACATAAACATACAAGCACACAATACTGTTCTAGAATGGGGGTGGTCCAGCAGTTCTGAGCCACGAATCAACTCTGGGTTTGACCGCATGCTGATGTCACTTGATGTCTTATGCCTTTGCTGCACGCATCTTCCGGAGTATCGTGTCTGCATCGGCCGAGTCACAGATGATGCCTTCAGGCAAATCCTCGTCTTCGACGGCCTGCAGCCAGGTCCACACCCAGCAGATTCTCCTATGATCCGTAGGCTTGCCTGCCTGGACGGTGAAGCCATAGTGACACTTCGCCTTGAGGCTGCAACCGTGGCAATCTGGTCACGTACTCTGCGGCACCCGTGCAGCTGCTCCAAGCGGCCAGTGGAATAAAGTCCCGGAAGTTGTACAGCACATCCACGAAGAGGAAAGGGAACTTCCGAACATCAAATCCTTAGTCTCGGGATAGCACTTGTCACATCTTGTACAGTACTGTGTGAGCACAAGACACCAAATCTCTGTTGGCAGCTTTACACGGCTGCAGAGCTGCAATCTGCTAAAGGTACTGTGCAAAATCGCTTCCGAACATCCAATGCAACGGTCCAATACTCGTCAGCATGTGCCCGAAATAATTCCACAAGATGGAGAAGGTGAGTTCAAGGGTACCAGCTTCAAAAGCGTCTGAGGCTAAGGCCCACTTCCAACCATTCGCCCTGAGGATCCTTGATGACGTAGCCTGAGCAATAATTACCCGAGAAGGAAACATCAGGACGACGGACGTCTTTGGCAGCAGAACTGCGTGCACAGCCTGTGCTATACTGGGATATAGTGGAACACTTCGGAGTACCAAGACGTATCGCGCATGTCCAGAGCATATGAGCTTGTGAGCAAAAATCAAACCCTTCTGCCAACGACGTCCGCAAAGTATCTGCAAGGTGAATTGCTGATTCTCGCAGCACTTCGCTACTTTCGCAAGCAAAGCCTCTGAGCACTCTTCGGCGAGTAGGATGATGGTTTTGCGGCTCGGGTCAACGCATGTTCATGATCTCTGCTTATTCTTCTGTATTTCCACTTCACTGCGCGGGCCAGGAGTCTTTCTCCGAAGGACCAATGTTTGGGGGGTGGGGTGCAGAAACGAACTTCACAGCTGCATTGCTTTGGTAACGAGCTACGTGCAGGACAACCAGAAGAAGTACAAGTCACAGTTGTCGGTTTGGCAATCGTAAAAAAACTCCCTTGCTGGGCTGCCTCTCACAAGCTGCGCTGATGGAGATGTTCACCGATGGCCCAACTTTTCTGATCTCCTCCATAGTCTTACTCCTCACAGTATTCACAGTGTCTCACACTCATCACACCACACCAACCTCTCGTGAACCTCACGAGAGTACCGTTGCTCAGAAGCCAAGCGGTCGATGCCAATGTAGTCAGGCAGTTCGGGATTTGAGGCTTGGCACCGCGTGTTGCGTGCTTGACATCTTCTTAGCTGCTGATGGAAACTCAGGCTTCATGCCTGCAGGATTCGGGGATGGTTCAAAACCCTTCCACAGCAGCTTTCACGTGTGTGCCTGCGTCGCGGAACCCAATTTCTGAAAGCATTCGGACTCCCAAGCATCCACAGATTAATGTATATTAATGTACAGCCTCGTGCCCAAAAAGGCAGCAGCAGCCGCCGCGCTGGAAAGCTACAGTCTGCTGTTGGATAGTCCGAGAGCTTCCAGTTGCAATCCCGGCTAGAGGGTGCGGCACATGAACCCTTCGCTTCAGCAGAAGCAGCACACAAGAGCAAACAGCACGACACAAGCATCTTCTTCATTCACCATGTAGCCGCTGTCTGCAATAACGAAGGATTTGCCATTGAACCTCAGATGTTGATGAAGTGGTGCATGGAAGAACATAGTGGCCCCGAAGCCACAAGCAGAGACGAGCGAGCAGAACTTGCCAGGGCGCTGATGCAGAAAATCTGGGACACCGAGCCTAGGCGGTGCTAGCTCCGGGCCCACGAACATTGCTTCCAGAGATCAAGCGTGGCCGGAAGGCTCGGCTTGGTTCAAACACCATCCTGCAGCTCGGAGCAGTCCTGGATCCATGTCCTTATCGGTGATACCAGTACCGGGTGCAGTCTCAAGTCGAATTCCACCCCTGCCTTCCGCTTTGAGGTGTCGCGGCGACGGTACGCACTCCTGCAGGCGCTTATTCATGATCGTCTGCTCAGTCTTCAATGCTGTTTAGGAAATGAACGGCGGCTGCTACCTTCACTCTGAGTCTGTCATGTCTCAGACCTCGACAACAAGATGCCAGACAGTATTCATCGAGTGGCCCAGAGTCCACCGATATGCATACCGGCTGCCACGCCTCTGTCTCTGTCTGTCTGTGTGTCTGTCTCTGTGTGTCCCAGTCTGTATGTGTCTGCCTCTGCCTCTGCCTTTCTTTCACCAGGCTTGAGGGCGCACCCCCATGGGGCACGCCTGTCTGTTGGCTGAATGCACGGAGTTTCGTGCGACAGGCTAGGCTACTTGCCCCTTGTGTCTCTGTCTCTCCATCTCTCTGCCTCTCTGCCTTGCTTGCAATCGGACAAAGGAGCGCGCAACGCACCCCTCTCTGGATCTCTGTCTCTCTCGTCGCTTTGCTCCGGGGCAAGAGCTGCAAGCAGTCCTTGCAGCACGCATCCAACATTTTGTTAGGATGGGCTCTGCTGTATAGAGGCGAAAAAAACTAAGTGTCCTTGTGTGGGGGTCTGTATGCTAGCAGAAGTGGGTGCCCCAAGTGTTCACGAAACGCCGCTGTTCCCCGACAGTGACAGTAGACAAGAAGAGGGAAAACGCCTGCGACCTTCAGCTCCACCCTGGACCTACTCCACAAACTTGGGTGCCGCTCCTTGCTCATCAGCAAACTACGGCAGAAAAGTTGCTCATTGGGAAGGAACGGCGCGTCGAGCCGGTAGTTACAAAACTGTGTGGTCCAGTAGTGTCGCGTGCATGTGCAGGGTGGGCTGCAAAAACATATCCGTCCGTCCGTCCGTCTGCCTCTGTCTGTCTGTGCGTGTGCTTGTTATGCTTGTTGAATGCAGTCTCACGACTTTGGCTCTAGCCCGGCCACGACCTCGTAACTGTGTGTCCTGTCGGGATGGTCTGGAGGACAGCCGGGATTTCCAGCAGGTCCTCAACAGCAGGGGCAATCCAGCGCATGTCTCTGCCATCTTCGCTGCAACTATTGGCCTGCTTCAAGCATGGTTGCTGTGCATGTGCAGCATGGCCGCAAGTCAGCAAGTCGTCCAATATCTGCATGTCTTGTTCTTTCTGTTTTTTCGCCAAAGGGGACATGAGTGCGACCGTTGCCCCCGCGCAACTGCACCCGCCTTTCTTTCGGAAGGGCTAAGTAAGGATCAAGGAGCGACAATCATATCCCTCTCTTTTTTTATCTTCTCCCACACAGAGCCAAGAGTAGTAGGGCGACTGCACCCCCGCGCGCAAGCGCACGCTGGTTTAGGGGACCTCTCTCTCTCTCTCTGCCGGTTGATGCGGCATGGATGATAGACGCGAGCAAAAAGTGGAGTGAAGACGTTGAAAATGCCTTCTCCACTCCGGATCAGGTCAAGCACGGGTCAGAAGCGTGCCTGAATTGGAGTTTCGTCTGAGCTTTGTCCGAAGGCTGATCGGGAGATATCGAAACTATGATTAACATGTTCCCCAGTTTGACAGCACAACATCAGACTTGTCATGAAATACAGTGGCCTTTAGGATCGTGGTCCATGTGAAAAATCCCTCGCCGAAGTGAAGTTCCCATACATGCATGAGCTGACAAAAAGCAAGGATCTTACCTTATCCAGGGAGCTACGCCCTCATACGCCCTCGATGAGGACGAGCCCTGCATGCATTACCGTATCGGCGGAAGCCCAACACCTCGGGAGATGAAAGCAGACGGTCGCACAGAGGGAGAGGAGACACAACCCGCGACACTACCGAGCCGAAGGGGGTACCACCAACTGCAACCGACTGCCCCACGATACGTCCTACTGTTCCCTGCTACAGCACCGTTCGTGAAAGAATATGGGGGTGCAAAAGCCCCTAAGCCGGATTAACGTCTGCAACTGACATACCGACCACATGAAAGTCGATGTACAAGGGAGCACGGCCAGATGGCCTCGATGCAAGAACCCAGCGTGGTCTCCGACCAAACTAAGCCCGTGAAGAACCATCGCAAAAACGCTCCCTGTCTCTGTCTCTCTCGCGATCTGAGCAAGTGTAGCCCGTTGTGCCACATTGCTGCTTTGACTCTCTGTGTGTGGCAAACAAATCAAACGAAAATTGGGAGTTGCATGATCTGCCTTCACAGAACTTGCGGAACATCCGTACCTGCGGCGGAAGAAAGGCAAGAAAGGCTTTTTCCAAACACATGGCCTGCCACCGCTATGACCTCCGCCTTCCCCCAAACATGCGAACAAGTTGCACATGCCGGCGGCGCAGAACTATTAACCTGTGCCACCTCGATTTCGAGACAAAAGGTCTCTCCAACAGCAGCATGCAGGATTCATCGGAGAATGCAAAAAGCGAATACCTGCACAGGTCAAGACGAGGGACCATGTGCAAAATTGAGAAACCCTGAAACACCTTCCGGTTTGTCGGTCGGAGGTCGCGATTCGGCATTTGCAGCCCAACCATTCCAATAGAATGAGCGCCCCGCCGTCTCGTTAGTGATCTCGAAGAATCCAACATAACCTGAGATGCAAAGCGCATCTCTGTTCCGCACAAGGCCGTTCAAGAGGCTTCTGAACGGGTGGGTGGCGACCCGAATCGTTGTCCCGCATCTCTCACACTCCGCCAGGCTGCTGCACCCACCTTCATCTTTGGCCCAGGGATTCTTTGGGTTGTAATGCGGTAGCATCACCTTCAAGCTCGACATGCCACTGACATTAACTTGCGATGCCAGGGACGTAGTCGTGTAAGTCTCACATACCCTTTCAGTGCAAAGCCCGAATGTCTCTCTACACAGCTTCCAGGTTGAAAAGCTAGGCATTCTACCATGTCCATGGCACGGTTCCCAAGAGAAAACTTGCACCAATTGAACAGAGCTGCGTTGATGCAAAGAATCCTGGGCAGCGGGCAGCCAAAACCTGAAGCCCAGCATCACCATGGAACATCTCGAGCCCTTGCATGCCCTTGCATTTGCAAGTGATGGTATCCTGGCAATCCTGGAATGGAGCTATCCGTGCTTTAAGTCACATGCAGACACGCAACATCAAGCAGCAAGAAAAGATGCAAACGCCCAGCACACCCGCATACCGAACATAACATGGACAGGAATGTACAAGACCAACGGAGGGTTTGGACAGGTCGGCCGGCAGGTGGTCAGAACGCAGTTGTACCGGTTTTTCCGGTGCACCGGCAGACAGCAAACCTGCTCATGGTACCGTCCTATCATGTCCGATCCACAGTGCAAGCCCGCAATCCAGGCGTGCTACCAGGCTTATGCACAGCCGGTGATGCTAAAGCCTGCCCATTTGAAGCTATTTGCGGTCTGGCTTTGCGCAAAACTGCTTGTGGGGCATGTCCTGAATAATGCATAACTACTTTTTGTTGTGCCGAGAATCGCCATTCACTCTTTGGTGAAGTCGGTGGCAATGATGTGACCTCTTGTAAGGTCGGCGACCACACGTGTGCACTTGCGCCTATCACTGGTACTCCTGACTCTTGGGCTGAGACAGCGCTGCCGACGATACTGTGAAGCGGCACTGAAGAGCAAATGGCATCCACGGTCAGTGTGTGATACCTTAGTTCTGAGGCCTTGGGGCCTTGAGCAAGAAACTGGAGCGACGCAGCATGTGCGAAGCAAGTTCTCTGTAAGCATGTATTACAAGGCAGAAGCAAAAACGGTTGGCGAGCACGGGTGACGGTTTATTAAGTTGTTTGAGGGGTTTACAGCACAAACAACACAGCAAAGCAAACAGCATGCAGGAGTAGTGTTATACCTTGAGCATATGTGAGTCAAAAAAGGTCGAATTCGTAATGCTGTGTCAGGTTGTACTGGCGTGTTCGGCTCAAGCACCACTACTCGCAACATGACTGTCCACTGTACATGAAGGTTGTTGCTTCAACCCCCCTGTTGCAAGCACATTGACGGGAACTGGCAAAGCAACAGCATAACTGTGCAGTTTTTTGATAACTTAAAGGCCCTACTGCTGATCTCAACTCAAAGGACCTCACACCCCGAGACAAGTGAAAGCCCGCATCCCTTTGCAGCTGCTGCTCTTGCCAACGTAAGCTGTTCCAGCCACGAGGGGTATAAGCAACAAGCACACCCGTTGTCGTAAGGATCTTTGCTAAGGAACGGTGCAATGTTTACGGGAAGGCTGAAAGGAAACTGGAAGGTCAAGGATGCAACCAGGGAGGTTGCAGTCCCACCAACTGGGGACATTGGTCCTCTCCGTGTGTGTCTTCAACCCATAATATCTTTCCGCCCACGTAATCGGCTCGGTTTGAGCAAGGCAGGCTCGTTCCACTTGCCGCTGTGCAGTTCGGCCTTGTTGTTGACCATGGAACAAAAGCACCGCTGTAAACGTGTGGTTTCTGCGCTGCTGTCTGACAAGCCGGGTTACCGTGTCTGGTAGAAGCCTTGGCAGCAGCAATTTAGGACTTTCAAAGGCAGTCCGCATTGGAAGTACGGGGTGGCATTCTGGAATGTGAAGTTCTTCAAACGGAATAAAAACGGAAAGGATGCTGGGGAATCCTCTTTGACGCGTTTGTAATCTGGGACAAGGTACACGGCCTGATAGGATTCTGACCCACTATCAAAGCGCCATTCGTCAAACAAGTCGGGAACAGCGAAGGGGTCGAAGTTTCTTTTGTGAACTGGATCAGATCTGTATAAGTGACGAATGGTAATTTCAGAACCAATGGCAGCAACGTAACGAATGTGTTCTGCCAGGTTCAACGCAAAGGCGCGACAACCCAAGTCTGATCTGAAAACCAGACGGTGGTCTTCTGTGGGCCGGGTCGGTTCTGTAGAAAAAGCGGACTGCTCGCGCTATGGTCTTCATGTCCTTTTGTGAAACATTGCAGTGTGGACAACGGTTTGCGAGGGTAGGCGTGCTCACACAGGTTACTTGTTGGCAAGCGGCGTCGCTATCTAGAAGGTTTGCCCTCCGGGCCTTTGGCACCAGCTTTGCCGCTTCCATCCGCTTCCTATGGTGGCACATTTCACAGAGCTTTTGGACTTGGGTGTTCCGTGCTTCCCAACTCCCTTCGGTTCGCCTTTGGCTTACCAGGGAGAGCACTAGACTGGTTGTCGGTGGGGACGGCAACTTCTCCAATTTTGTCGGACGCAACGGCTCCAGTGGCTTTGTCTTTTCTTTGTTTCTCCTTGCAGGCTTCGGCTTTAACATCCTGTGGCTTTGGACTTGCACCAAGCGGGTCTGTAATCGCTGCTTCGTTGGCATCCCCGCGCACTGCTGCAATTGCCTGTCCCAACTATGCACATCTGATCCGTCTCTTGCAGCTTTGATGCCGTCAACGTGCCGCTGTATCAGCCTACAGCACTGCAACCGCGAAAACAACCATGTACAGCGGGTTCGCTTTGATGGTTGAAGGTCAACCGGAGTGGCATTCAGAATGTATCTACCCTGTTCACACAGGCTAGTAGGCTTTGGTACGTACACGATTTTTCAGCTCAAGGAGGGCTTGCTCGGTAGGTTAGCACCTCGCAGAAGGTCAAGGAAGTAGCGTGTAGCCACCACTTGTAGGAGAAGCCCTACCCTTCGCAGCTGTATAGATTGAAACTGCATGCCGAGTTCGCTCGACATGTGCTTCGGATCAGCGAGCAAACTGCGATGTGGGCATGCAAATCGCGGAGGATTGCCAGGATCAGACACATCAGCAGGGTTTGAAACCCCGATCGGAGCCATAATACTGCCATAACCCAGTGCAGCAACGTGTAACGGCCAATGCGTTCAATCGAGCATAATCGCGCGATGAAAGGGTTTCGCCAACTACGAAAACTGGCCGCATCACGACGCAACATGTCTATTTTGATGACTGTCAGGTCCTTGTTCTGGTACACAAACACTCCCAGACTGGGTCTGCTATGCAAATTGTGGGGTGTTGAATGTCAAACCTGGTGAGCCACCTGGGGCACCCAGCACTACGAGGCGATCGAGACTTGAGGATGATGAAGGGCTGGAGTACGTTCTGAAGCAAAGGAGCTTGGTGAATGGAAACTGCAAATCGGCAACGCTGGCGATTGCGCGGGGTGGGCCAAACCTTGACAAACCATCAGTTTGGGCTCCAAAAGTAGGGTTGTGCCTGGAGGCAAAATGACCACACAGGCTGATGCAGCAGAATGTGCAGGGGACGCAGCTGGTTGTTGACTATGGTCCGGCAAATCGAAACCGGCAGGACGAGACTACTTGAATTCAAAACCTCCGCGGACGGAGGCTTCAGCCGTAACTAGCTGATACTGTAAATGTTTGGATTTGCATGTTCAAGTCAAGCTCTCTTTTCAGCTGCCTGCGACCATAACTCCTGCGTCAACCTGGGTTGCCTTGCTTCTGCCTTTGCATGACATTCACGAAGCATCCGAACGATTTCCTGCGATGCCTCGTGCCCCATCTGCTCCGCTAGCTCTGCGAACTGCACCCACACAGATTGTACATGCTGACATGTTTCATGACGAACGTTCGTGCAAGTGCTGCACGACCCCCTCACGAATACATCGCTGAAGCTGTTCGGCTCCTGCATGCTCCTGCACAACCTGAATAAGGTCCGAACCTGTTTGAATCTTCTGTAGTGGAGTTGAAGCTCGTGCGTTAGTGCAAATGCAGCTCGGGGGAAGGATGAGGAATAGGCGGTTGAGCGGGTCAGGAAGAAGGCATCGTGCAACCCCTGACCAACGCTGGGGATGGAGGCCTAAGCCCGTGCGCCTGAACGAAGGACCAAAGCACCCGTCCTTGGCAATGAGCTAGGATTCTGAAGACTGACGACCCTCGGGTAATATGACCCTTGCGCGCATTGGAGGAAGTTCTAGAACCTGACCCTGGTCGAACGAAGGATGCGGTCGAATGACCCCTCGGGTCTGTAGGCGAAAAGCGGACACCACGCCACGGCAGCAAATGTTCGGTTTATCGTCAACGTGCACAGGTCGGATGTCTTGCTCAATCGTCTGAACCAACCAGGAGATACAAGGAGATTGGCCAGCACTGGCCGCCAGCCGCCAGCTCAATTGAACAGCGCCAACAAATCGCGTGAACACCCAGCCTGGCGACGGTGACCTGGTTTGTTTCAGGCAGCATAAAGCGAGCCAGAACAATGCCAGGATCCGGGTGGCTTCTGCGTTACTGTTGGGGATGACCTGGAGGCAAGTGTGCCCGCGCAGGATCAAATATGGAATATGAAGTGCAGAAAGTGCTTGGCTCTGGTATGTAGCAGGGAGGAACAGCATAGAATATGGACGTTTCCCTGCCGGCTGATCAAAGTATGAAGCTCGACCCTAAGGGAGCAAACACGGTTCACAAGTGGCTCTAGATTCACTTACGAACACCGCCTAGTTCCAGTTAACGACGCTGAAGCCGTTAAGTTGTTTGTGTCAGGTCGTACTGACGTGTTCGGCTCAAGCAGAACTCCTCGCAACATGACCGTCCAGATGCCGTATACGGGGATGTAAATCCTCGATGTTTCTTCAGCTTATTAATCGTCTTCGTCCCCATGCGACCACTAGCCCGAAAGAGTGAACGGTTCAGGAGCATCACCTTCCTGATGCAGCTTAGAATCATGTGGGCAGCAGATGTAGTCATATGCTGACGCTTGTTCTTGTAATCGCTCCCACAGCGGACCTGCGGTGACACCAGCATGATGCTCTGCAGGTGCTTGTCAGTTCCATTCATTGAGGCCTCCAACCCTGCGCCATCACCCTTCTTCCAGTACGGCTCACTGTTCGGCGGCAGACCATCTTTCTTCCATTCCTTGCTGCTCCCAACGCTGAAAGGCACGACAAGCCCTCCAGCAAACTTGCATCCTCTTTAAAACGCATGACATCCAAAGAACTGCGCGATGTTGCAGTTCGAGGATCGACTCAGTAGGGGGGGTGCCTGATCAGGAAGTAGAGAGCAGCCCGTTCAACGTCTACTTGCAGCAAAGCTTCTTTCATCGTCTTCCCAAGCCAGTCCGAACTCCGGGTCCAGTCGGAAAAAGTACGACTGAAAGGACCTCAGACAAACTCGAACTAATGTTGAGGAAATTCGCAGACTTGACTGAGTTGAATCGTCTCCCGCTGTACTCAGAGCCACGTTTGCTGTTTTCCTTTGTTTCAACGTGTGGCCGCCAGATGAAAAGCATCCCGGTCGGAAAATGCAGTTACCTTATCAGAGGAAGTGATCAGGCGTGTGGGCAGGAGTACCTCTATGTCGACAATGTATGCCATGTATGCAAGTATGTTATGCGCACATGCCTTTCTGAGATCCCGGATGACAATCACATCCACATCAAACATGCCACCATGCTGCTGACCGGGCTGGTCGATCCATCACTAAAGGGCGCAGCGGCATCCTACCGGGAATACTGGAGTCTCTCAGGACTCACAACATAACGCCCTAATTTACAGGCAGCAGCGGCTTTTGCAGCGGTGCGTTGTTGCTCTTGGCCTTGTGGGGGAAGGGCTCCGGAAGCGCTCCAGAGAGGCGGCGCTTGAAGGCCTCAAGTGGTGCGAAAAGACAGGTCGAAGGCCAAGGCTGCCCAAAGGGAGGTGCTTTGCAGCCAGGTGGCGGAGGCAGCCTGCGCGGCCGAGAATTTGGTGTAGTCCAAGAAAACCTGCCCTGTGGAATCGGAACTTCGTGCTGTTTAAACTCTCACTTTCCTTTGTCTCACTTCGCGAACTCCAACGGCCTTTGAGTGACTTCAGACGGGCTTGCTCCCAGGCAAAGTTGGAGATGCTCTCCTCCGTGGGCAGGGTGGTCACGTCAATCTAACGCACTAAGTTCCCCCTATGTGCGTTGCGGGTGACCGAACCAGATGTCTATGCACGAGCATACATGCAGTCAGACAGACAGACAGACACAAACAAACAACCAAACACATGCGCACAAACGAGTCCCAGTGCACATGGAGCATGCTGTGCCGCGCCTCTCCAACCGGATCTTCGTCCAAGAATGTGTCCCTGATATGCGGCAACACACGGAGGTGAACATGTGATTGGTACGACTTGGTCCGGTGCATCTGACCTGTGAATTCATTCTGACTGACCTGTTGAAGCTAGATGGAAAAGTAATCTGAGCCAAGGTTCCGGTAGAAGGCATCAGAGCCACAGCAGCTTCCGCGGTCGCCTGCCAGCAGATGATGCTTGAGTGATTATCCCTCAAGACATTTTGCAGTCCGCATGCCTGCGATCGCAAATAGGCTGAAGAGAGGCAGCCAAGTCAAGAAGAAACATGATCGTGCACCCATGCCACCTTACTACTCCAGCTATTGCAGCTATTGACATGTGGGCCCCGCGACGCAATGGTGAACCCGCAGGCCACACGGACCCTGACTTGCAGGACCGCTGGGTCTTGAAATGCGAAAGGAGAAGGAAATCTAGGGCTTCAGAGCCTCATACCTCACCATGGTTTTCCTGCAAGCTCATTGTTTTGGGGCGTTGGACCCACAGCTCAAGATCCGGTTGCTCATGAGCCAGGGATTCTCGCGATTCCTGATGAAGCCACCCTGTGTGACCCGTCCCTGGCCTTGGCCTGGACAGTCAAGGTCGACCCTAACAATGCCTGAGAGGGCAGAATCCTGTCTGCAGGACATGCAAGACTCTTCGAGCTGAGAAGCACAGGCATGGTTTCGAACCTGAGGTCAAGGTCATCTGCCAAAGGGGAGAGACTTGAACCGGACCTGGGTCCCGGACCCATGTCGCCGCACTGTCAAAACGTAGAGGCATGGGATCACGGTCAATTCACGGGGCTCCGGGGCTATGCAAGAAAGGCCAAAGGGGGCTTACCAGTCATCTGCTACGTGCATGACGTGCAACAAGCGACGTTCACATCCAAATTGCTCGGCACATGTTGGATGACTTGGAAAGCTTTGTATATCAGGCTGCAGCATGTATAGCTGTGGGTGCGAGAGCAAGTCCTAGCTTGCAAGGGCATTCGAGCCAGACAGACTTTCGCCCCGAGCACGATTCCGGAACCGACAGCACAAATTCTCTCTGACTTGCCGGCCATATGAACGTAAGATGCTCCGGCTTTGGGTAGTCCCAAGATGAACACGGCCTCCAGTGTCGCTCGTGAACACTCCGAAGCTCAGCAAATCATGGCCCACCCTGATCCTCAGCGCCTCCACGGCATCGAGGTGCAGTCCACGAACAGACTCCTGTACCAACTCTGCTACTCACTCAAGCTTTCATCGTCCGTAATACGGAGAGTACTGACATATTGCGTCGGCTTGGCCTCGGCACTGACGAAGATGGGAGCCTCAACGACGGCGAGGGCAGGCAGATGCAGGCAGTGCGGAAATCCCAAATGTCAGGCTCGTGTAAGCACTGCGCAGATACACAGTAGCTGGACTCTCGGCAGCCGTTCAGTCTGTTCTACTTCCCTCATTGCCTCACGATAGAAGTCGCCCTCATCGATGTAGCCTCGCCTGCCGCAACCCGGCGACGTCAGAAGTGCCGTCTCCATGACCCAAGTAGTCGACATCTTACAGTGTCCTACAGTTCTCCGTCACTTCTTTCAGGAGAGGCGGCTGAGCACTCTAGATCCCTTAGCAACGGCGGGAGTTCACCGTGTTGGATCGGAGGCAACACACAGTGGAGGTTCCCTTTGCCATCAGACTATTTAGATCAAGCACTTCCTCCCAATCTTGGAACAGTCAGGTGAATTTGCGCACTTGGCGGCTAAGAAATGCGGGCATGTGCAGGCACGCCTCGTAGTTTCCCGAACGTCTAGAAGCCTGTTGGCGCTTCTCCAACCTTTCGCCTGATCACCCAAGCGTCTTTGACGGTGTCACATGCACATACTCTACAAGCATGGAGTACTTCCAGGCGATAACGCAGCATGTTACGCACAAAACCTGGCCGGTGAAGACGATGCTTTGCAGCGCATCGTTTCTTGTGCTCGTCTGGCCGTCTCTGGATATCGGAACTTGTCTCGTGCGTTTTCCGTGCACTCCGGCTGATGCTCGTTCGGCACATGTCAAATCATGGCAATTCAACGAAGGTCTCTGTGTCTTAAAGCGCAGCAACCAAAAATGGAAGCAGAAACATCATCGCCCAGTGGACTGCGCAGTAGTAGTACATCGGCACAGCCACATTCTGGAGTGTGTGCAGGCTCAGCAAGCCGTTATTGCTCAAGACTCGCTAGGTATGCCATCGACTCGGGTTTGGTCTCCTGTAATTGTGAAGTGTCCGTTGCTTCCGTTTCATTTCCAAATTTGACCGATCACCCCAGATTCAGCACTGCGATGTAATCCGCCCAATAAGCTCGGTGTACACAACATACGCGTGCGAACGTGTGCGAATGCCTTGGAAGTCGCAGATCCGGTGACAAAGCACAGAGCAGTGCAGAGCGATAAGTAATAGCTGTGCCACGGCTGCCAAGATGCCTCGCCCCTCTGCTTCGAAGCCTTCCCCGACACAGTTCGCGAATCAGGAAACAGCCTCGGCTTACTCTGAGCTGCGTGTGTCCTCAGATATGCGACATCGCTTTGTGAGACAACTGGTGGCGGAGAGAGACATGACTTTGTTCAGAGGGAAGGGTGCAGCGGACTGCGGAGAGTCCGAGATGGCTGGGATCCGCGAGCACACGAGCACCGCCGGCCGCCGTGACAAAGCAGAACGAACAAGCTTTGAGAATCATCGCAGGAAAGAGTACAGTAAGTACTGGACCGTGCTGGAGTTTTCAAATCGGCAGGTTTGCTGCAGTAGTGTGCATGTTTGGTTACACGGCTCGCTGCGTTCTGCTTGCATAGATGTGTATACCTATAGAAATAGAGAACTCTCCTCTCTGAATCAAAGTGATTCGGGATGTCGCACGGAATCACAATCTTCAGACGAGGTCAGAATTCAACCATTCGCAGTCTGCTGCCTGCAATCATTGCTGCTGCCTTGCTGGCACGCATGATCGGCATTGGCACTCTGTGAGACGTCTTTGCACCGCCGTAGCGTAAGTAGCACGATCGGATCCAAACTTATGTGCTGCTACGGAACAGTCGTGTAAGAGCATCTGCACCCGACCATCCGGCTGTCTGGAGGTCCTCAGCTCAGGAAAACGAGTGAGACGGTATGGTACACTGACCCGCGGCTCCAGGTGCAGCCGCCTCTTGGCCGACTCCCTACACGGGCAAATCGGCAAATCTCTTGCATCGCTCCTGCACCACGCTCTTCACCGTCTCCCCAGCATTCGGGCAAACGAAGACGAGGGCAGCCTGAACTGCCAGCAGGGTCAGGCCAAGGGAAAGAATCGAAGGACACTTGCCTGCGGCCGTAAAAGATCCAAAGCAGCACTGAGCCCTGCAGCGTGGCTGCCACTGAGAGGAACCTTCGACATGCCGTAAGTCCACTGCATGCATGTCAAGTTCACACTCTTCACGTTGTAGTTGCAAACGGAAAACTGCAGAATGCTCATGTATCAACGATGGTCGCCCTGACTGCACCGACTACTGGCATGCTCACTGGCCTGCCTTCCAAGTGAAATGCTGGATGCCGGCCTCAGCGCAGTTGGAACTTGTGCTGTGCAGCCGCAGTGCGGGTCTGCACCCCGAAATCCATCTTGCTTGAATTGTATTGGGCCGCGAACCGAACAGCAAACCGCAAGCTAAACGCCAGGAACCGTCCACCCACACCCAGAAACCGAGACGAAGCGAAATCAAACGTAGAATTTGGTGAGAGCATACGTCAGACACACGCCAGCACATCCAAGTGCAAATTACGTGCTCTCGAGTTCGCTTTTTGTTGGCCAAGCTTGAGCATAGAGTCTTGTGAAAAATCCCAGGAAATACTCCCGTAAGACCCAACGCAAACGACAGCGCGGTGCTTCCGGAAGTCCCGCTGTGCTGCAACGTCTACAAACGGTGTAATTTCAGTTAACACGCTGCACAGGTGAAATATGCGCGACGGTACCGGAACAGGTGGGGGCAGTCACGGTATGTCGGCTGCTCCGTGCACACGTCTGGCAAGCTCGAGTACTTCACGATTTTGTCAGCTAGTCTTGTCAAGTTGCTGGGAGTGCGCGATAAGCTTGCTTCTCCCGGGCCTCTTCATCCAACCTGAGATGCTGCGGTCAACAGCTAGATCAACGCGGCCCCTGACGGGAAACGAGGTCCGTCATGCGATCGTCTTCGGAGAGAGAGAGAGAGAGAGAGAGGAAACAACGTTGATGACCTGCAGACCTCACGTTTGCAATCCAAGACACGCTTGACGTTCTTCCTCATCATCCTAGTACCGACATCGGACTGTTCCAGCGTCGCGTGGCAAGATGTGCTGAAGATTTCGATGCACTGGTGTGACAGTGGCTCGCTCTGTTTCGGGCAATGTCCTAGCTCGCTGATGTTCGTGCTGCTCGGAGCGAGGGTCCCATGCACGGCTTCACTTTCATTCCAATGCGCGCTGTCAGTCCTCAGGAAACCCTGCTGAATCGCGTGCTTGGCATGCCTGCTTGAATTTGTGTTTCTTGATTCTTGATACTCTATGCATTTCTTGATCCAAGCTTAGCTTCTTTTCGGATGCTGATGCGTCTGTCAAACCCCCCATGCAGAACGCGTCCTCGATAACATCACGTGCTGCTGCGGCTGCCTTGCAGCAGCTATGCACACACACTATACGGCGCACGCTCTCATCCGGCCTCCAAACTGGCAGCGGAGCTGCGTTGCGGATCCTCATCTGGGAACAGGCAAGGCTTCATCGACAATCAATGGTGTCCAATCTGGACCAAGTTGCCAGTCGTGGCAGTGGGATCGGAAAGCGTTTGAGCTTGTCTTGCTTCAGCACTTTCTCTAACCTGTCCAAGTAGGCAGCAGCAGCGACAACCCCCCCCCATATGCAAACACAATGCTACGGATCGCTGACACCTCAGCCGGCTTGAGCGGTAAGCGGTGGCGGAGGCTGCCACCACTTGAAGCGTCTCTCGCTCGTTGTTCCTGACGTTCCACAGCTAAAGCCACAGACGTAGCGGAATGGCTCTGCTTAAACAGCCCCAGCGGCAGCAGTACTCTGCACACAAAGGACAAGGAACCTCATCAAACGCTTCACAAGCCCTTCTGCTGGCCACATCCCAGGATCTTGATACCTGTCTCGGACCATGGCCACCGAAACCAGAGGCAGGTAAAGTGTATGCTGTATGCCACTGCACGTATGGCAAAGGCCACCATGTTGCCACACTATCTGCAGCATGCCGCTTTCCCGTGCAATGGGTGTCGCTGCGGCACCGGCCTAGCCAGCTTCCTTCCAACGTATTTGCGCTTCGGCAAGAGCCTAACATGGACACGACGAGAAACCGTGCTCTTGAGCATGAACATCAAAGTCAATTAGAAGCCGACTTGTTAGCCAAGCAACTCATCCAACTCATCCAACACAAAAACCTTGCCGAAATGGCTGGGCTGCGGTGTGCCGTGTGATGTTGTCAGAGGCGAGGCCACCGAAAAGAATCAGAATGTGAAGCTTGCATGGCGTCTTTGCGTCCTGGCCTCTACCCGGCCCAGCAGGTCTTTGACTTCCTTCAGGGTGATGTCAATGTGAGGTCGTGAACACGCAATTGCACGACTTCGAAGCCAAATCATCCACATGCTCGAATATCTCCTGCTGTCTGAGGCACGCTGTGTTGCCGTTCGACAAGTTGCGAGTGGGCAAGTCTTCCGCAGTATCACTCTTTCTGCCATGGTTTCCCTGATGCTTCAGCAGTGATGTTGCACACGGAGCTATCTTGCTTGTGCTGTGGTTAGCATTTCTGCACTGACCAACCAATTGACTCTCATCTCATGCAACCATCTAAGCAAATCAAGTCTGCCCCGAATTAATCTATGCTAGTCTCACCGAGTCTTGCTTGACCTTCTCTACCTAGCCATCCATCCGCCTATCTGAGTGTGTCTGTATCCATGCGAGTATGTATGTATGTATGTTTGTTTGTTCATGAGTATTGTATGCATGCAGGTATGTGTTGGCATGAAAAAATCTGTGTATATATATATATATAGATATGTGTGTGTGTGTGTTTGTGTACAATAATGTATGTATGTAGATAGGTAGCTAGCCATACATGTGCTTGTATATGTGTTTGTTATATGTTTTATAATTTTTATGCATGTCCATGTACACACAGGTATAGACACGGAAATGCAAGCGTGTATGTACGTATGTGCCCATGTACATGCATGCGTGTGCATGTGTGTGTGTGTATGGCATGTATGTATGTGTATGCGTACGCGTATGCGTATACGCATGCCCAGGGGTGCGTGTGCGTAATTGTGCGTATGTGTGTATGTGTGTATGTGTGTATGCACAATGGGGGTGTACGCGTATGTGTGCACATATGTATGTGTATATGATTATGCATGTGATGGATATGGATACTTGTGGACATGGATGTATATGTACATGTATATGTTTATGTCTATGTTCATGCATATATAGGTATACTCACATGCGGACAGTACATGTGCATTGTGCTTACCACATACAGATGGACGTACGTACATACAAGCACCTGTACATATACACATATACACATATTACACGTGCAACCATCTACTCATAATATACACGTGTACGAATATGCACACATACATCCAAATATGTACACGTTAAAGATGTGCATTATCACCCGCATGCAGGTACCTGCTATTACTGCAGATGTATACAATTATCATCTACGGCTATATACAGCGGTGCATAAATGCCCCAATCTAAACGGATCTGAGCGGGTTGAAGAGCGGAGGGCAGATAACACGGCAAAGCTGGCACATCCCCCTTCTCCATCACATGGCCTCAAACGAATTTGAGCAGGCTTAAAGGGGCACCGCCTGCCACTGCTGGCACGAGGGGGCGCCCGGCAATGCTGACACACCTAAATATTTATACACGTAAGTACACATATAAAGCACAGCGCCTCGTAGTAGTAGCAGCAGCAGTAGTAGTAGTAGTAGTAGTAGTGGTAGTAGTAGTAGTAGTTGTTGTTGTAGTAGCAGTAGTGGCAGTGGCAGTGGCAGTGGCGGTGGTAGTGGTAGTGGTAGTGGTAGTGGTAGTGGTCGTGATCGTGGTAGTGGTACCGGTAGCGGTAGCGGCAGCGGTAGCGCTAGCTGTAGCCGTAGTGGTAGTGGTAGTGGTAGTGGTAGTGGTAGCAGCAGCAGTAGTAGTAGCAGTGGTAGTAGGAGTAGCAGTAGTAGTAGAAATAATAACGCAAATAATAAAAGTAGCACTTGCGGTAGCAGCAGCAGCAGCAGTACGTGGAGGAGTAGTAGTAGTAGTAGTAGTAGTAGTAGTAGTGGTAGTAGTAGTAGTAGTAGTACTAGTAGTGGTAGTAGTGTAGAAGTAAGACAGTACTGTACATACTGATTAAAATGGATGTGCCCAAAACAAATACGTTATCGTTCCCCCCCACACCGACCTCATACCGCCCACCCCGCCAGCAGGAACAGTGCTCAACAGCAGTGGCTGGTATTGGACTACGACAGCACGAAAGTACAGCAAATGATGTGCTCTTAAGCAGTGCTGTAAATGCCGAGTGAGATGGATGTTGTCGTAACATTGTTAAGAGCAAGTGTAATGTGGTTGGTAGGGGGGTACCTACTACTACTACTACTACTACTACTACTACTACTACTACTACTATTACTACTACTACTACTACTACTACTACTACTACTACTACTACTCCTGCTTCTGCTCCTGCTCCTGCTCCTGCTCCTGCTGCTGCTGCTGCTACTACTAGCCACCCCCCTTGCCTACCAACCACCTGGTGCCTAAACCCTGCCTAAACCCATCATCTTCGTTGGTATTGGACGACGATCGAAATCGACTTGTCGAGTTTGCAAACTCGAGCTTCGGGATGCTGGACTTGCTTTTTGGGTGGGGTGTTTAGGTAGGGGGGGTGATGACCACATTGATACGCAGACACTTCGAACAATATCTCCAGAAGAGCCGCTTTACTCGGCATTTACGGTACTTTCGTGATGTCGGGCCATTTTATAAAATCACCAAACCTACTTCTGGACGTTGCGAACTCGACCTTGGGATTTTGGAGGGCTTTCGGCAAAAACTCGAAACTGGTCGGGGGGAAGCTTTCGGAGATGATCACGACACTGTTTTGCGGACACCCCGAGCTAGCACGTTGTCTTTACAGCTTGGTTAGCCTTTCTTCGGCTGCATTTAACTTTAATGCGAAAAAATAACTCTTAACCTGGGGTGGAGGCAACCCTTAATTCGGGCCAGCTTAACCCTCAATTTGGGTGGCGTTAAACCCTAGTTTGGGTTGGGGTTGACCCTGATCTGGGCCAGCCTATGTGACCCTTAATTTGGAGCCGAGTTAATTAACCCTTAGTCCGTGGTGGAGTTAACCTTCATTCGGGTAGGTTGACGGTTGATTAAACTCCGGGTCAACAGTTGAGCTGGCACAAACAAGGGTCACCCCCACCCCGAAGAAGAGGTTGACTCGGCCGCAATTAAGGGTTAAGCTGGCCCAAATGAAGGGTAACTCCACCCCAAACTAAGATTAACTCCGCCCCAAATCAAAGGTTAAGCTGGCCGGAGCAAGTCTACCTGAAATTACGGTTTAACCAACCGAAAGTTAAGAGCTAACCATCTACAAAATGAAATACTCGTGGTGGCCAAGGGATATCACCTAAAGACACCGCATCGAAATCTGATAGATACTTATACTAACCCTGAACCCCTGAAACTAATGCTAATATTAACTAAAAGCCCTAAACACCTAAACCGATGCGCGTGTATGCGCTCGCAACCCTACATACTACCAACACTTATACACAGTTACGAAGACCAGTCCGAAACGCCTAAACCGATGCAAGCCCCGGGCCGCACAAAACGAATACGAATACTAACACCAATACTAACATGGATACAAATGCGATTACCAATGCTGACTACTAACCCTAAGCCGATGCGCGCCGCCGGGTGCACGTAATATTATAGTACCAAAACTAATGTTTATACAGCAAGAATACTCATCCTGCTACGAGTACCAACTACCGACTCTAAACCCGTAAACCGGTGCACGCGTAATACCAATCTTCCTACTCATACTCATACTACTACTGATACTAACCTGTAGCACTAATACTAATACTACTGCCAACACTAATACGAATACGACCTGTAACTGTGCTGACCCTAAATCACCTAACCCGATGCGCACCCCTGGCGAGCATAACCCGAAACCCTAAAAGCCCTCAACACGTCATACTAATACAAATACTCATACTATTACTGATACTAATACTGATACTCATACTGATACTAATACTGATACTAATACTAATACTAGGACGCGCTGGGCGCGTTTGCTCCGCAGTTTGTGGCGCTGACGGTCTGTTTGAAGAATGTTGTTGCTTTGCAAGGTGATTCTTGGGTTTCATGATGTTTGGTAGGAACATACGAAAACGCTGGCAAGCACGATGAAATTGTGATTCAACGAGACAGAGAATATACTGCAGGACAGGACAAACTGTTGCGATGTGATATTGTTTTAAACTATTTGGAAGCGTCGGTTCGGGAAGTCGAACTTTGGAGTTACGTTCGAAATGGGAATGCTTCGAGCAATTGCGCTGGACGGAAACCTTTATGTTGTGCTTGCACTGCCGTCACGGTGCCAGGCCGAGCCAGGACGTGTCTGTCAGGCCACGGCAGGGGAGACTTTGTCTTCACAGCACACTCTGTAGGCAACGACCGCGTCGATCGCACTTTGCAAGCCCGGCTCTTCATTGAGTGCGAACATCGCCAACGATGTTCTCAAGGACATTAAGATGCTGCCGAACAGCAGAAAGATGATCCTCCAAATCTGCGTCAGAAAAGGTGCAGAACCCAGTGCCATGCAAAGCACTGGGAACTGGCATGTGGCATCGCCGCAGAAGCAAAACGGCCGACAGGGCCACAGGAAGAAAAGGACTCGTGAAGCAGTTCGGCATCGCTGAAAAGAGAAAAACAGCTGCGGAGCGACGACGTTGAGAGCACTGTGTCACTGTAATACAAAGGTGCAGACGGTGACCGAAGGCTGAAGACGACTAGTGGCTGCTGAAGCCGAAGGTCACGGGCTGAAGACCATGACTTTACGATGTAGGGTTTGCAGGGCTTAAGCTCGAGGCCTCATCAGCAACATCATCGTCATTATCATCACGATCATCACCATCATGAGCATCATCATCAGCAGCATATCAGCAGCCATATCAGCAGCGTGGCCATGATGACGAAATAACATCATCATCTTGATCTGCAGGGCTCCAATCGTGAAGGTAATCATGACCCCCCCTCCACTCCCCACCCCAAATCAACAGAAGAAAGTGCGGGCAAACGTGCCCAACGCACCCCAATACTAGTACTAATACTGAGCCCCACCCGGGACTCTGCGGGACTCCGCTGCACACTCTGACTCCTTTTTGGCGCAATTTAAGGCTTGTTTCTCATGGTATTGGAGCCATCTAATTCGAGCCCAATGCACGCCCAGGAGACTCCGCGGCAGACTCTGGCTCGTTTCTGGCACGGTTTAGGGCTTGTTTCTAGTTTCTAGTGGTATCGGAGAAATCTAATTCGAGCACAATGCATGCCCAACCCCCCTCCAGCCCCACCCGGGTCCGCGGGACTCCACGGCACACTCTGGCTCTTTTCTGGCGCGGTTTAGGGCTTGAAAGTGTGGCATTCATTGGAGTAATCTGATTCGAGCCCAATGCATGCCCAACCCGTCTCCAGCCCCACTCGGGACTACGCGGCACACTGTGGCTCCTTTTCGGCGCGCTTTAGGGCTTGTTTTTAGTGGTACTGGAGTAAACTTTGGTTCAAAGGTCAGGGTCGAGGGTTTCAGGCTTGAAGTCAAAGTCGCTTCGCCACAAACCTCCCCCAAACCTAACTTTCCGGGGTTGGCGGCACTGGCGGCAGCCATTAAAAAACCGCTGCTAACCGACTTATTATGCAGTTGCGTACCGTCAAGTACAGGCTCATACAGTTAAGTACAGTTGAAAACAGCTACGTGCAACAAAATAGCCAAGGAAGCACCACACATGCAAATGCATCTGTAAATAAAAATGCGGTAACCGTAACAAAATCTGCACATCATCTACATGTCTGTGCATGTGAACCTTTTTACATACTGGCGTATAGACCATAATGACATACAGACAGGTAGATAAAGACAGACAGAGACAGGAAATACATAGAGATAAAGACAGGTCAATGCACATTCATACAGCTTTATACATGTACGCAGCAATATCCACTTCTACTGTCATATTTTGGCATATGCGCATATACAGTTTTTGCACAAAGGACAATTACTTGCATGCATGTGTCCGTTTGGCTCCTGCGGTTTTCTGATCCCCCCGCCAAACGGTGTCCCCCCCCCCCAAACAAAGGTCCACGTACCGGCCATGGCGTCAAACCCGTCGCTCCACGGGGGGCGCGTCCTGACGCTTTGTTCAGCCAACCTGAGAGAGCTGCATCGCCTCACAGAGGGGGAGGCCGGGTATACCAGGGGGTCGGACGAATGCAGCCAAATGCAGCTACATAACGTTGTGTACAGCCATATGCATGTGTAGTGTTTTCCATATATACATACACATGCATGTGCATATATATATATATATGATATCATATATATATATATATGTACAATATCATATCATATATCATATATACAGGTCTGCACAGTGAGACAACTACGTGTATCTCTAAACGTCTGTACCGTTCTGACATCAAAACGTACTCTGTTTGCTGCACAGAAGATGGATCCGTCCGATGCAGAGGTCCTCAGCATCCTCGTGGTCGAAAACGTCTAACAAGTCCTCAGTTTCCAAATCATGTCAACTCCTACGTAGTTCACTGCCTCCCGGAGGCCATCACTTTGCAACAACGCACACTTGTTCATCATACTTTTGCATTTCCAGCTTGTTTCTTGTGCAATCCAAGAATCAGAAGGCGTGGCAACGATGACAGAAGCATCCATCAAATTCCACCAGGAAGTACGTGCTGAGAGAGTTGCTAATGCCAGAATGCCTGGCAAGTTACGATCTTTGCGCAGGCAGCATGCCATCACGACAGGAGAGTTTCGGCCATTAATCAGCAAGTATCTCAGGCAAACCTCCAAGAGTGGAACCTCGATGGGGTGCATCTCCCTCTCTCTCTCTCTCTCTCTCTCTGGCCTCTCCCTTTCTTTCCCCAGGCCTGAGGGCCCCCGCGGGAGCTGCCCGACTGTTGGCTGTATGGTTTTACGGGCAGTAGGTGTCAGTGTCTCCACCGCAAAGCTCCGCCGGTGGCCTCTCCCTCCGTGTTGCAGCACTTTGGGGGGGAAGCTACAAGCAGTAGGTATATGAAGAAAGAGGAAACTTCGCTAACTCAAGTGTTTTATCCCTGTTGATTCGTCCTGGCGAGATCCAACGAAATCCGACAAAATAACATGCATGAATGTGCGGGCAGTCATTCAACCACGCGGACATTTATGATTCAAAGCTGGCATCACTTCCGATTGGGATCAAGCCAAGACGCAGCTTTGAAAGCAAGACAGAATACAGGGATTCAAGTCAAACAGATTAAGTCCTTGGTCCGCTGTGATAGGAAGAAGTCTGGGAGCTTCGCCGGGAGGAGGTGCATCACTCAACAGTTCCACAACTCAATAGCATCCGACATTAGCATCTGCTTCGACATGAAGGTGTCGGTCAGATACTGCTCTTACAAATAGTACAGGCAGTCCACCGACACAGAGATGCCAAGATGAGCTCCAACAGTTTACAGTTGCACTCTGCGCTGATTGTCTGCAGACTTTCAGGCTTCTTTGTCTCTTCTGCTCCCTCTTTCTTTCTCTCCACCTACCGATGTCAGCCGCTCAAAACTGCAAAGTCGTTCTCTGTCGGCAGTGTGCTCCCGAGCAGTGGAAAGACTGGTATGGCTCTCGAAACATGTGTTCGACATAGTATGAGTCTATGCTCAGACAGCAAGGATCTATGTCGGATCAACGGCCTTGGCAGTGCTCCTCAGCCTCAGCCAAGGTCTGGATTGCCAGCTCCCTGGAGGAAGCCGAGGAAGCGAGGGAAGGAGGGAGAGAGGGGAGGGGAAAGCCTGCCGTACTGAGTATTGCCTAAAGACCGGACACGCGAACTGTTCCCTTCAGCCCTGGATCTGGAGCCTCGTCGGTGTCAGGATCATCACAGAGCTGGGACCTGTCCAGATCGAGTGCAAGACTACAGGATCCGACAAGGGGCTGCAGCACACCGTCGCATCTGAGTACTGTCAGAGCCTGTGCTGGTTCCATCGCTGTCCTGACAGCAAAACAGATAAAACAGCAGCACGGTCAAAGAGGTTGCTCTGGGCCCGGTATCGAAACTAGTCCTCGTCGGCTTCTCGGGCACGCTGCAGTGCGGGCAGCAAGTAGGCCAACGTTTTGCCCGAGCCTTCCGGGATTGACGAGCTTGCACGCTCAAAGTGGGACCTCCCCTGCTCTGCGTCTCTGCCACAGTCTCAGAGACATCTCTTCTCATGCTTTTCGTGAAGCACACCTGACCGAAAGCGCACACGCGCCTGTTTCGGAGATCAGGACCTTAACGTGACACGGGCACGCAAGCGAATTGTGTATTATCATCGAATCGAAACTTCAGTGCTACGCCGCTACGCGATGCAGGCCGCCAGCACACCAATTAGGTGCGGTGTATGGCGGGTTTCGGACTTTGCGAGCGAATGCGACGGCTTTTGGAGTGCCCCTAGGCACTGCTCAGATAGGCTGGAACAGTAGGCTTAGCAGGTTCAACGTCATGGGTATGGGGTGGAACAATGGAATTGCGCACTCTCATGCAAGTTGAGCAGGGTACACACATTTTTTGAAGTTCTCATCGAGAATTATCGAAGTCGCTTCTGATCGGATCGCCGTCCAAAGTAGATGGTTAGCTCATTTGCCTGTCGAAGATGTTCGCGCAGACCAAAATCTGCCATTGATTGGATGAAGGTGCACTCCAATTCAGCATCGCTACTTCTGGCAACATGCTACAGCTCGAACCAATGCCGCACGCCGGCCCGGAGATAAAACGAAGTTTCTCAGCGCAAAACACATGCACTATGTACACATTACACTTGCATCCGCGAGACTGCATGCTTCCCGGAGCTGATGTGCGGTAGCGCCAGCGCCTGTATGGGGCCTGGCATAGTTGCAAGGACCCTTAGCGAAGGCAGTCCTCACGAAGGTCCGACCGAGGGGCTCGGTGCACTGATCTGATGTTCCAGGAGCGCTCGTCGTGACTCCATGGGCAAGGCAGGCAGAAGCTCCTTCATGCAACAGCCCTCTAGCAGCTAGCATGTCGACACAGAGGAAATGGAAGCGCAGTTTTGTCCTCGATGGCGACGTTGCCGACGTCCGCGGCAACCTTGTCCTTCCATCTGTGTACTATGCCTATGTCGGACTGGCCTCAAGAATTCCGTGTTCAACACGCATGCAATGCTCCCTCGCTTAAACCGTGAGGCTCGAAACACTAAACTGATGCAACCACATGAAAAGCTCAAGCCGCGTGCCTCCATCACTTGTCGTGGAGCCAAGAAAACACTTGTGGAGCACGAGCCCAATGCCAATAATGCTGCCTGTGCAGAAACTTGCTGCTGGTGATCCCAGACGCCAGACGTATGGCACATGATTTAAATGAGGGAACCACCTATACAATAGAGAGAGTGAAACGTTTGAATACCCTGGAGTGTGCTTTTCTAACTGTTGCACCTGCAAGCGTAAGTAACTCAGGCTCTGTTGCTTCGTGCTGCAAAAAACACGACAGCAACCGCTTCGATTGCCGTGTCACAAGCTTATGTAACGACAGAGGCCGACTGCAATCCGGATGCTCCCACACAGACCGCGAAAGTCGACATGCGTCTCCTGCAAGCAATGCAGCTTCAATAAGAAAGATGCACGAACCTATCCCCTCTATTACACGTCATCGAAACAATAGCGAGGTTTTTTCCAATCACCATCCGCTACACAAGTGCTGTCCAGTCTCCCCTTTTGTTGAAGATGGCCGTACCCACTCACGGTCACGACCGGTCACGTGCATCCGGAGGATGACAAACTACTGACAAACTGCTTCGAGCGAAGGCCCGGGAAGCACCAGAAACAAAGAAAGTGCATGGAGTTATCAGCTGTCCGCCCAGAGCTCCTGCTGCATGCCGCAGTGACACTCCGGGCTCATTTTACGTGGCAGAAAGATGCGCCGGTGCGCATCATCGACAGCATCACGGGCCCAGATGTCACACAAGAAAGCCAGCATCATGAGCATCAGGGGCCCTACGCTTCCCTAAAGCTACCTCTTTCCAACTGCGATTGGCCACTGTTGGCCACCTGCTTTTGGAGCACGGGAGATAGGTCGGAAAGCTCGAAGCCCCATCAAAAGGGGCATGAGTGAATATCGTCAAGAGCTGCATGGTAGGCCTTGCGAGATCTGTGGGGAGATGGCTGCAGTCGCGAAGTCCAAGTGAAAACTGAAACCGGTAAGGAAAAATGGAAGAGACGTTGCAAGAACCGTTGGCTTAACTGGAAAGATGAGGCTGAGTGATAAATGCCTCGAAGCTCAAAGGATCTACATGGGAATCTACAGTATTATTGCAAGGATGAATGACAGAAGACTTCGGTAAGTGCACAGAAGAGGTGGACGACGTTGGCGCACCCACATTGGCAGAGAATACGAAAGGCTGCACCATCGGCTCCTGGCTCTGCTTGCCGACTTGCTACCACAGAACTCGAGCACCTGGAGACGTTTGAGCGTGAGCCCGGGCTCGACGCCACGTGCTCACAGTTTTGCAACATGCTACGTCACTGTTACGAAGCAAGGTGGCAAAGCCTGCCGGAAGCCATGCTGGCGACAGGTACTTTGCATGGCGAACTTTGGTGGGGAGTCGCAATTAGGCGGTGTGAGTGTGTGTACATGTGTGCATATGGGTAGGTCTTTGAGTCGGTGAGCTGGGTGGATGTGTTCGTCTCTCGCTGCTTCTGAGCCGCGTTAACTTCCAGTCTAACGGTGACCGGCGCAGTCTAACTGCTAGTCTAACTCCTCTGCTCGCACCCAGGAGCAATTGGCAGTCTAGACGTACATTTGTTGCTTCAACAAGCTGGGCCACGATCCTGGTCAAATCTTGTGCATGGCATGGCATGGAGTGAATGTGGATCATGCAAGTGCTGAGTGGAGTCTCACACATTGAACACTGCTACGCTTGTTTGTTGAAGTAATACTAGCATCAACTGCAACACGGGAACTTCAACTGAAACAGCTCAATGATGCGAGGGTATGGCAGATGCTGAAGCCATGTCAATGCGTTGCTTGCAAGTCTGCTCCTTGCCACTTTCGAGGCCGGGAAAGCTTCGGTTCTCGTGAGCATCATGGCTTTGGAGCAGAAAAACAAGTCTTGCAAGTTCGAGCTGCATCTCGATCTACATGCCCGTGTTATCCAAAACTGTGTCGGACGGGGGCCAACTCTTCACATGTCCTCCCGCCAACAGCTGTTTCGAAGATTGTTGTAAGACTGGAATCAGGGTTCAATGCCGAGTCGCCTACATGCTTATGCCCAAACAGCTGGCTTTGTCAACATGCAGTGCCCAAGGTACCTCTACAGTGGTGGAGCCTCTGCCAAGACATCGGCTCCTAGCCCTAAACGATGTGGTGACGTGGACTGCAGCAACAGCAATGCCTTCCTCGATGCACGTGCACCCCCAAGCCCAGCCGAAGTCAGGCCGAATTCCACATGCACAACACCTGATCGAGCATCTAGCCTCGAAACAACTGGAACCAGGACTCCACAGCATTGCGGTTTCGCTGCGCCAATCATGTCGCTTCCAGAGCTCTCAGAGGACTCGTCGCAAAACCTTGCCATGCAGAAACACATGAGCAACATGCAGCTCGTGCAAATCGCGGCGAATCACGCCATGCAGAAAGACAGGCAGACTGACAAAGAAAGATCTGGCATTCGATGGCATTCGCGTGATTCAGAAGCAACGGGCAGGGATGGGCAATCGCAACCCATACACAAGTTGCATACGACTCAGGCGTACTGCAGGATCAACAAGTCCAGGGCGTGTGAACTTCGTACAACTCAGACGCAGCGGGTGCACAAACGTAATACGTAAGTGGCATTAGCGTCGTGGCGCGTGTGGGAGGAAAGGGCAGAGATCCGGCCATCGTACGGTCCATAAGCGGCTATGCACGGGCAACACGCAACTTAGATACAAGTTGTGGAGCATGTACAGCATAAACATATATGAATAGGATATAGAGACAGAGAGACAGAGAAAAACGGAGATGGAGAGAGAGAGAGAGAGAGAGAGAGCCAGTGACATGGAACAAGAGAGAGAGAGAGAGAGAAGAGAGAGCGTCAGACACAGACACAAAGAGAGAGACAGAGAGAGAGAGAGAGCGAGTGAGACCGACAGAGGGAGAGAAAATGTTTACTGTATGCATGTATGTACATATGTAGGTATGTAATGTATAGAGGACTTCGCACGATACTAGGAGCAATCCGACCGGCACCCAGGCAGAAGACGTCACAAGATGCAACGACTCACACACAAGTTGCGGCGCGCGACGAGAGGCAGGCAGAGAGATCGCACAAATCATAACCAGGAGTGGAAAGACTGAATTTCCAAGTTCCCGGAAGATGAGCCTTTACAGAATCCTGCAACACCTTCGTCGTCGCAAGCTGTCTCAAACACGCAGCTACTGACTACTAGCTTTGTCGGCACACGGTTGTTGTGATCTTTGAGCAGAAAGGCGTTCAGCATTTAATGGAGAGCCGCTAAGTTGCTATGCATCGATTCAGCGTTCAAGCGTCGCGAAGAATTGGCTGACGGTCCGTACTGGAAGCGACGTCCTTCCACACTGTCGTGCAGTTGGGCGAAGGGCCGCAGCATGTCAGTCCGAATGAGACAAGCGTGGCCGATTGACCCCACAACGCTCTCCTCAGGGCCTGACTGGGAGTTTCAAGCGCTTGCTGAGCTAACAGTACGGGATCAAAATGCTCGTGTTGCATTCGTCACCATTCGCCTCTGTTTTGCCGGGGCCCTTGCTCGGCTGAAAGCCTCGCCACAAACGTCTTCGCGCAGGCCGAGCCATAGAGTCCAGGAGTAAAGTGTCTCCTTGCTTCGCAGCTTCCACAGGTTCTTGATGCGTTGACCCTTACATGGCTGAAGGCCACTGAAACATGACCTGTCACCCTCAAACTTACTATATGCAACGCAAGACCACCACTCCTGGTCTGCAAACATCTCCACGATGTTCCTGGCTCAGCTTTCAAACAGCGGCAGATATAAAGCGGGATTTCTGTTCCGATTTGTGATTACTGTTGACCATTCAAAGCGCAGTTCAACGAATTTCAAAAGACTTGCGGCCGTCGACAGTAGGCCTGGCTCATTCCAATCCCAACGTTGACGAAACGAGCCCACATGGCTTTGGGGGACATGCACAGTGAGAAGCCATGAAACCGCTTCTACAACGGCTGGTCACGTGCGTGGTCTGACAGTCATACACTTAATTCTGGATGCCTACGAGTACGACTTGAAAGGAAGCAATCCCTGCAATGGCAAGCTGCTCATGGAATCTCATGGAACCCGACAGATCTTGCGACAGATGGGCACGGAAAAACTCTGGCTTTCCACCACCTTCTCAGGCTTGCCGTGCCTCACGAAGCGCGTAGGGCTGCGAGTTGTGTCCTGAGGCTCAATGACCTGGGCAATCAAGCGCTGGTATCAGCCGGTGTCAGCACATTACAGGAACATCTCATCTGCAGTCATGCTGTACCTTGATACGTGCTTTGCTTAGCGGGAAAGTCTGTGCGAGCTTTTCACAACATGGTGTAAGTAGGCCAACCACTGGAGAGGCACCATCGAAGACCGGAATACTGCGTAGATTGATGAAGAGCCTCGTGTGAAAGAAAACTTCAGCATCTCGACAACTTGGCATCCACGAGAAGAAGACTGCTTGCCGTTGAAAACTGAAGCCTTCCTGCCTGCACAATGACACTGCAACAATCTCCAATACAGGCGTGCCTGTCACCATCATCATCTAGCAGCTGGCTGATCTGCCAGTCTCTCCGTCCTGTAGATACCCACATTTCGCATGGTACATGAAAAATGGCATTCCAACTCTCTTTTGGCTGAGCTGAGCGGCTGAAGCGCATTGACAGGTCCAATGCGATGTCGATGAGGGATCTGCAATTTGCACGTACACGAACGCACACATTCTCTCGCTCCAGGTGTGCCATCGCTATGGTCTGGCAATGTCAGCACCATGGACAAGAACCGGAAGAATAAGAAGTTGAACATTGCGGGATGCTTCCACTGAATCGAACTTTGCTTCCATGCCAACACCAAAACAGAGACTAGGTCGCAACACTTTCGCACAGGCAACCGTGAGCCATTTCAATGACAACAGTTTACGGGGCTTCATGGCTGTTGCCGACTCTTGTTTTGGAATTTGGGGTGGAAGTGGGTACGGGATGCTGCGGGGCGGCGCCAGACCTGTGCTCATGGGTTTCAATTGCCGCCTTTTCGAAGGGAGGTTCGACTTTCCGCAGGGAAGTTTGACACGCGGGAGGGATCTTTCTGTGCGGCTCGAAGAGCGGACCCGAGTTCGACAGGCGCTCTTCTTTTCATTGCTTTCTCGCGTTGGTCTTGCAGTTCTTTCTCATATCCACAGCATGACCCAGTAGATAAACGAACAGGACGGGTGAAGAGAGACCCCAGCATGGTACAAGTGCAAACGCCAACGGTTGACGCATTGGGCGGCCTGCCGCGAATCCGCACGCTCAGATGTCGAGTGGAGGCAAGGTTGGCAACTGCCTGCAGGCATCGGGCAGCAGCGGCTTCTCACGCCAACGGCCTCGAAGCTTTCCCATGGCTGCCTGACCGTGACCTGGACCATCACGCATCGGAACAATCAAGCTGAGCTTCACCTCCAGGAAACACAAGAACTCTCAGGGATCTCGTGGCATCTCCCACTACATGGCCTGAGCAAGGTTCGCCGCCGAGCTGAGGGCAGAGGCAAGAGCTGCCTAAGATGTGGCCACATCAACTTGCAGTGACTGCACTGAGGTGTGAGATACATACCACCAGAAGGTGATCAGTGGGAATTCCGGTCACTCCGGCGGCCGCCTCTACAGCGACTTGGGACCGTCGCATGTCGCATGCGCCAAGCAAGAGGTCGGGCCTCCAAGATCCGACCAGCATTTGGCAAAAGCTTCACATAGTGATCGTATCCTGGCCGTCGCAGAATGCTGAAAAACATGCCCGGTGCCGCAGGAGCATTGCGCATGCTCTGCCTCGCTTTCTGGGCGGGCAACCATTGTGGGCCAGATCCAAACGGTCGTCCAAGCCTCGCTGAGTCTGTGCAAGGGAGCTCTTTCTTGACTCCTGTCCCACCCCTACGAACCTTCAATGAGCTCTGGCAGCAGTGCGGTGCTCAAGCGGGCCTGGCGGACAACTCCCGCCAGCCGCAGAAGGGAATTGTGGACAGATTCATGCATGTCGTGTCCATGCATTATAATCTCTTCAAAAGCGATGTCCTCCTGCTAACTAAGTGTGCATGCAGATCACCGCCCGCACAGCGGCATATCGCGGCAGCGTGCGCTGCCTGTGCGATCTGGAGGCCGTCGGGTGCTGGCGGCAGCGCAGACCGAGCCAAGGCGGCCCTGGCCGAAGCCTCCGCGCAACTTCTCCGCTCTGCGCTCTGGTGTCACTGCGACGCGATGTGACTGCGACAGGTGCAGCAGTAGAGTTCGAGAGTTCCACAAGCTCACACCTCCAAATCACCGCCGTCGCCGTTGCTCTCACGTGCTGCATCGTGCAGTGCCAGCCTCACGAGGTGCTCATCACACGTCGTCACACACCATCACACACCCATACAATGAAGCTCAGGTCGTTACAAGTCCGCAACCAGTGGGACGATGCTAGCTGCATCTGTCCTCATGAAAGCAGCACGATGCATCCTGATGCATCCCTATCCACACCGAGTGACTCTTCCGGCGTTGCAGGCTGGGTCTAAGCCGTAGGCACTGCATGATTGACCGCCTCAGCAGGCTGAGATTGGTCGCAACTCGCACCGTCTGAAAGTGGTTTTGCTTGGTCAGCGGGAAACGGGCTGAAAGCGCGGGAGGGTCGGCTTGCCCCTAGACCCTCATCTAATCTACACTTGCCAAAGAAAGAGAAGCAAAAAAGAAGAAACAACTGATACCACCAATGGAACAAATTACGACAAACGGACATAAAGGTTTATGGCTTGCATGTACAAGTAGATGTATGTAGATGTATGAATGTGTACATGAAAACTGTACATGGACATGTTTATGTATATCTATATATGGTGATAAATACATGCATATGTACTTGCATGTGTACGCATGTATATGTATGTGTATGTGTGTAAATGTACGTATGTAAGTATGTACGTTTGTATGTGTTGGAGTATGGTATATGTAAATGTAGATGTATACATAAAGGTAGATGTAGATATTTATGTGCATGTATGTATGTGCATGAACATCTACATGCACGTGTACTGGTACATGTAGAGGTAGATGCAAATGTAATTATATGTACATGTATATGTATATGTGTATGTAAATGTATATGCATATGATACGTGCATGTATATTATGTGTATGTGTATGTGCATGTATACGTATATGTATACGTATACGTATATGTTTATGTCGATGTATATGTCTATGTTAATATGTCATGCATATGTATATGTATATGCATATGTATATGTATATGTACATGTATATGCATATGTATATGTATATGGACATATATGTACATGTATGTACATGCATGTGCATGTATGTATATGCATGTATATGTCTGTACATGTATGTGTAAGTATGTACATGCATGTAAAAGTAATTTTATGTAGCATATGTATGTATACGTGTGCGTGTGTAGGTATATGTAACTATATGTACGTACATATACGCACATATACGCACATGTATGTATATGTATGTATATGTGTGCATATGTAACTACATGTATGTACATGTATGTACATGTGTGTATACGTATGTATTTGTATGTATATGTATGTATATGTATATTTATGTATGTATAATTATGTATGTATATGTGACAGAATATGTACGTATATGTATGTACATGTATGTGTGTGTGTAATTTTATGTATGTACATGTATGTGTATGTATGCAAATGTATGTATGCGTAATTATACGTATGCACATGTAAGCATATGTATGCACACGTATGTATATTATGTACGTATATGTATGTAGGTCTAGAACCTTTGTCTATGCTTATACAGTATGATACGTTAAAACTACCAGTCACTACATTCAAACCGTGCTTGTCATTAAAACCTTTCGGTAGACTGATGATGGTCAACCAAGTAACATATTTGCTTGGCTTTAACGTGCTGAGAGTGGATTGTTAATGTTGAACGTCAAACATAATCCGCTTGCTCCTCCACACGCAGCGTTACAAGGTCTTCGCATAGACATTCTGCCTACTCCCATCGAAGTCAGCCCGGGCTCAAAACCGTGCCAATGGCAGTCAACGTAAACTAAATTCGCTTTGGGAACTCACATTTGCTCAACAAGGGGGTCTGGTCATGCATCGCCGGACAAGAGCTGGCTGCTGGAAGAACTTTCTGACGAACCGGAGCTGGGAGGCGAGGCGGTAGTTCTGAAGGAGGCAAGTGGCTGCCGACATCACGATCCCAGGTCCTGGCTTTGCACGATGTAAGAGAGTGCCTGGAGCAGCTTGCTAAAGCGAGTTCTGAATGTAGCCGGGGGTCAGGGCCACAATCTTTGCTCAAGCATTTCCCGATAAAGGGCCTGGATAAACGTCTGCACCAACTGCGGGTAATCAACTCCAAGAGCTTGGTGACGAATCGCCGCTTTCCGAGTCTTCGGCTCCAAGACAGCAGGATGCTGTCTTTCTGTTCCCCAACGTCGCTTGGAAGCACAAGATCTTTCCGAAAAGCAGCAAAAATTTCACCAACACGAACCAATCCACCAACAGCTGGAGCCAGGATGCCTGCGACGTCCAGACACAACAAAGCGAGCAGGTAATTACCAGAGCTAAACATCTAAGACTTGCCAAGGCATAGCTTGACTTGATGATGCACATGCGGTTGGAAGGCAACGTCCCACGCAGATTGAAGACCACGACGGAGCCGAGGGCACAGGGAGCCGATTGCACAAGGGCTAGGCTTGCCTTCACGCACAACCTCACCAGGAAGACACCTAGCGCCCTCAAAGTCCTTTATTTAAGATGCCGAGGCTTGGCTAGCGTGTCTTAGGCGGTGGCAACTTTGTTTTGTGGGATCCCATCGCCTCGCTGCGCCTGCTCTGAACGGCGTCTATTTCCTTGATGTAGGAGAGACAAGTCGGTCAAGGGCTGCGAGGCCAAAAGCACGAAGCCTCGGGTTTGGGCTTGGGAAGTCACTGGGTCGTACCTGACAACATCGTCGGCGGATGTCGGCGGCCAGAGCCCACAAGGGCTCCATCCTCGTCCTCCTCAACTGTCCCAACCTCCACCTGCCTGCGAACCTCCCTGCCGAATAAGTAAGCTGCCATCGCGCTGCCGCAAGCAAGCCCCCCACACCTCCAAGAATAGGCACAAAGGTGGAGCTGCGAGGGGGCACGGAAGGCCGCTCGAGAAGTAGGCCCGGCCAAGAAATCCACATTCCGAAGGTTCAGGGAAGGAATGCCCGGAGGTGCGAACAAACACTCGGCACTCACCTTCCGTCGGGAACCCGTGACAGATTTTGGCACATCCCTCCAAGCGCCCTGCGTACAACTTGAACTTGCCGAAAGTAGTAAAGACTCGAACAGTAAATCTCCCTTGCGGCGAAGCACCCGTGAAAGCGATTGCGAACAGTGATGCTAGGGCTGGCATTCGGGTAGTCAAAAAGTCCCCGGTACACGGCGCAAGCCTGCAGTCCTGCGTTCCAGGTCCGGGGCGCCCGAGGATGGCGGTCCGGTTCCCAATCTGAAAAGGATGCACAGGGCCGAGGTTAGCAGCAGGGAGGTCCCGAGCTGCACCTTGCACAGAAGAAGAGAGGGCAAGGCCGAGCGAGCAGAGGTGGCACCCTCCTCAACTGGCTCCACAAGTTTCCATACCTCACAGCTTTCCGGAAGTTACTGAAGGGCACCCCGCAAAAACTCAACCGCTGACCTGATGGTCTGAAGCAAATTGCCGCTACTCATGCAAGTGCCCTCGGAAGCGCAAGGATCGAGGGCGAGGCACAGAGGAAAGCGTTTCCGAAGGTGAGGGGGCGCGGACGGCTTGGTGCGCCGAAAGCACATCATACGAGGCTGACCTGAATAACCACAAGGCCAGCGGCCAGGAGGAATACCAAAAAGGGTGACAGCGCACAAAACAAGGGAGAGGACCAAGACCGACCCCGAGCAATGGGCTGGACACCCTAAACTCCTAAACCCCAGCAGTCATTACTGGAGCCCTGGAGTACAAAGCCCAACAATTGGGCCACCCTCATCTTTGAGCCACGGCATCCGGCATCCACGACTTCACATTCAGATTTATTATGTCAAGCCTAGCAGTCCAAACGTTGTTCTATACGCACCTGAACTCTCGGGCTGCGGCCACGTGCAAATACGCAAGGTCCTCAAAACGTGATGGGCAGGCCATGTCTGACACCAACGTTCAAGCACGTTCTACCACTATCGACTTCTCCTTCTTTCGAACAAGCTCGGATAAGTTGCTTTTTATTGAACGGTACGAGCCCTAGAACAATCCATCCACTCACGACTCGAAAAGTAGTCCTGGACAGGCCCTGTGTGTGTGGGAGTAAAGCCATTCAGCCCCAAGCCCACATCAGCCCGATCCTGGGAAAGACGTACTCCGCTGAACGAATAAACCACTCTTGCGAACTTGAAGGCCGCCCTACCAATCCCCAGCCTTACCCATGGTACAGTTGACCGCCTTGACCTCAGTAACCTGGTTGTTCGGGTTCGGATATCCTACATTCGAGATCGCAAATGTCATAACCTCAGGTAGGCGTGAGCTTCAGCGGAGACCAGAAAGAGCAAAGCAAACATACAATCCTTCGTGCAAACAAGCAAAAGGAAAGCATAGAGAACCATGCACTTACCCTTGTAGCTCCTTGCCAACGCTCGACACGCTCTTCAACAGAAGGACCTCCGAGTGAAAAGACGATTCAGCTTCTGGGATGACCCATGGAAGAGCTCAGGAAGATCGGCGCAAACTGTTCCGAGTCAAAACGTCCCAGACTAAGCCCGCAGCGGAAATAGATGCAGGTGGCTTGAACCCTCTGGACCGCGCCTGCAGCAGCCGCAATGTCACTGTCTGCATGCATGTCAAGCCTTGTCAACCAGGACCCATCTCCGGGCTGATGGCTACAGCATGCTGCGGCTACGGCGGCTACAGAGGTAATGAGTGACTGGCACGGCAAGTTCAAGGCAACACGGCAGCTTTGACTGCCAAAACGTCAATATGACTCAACTCTGGTTGACGCCCAGCCTTCAGCCAAGCTGCATGGTGCCTCAATGTTAATCTGTCCATGCGAAGCCGCATAGAATTCGGTGTCTCTGTGAGACCCCGGCAGGTCTGCTTCCGTCTCGAAGCAAAGCCACTCAAAGTTCGCAGTCTGTGGGCAGTGCTTTCCATCAAGGATGGCTTACAAGGACTTCGGCTGGAACAACTCAAACCTGCTTGGTGTGCACTCTGCATTTGGCCGAGCCTCTTCCATCCTCGGTCAAATTTAGGAAACGAAATCCCTAGGTGTCAGCAATCGCCAAGCTCACTGGAAAAAACCTAGACATGCAGGACCCCGGACCCACCAGCTTGGCAGAGTGGAGGGCCCCCAGAAGCCGGAGACGTAGCCACTCTCGGCCTCGGAGGATGCTGCTGCCCCAACGCATGCTCCTGCATGCCCTGCTGTGTCGACTCTACCAGGCTCGCGACCATGCTGCTAACAGGCCTTTTCCGGCCCCGGTGCTCAGTGACGGCCCACGGCCCACCTGAAGCTCGGAGATGCTTCGAGGCTCGGCAAAATCGAACAATGCCTGCCTCGGGCACACCGAGAAGGGCTCGCAGCACCACCAACACCGAAGCAGCGCCAAGGCCTTGGACCGCCCAGCTGCGAGCGCGGCCAGCATCAGTCGTACTACCTCTTGTTCTTCTTGCACTAGTACTCGTACTGCAAGTGCCAGAATAGAAGCACTCCTGCTCCTAGTACTGCTTGCACTACTACTGGCACCACTACTGTACTCTGGGAACGGTTGTGAACAAACAACCACCTGCCAACGTTGAATCATGTTGGACCGGGCTTGTGCTGAATTCTCGGGACGAAACTTCTTGGGCATGAACCCCAAGCCCTAAACCAGATGTTGGTGAGCCAACGAGCCAACCCCAAGCCACAAAAGGATACGTCGGCAAATCCAAACCCACAAGGAGATAGTGGAGAGCCAACCCGAAACCCTAGAAAAGCAGATGCAGCGAGCCAACCCCAAACCGTGACAGGGTATGTTGGCCACCCCAACCTCTCTAACAGCAGATGTTGGTACCAGAATCCGTCCCGAACCATAAAAAGAGGCGCATGCCTGAGCTGGATATGTTTATTATGGTGTTCCAGTAAACTGCGCTGCCGGTGCGCCGTCGCCAAAATCGCTGCTACCAGATCCTAGGAGCTCCGCCATCGCCCGTGTCAGACGCGGCAAGGCTGCGTATCACATGTTGTAGCATTGGGAGGATGAGGCATGATAAGCTGAGAGGGCTAGCCGATGGAAAGGCCAAGGTTTTGCGTTCTTACCGAGGAAACGAAGTTGAAGCCATCGACAAACAAAGTCTCACCACCAGCATCACGTCACTCCAAGAAACCGGAATGTATTTCAGCATGCAGTGTCATGGTGGTAGAGGCTTCCGTGGCTGCCTTACGGTAAGCCCGTGTGGTGCATGTTGAAGAATCATGTGATATTCCCAGCTTGACTCATGAGCATTGCCCGGACATGGACGGCGACAGGAACCCAAAAGCACGCAGTAGGAGGCCGGCACATGCTTGCTGTGATTTCATCACCAGCGAGGCGGTAGGGAGCGGCCTTGTCACCAGAGATCTCATGTGACAATTGCACGAAGCCACTCACAACCAAATGCACTCTGACTCTTCGTCAATCTTCGTCTTCGACAGATGTATATGTAGCTTCTCAGCTCCAACAAGTCGTGAACCAAAAACCATACTAAATAGTAGAGCAGAGTAAGAGCTTTGCATAAACGTTCGCCTGACACGCACCGACAAGCAAGTCCCGCTCCGTCGACGAAGTGAGCTTACTGACAAGTTTCTGCCAAGGCCTTGTAGCTGGGGTGGCCGGTATTCTGGTTGTTGCCTAGTTCCGCATTTAAGTCCCCCACCACTATGTGCATGCTCGTGGCCGTATCCACGCCCATAGCTATGTCTACTTCCTGACGAACAGCGACGCACTAGTGGGTGCATACACACAACATTAAAAAAAAACTTCTCCACCCATCCTTAGGCATCTGTATGGCCGCCACTCGAACCGAGCGAGCATAAAGCACCCCACCACCCGAGTGCCACCAGGCATGCCATGTCTCGGACATCGAGAAGCCAACCCTTCCCGCCACCACGAGAAACCTGTTTTGACCTGCATGCCTGAAGAGTCTGGGGTCAAAATTGTCGTTTTTTTTTTGTGTCAAAATGTTTTTTTTGCCTGTTGTTCTACATACACATGTTTCGGCTGTGATTCTAAGCTTTACGGTTCAGGTTTAGGGATTAAGGTTAAGGGCTTAGGAGGGTTTAGGGTTTCAGACTTGAAGCTTTACGGTTTAGCGTTTAGGGTTTGGGTCTAAGGTTTAGGGTTTAGGGTTCTGGTTTAGGGTTTGGGTGTCGGGTTTCCGGTTTGGGCTTTGGGTCTAAGGTTTAGGGCTTAGGGTTCTGGTTTAGGGTTAAGGACTTGATTCTAAGGTTTAGGGGTTTAGGCATAGGGCTTAGGGTTCAGGATTTACGCTTGGCCGAGACTCCGCCGAGACCCGGCCGAGACCCTTTTTCGGGGTTCGCCAGGGTTTAGGGATTAGGGTTAACGGCTTAGGAGGGTTTAAGGTTTTAGAGTTGAAGCTTTACGGTTTAGGGTTTAGGGTTGTGGTTTAGGGTTTGGGCTTTGGGTGTAAGGTTTAGGGTTTAGGGTTCTGGTTTAGGGTTAAGGACTTGGTTGTAAGGTTTAGGGGTTTAGGGTTAAAGGTTTAGGACATAGGGCTTAGGGTTCAGGATTTACGCTTGGCCGAGACTCGGCCGAGACCCGGCCGAGACCCGGATTTAGGGTTCGCCAGGGTTTAGGGATTAGGGTTAAGGGCTTACGAGGGTTTAGGGTTTAGGGTTTTGGGTTGTGCTCTAGGGTTTAGGGTTAGGGTTTGGGAGTAAGGTTTAGGGTTTAAGGTTCTGGTTTAGGGTTTAGGGTTTGGGTGTAGGGTTTAGGGTTTAGGGTTGTGGTTTAGGGTTAAGGACTTGGTTGTAACGTTTAGGGGTTTAGGGTTAAGGGTTTAGGATAGGGCTTAGGGTTCAGGATTTACGCTTGGCCGAGACTCTGCCGAGACCCGGCCGAGACCCTTTTTCGAGGTTCGCCAGGGTTTAGGGATTAGGGTTAACGGCTTAGGAGGGTTTAAGGTTTTAGAGTTGAAGCTTTACGGTTTAGGGTTTAGGGTTGTGGTTTAGGGTTTGGGCTTTGGGTCTAAGGTTTAGGGTTTAGGGTTCTGGTTTAGGGTTAAGGACTTGGTTGTAAGGTTTAGGGGTTTAGGGTTAAGGGTTTAGGACATAGGGCTTAGGGTTCAGGATTTACGCTTGGCCGAGACTCCGCCGAGACCCGGCCGAGACCCGGATTTAGGGTTCGCCAGGGTTTAGGGATTAGGGTTAAGGGCTTACGAGGGTTTAGGGTTTAGGGTTTTGGGTTGTGCTCTAGGGTTTAGGGTTTGGGCTTTGGGAGTAAGGTTTATGGTTTAAGGTTCTGGTTTAGGGTTTAGGGTTTGGGTGTAGGGTTTAGGGTTTAGGGAGGAATGTCATCGTGGCCGTGGTCATGGTTGTCGTCTCGTCGTCGTCGTGGCCCCAGGGTTTCAGGGGGTTTAGGGGGTTGTGGAGTTTAGGGTAGTAGGAATAGGGATTAGGATTTAGAATTTGGAGTTAGCCGAGACTCGGCCGAGACGTGGCCGAGACAAGGATTTAGGGTTTAGGGGGTTTCGGTGTTTCGGGGATTTCGGTGGTTTAGGACGTTCAGGGGGTATAGTGAGTTTAAGGGGCATATGCAATGCGTGAGCGGGTTTATAATTTGGCCTAAGCCTGAAATGATGTCCTCTGTCGTGGCCGCCTCACACTGGCCGTGACATGGCCGAGACAATGCAATGTGTGAGCGGGTTTCTAATTTGGCCTAGGCCTGAACAGATGTCCTGTGTCGTAGACGGCTCACCATGGCCGTGACATGGCCGAGACATGGCCGAGACATTGGAATGTGTAAGCCGAGACGTCAACTGAGACATACCGTGACATGGCCGAGACAATGCAATGTGTGAGCGGGTTTCTAATTTGGCCTAGGCCTGAACAGATGTCCTGTGTCGTAGGCGCCTCACCATGGCCGTGACATGGCCGAGACATGGCCGAGACATTGGAATGTGTAAGCCGAGACGTCAACTGAGACATAAAAAAAGCCATTTTGACACAAAAAAAACAAAAAGGATACGCGACCCTGCCTGAACCTGCAAACGAGTCCTGATCCGTTCAAGTATTTTGAGCTCCTGATCAATGTCGCCTGCCTCTGCCCCCAACCTCGTGTGTTCCATGTAGCTATGTAGCTATATGCATGTGTGCTCGGAGCTGCTTCGCAGCGCCGACGCCTTAGCCGCTGGACAATCACGCGTGTTGGGATGGACTTCATCTGATACAGACGACGTTGTGTATGTGCCAAACGACGATTTAACTGCCTTCGCCTACATCTGCCATTCCTGTCCATAGTTTTGACTGTTAGAGATAACGTAGAGTTCAGCTGTTGAGCGACTTGATCTTGGCTAAAGCTCGGCTCAAGTTCGTTCTTTTGCAACTGGGTTTTACCACAAGACGCCATGGCACCGAATGCTGTTGGCTTGGCCGCCGGCTATCTCCACGTCATCGCGACGGTTGTAGACAGCTGGTTGCCCAAGTGGCTGGACTCCTCTGGGGCACTTGAGCACCCAGGGTCCCCTTCTACCGAGTCTGAGGGAGCTCCTCCGAACAGTGGCCCCTCTACCTCGGAAGAAGGTGATCCACCTCAAAAGTTCTTCTCCTTTCTCGGAAGCGAGTTGGGTTTCCGGGTAATTTTCGGGTGGTCCCCATCCGGGGTCTTCTCCACCCCGTCCACAACTGGCGCCCTTCGTACCGAAGGCGGCTGGGGTGGATTCGCCATTGACGCTATGGGATTGCTCTGTTTTGGAGCTTACTGGCCAGCAGTTGGTTGGACCCTCTCCTTCATGCTCGTGGTGGTTGTCCTGGCGCTCCTCGTTTGGGTGCTGCATAGCTTCGAGTGGTGGTGCTGCTGCTGCTGCCGCCAATGCCTGAAGCGCAGAGGTTCATCCTCCTCGCCAGCTCCGCAGCTCGATCTCCCGCCAGCTCGGGTGGTTTCTGGTTATCAGGCAATCACAATGCATGGTCCTCTTGGGACGCTGCCTGCCGACACAGAGTACTACCAGAAGGAGGTTCGAGGACGTGGAAATGGCAGGAAACCTCACGATCTCATCCTCAAGTTGGACTCTGGTGTAGCTCGTATCCAGGTGGACTGGACTCAGCGAAATCGGCTTGACCGCTCCGGTCTATGGGTGAAGCCCTCCAAGGTGCTCGGAGTAACCTCCAGGAAGACCCGGGAGGAGCTGGAGAAAGCGGATTGGGTCCATCTCTGCAGAAACGCAGAATGTACACAGCCCGGACTTCACTATGGACAATTCTCCGCATGTGATGCAGAAGCCCTGGTGGACCTCGGTGCCTATGCCCGCCTCTCTGGATGGCGAGTCCTTGTCCTCCTTGGACGAGGATGCCTCAAAGGAAGGGCGTGCTGCCGAAGATGTTTCTGCCGTGGTTGCTCCAACCGAAGATCGCGGTCCACATCAACCCCTCGCCAGATTGAAGAGCAAGGAGTTCTGCGAGCATTGGATCCGGATTCTGAGTCTGAGGCGGAAGTTACCCCAGACCCATGCGAGGCCATCTTGATTGGTCTGGAACTCCAAGGGAAGGTTCGCGCCCTGGCACCTGAAGGATGTGAGGACCGAGCTGCTTCCGAAGGAACCCGTCTCCTGGACCAGGACGTCGAGCTCTCCGATGTTGGCGGACGAGATGTGGCACGGCTATGCAACCATCACAGTCAGATCTATCTCCTCTCTTGCCAGGGTAGAAAGTGTAGCGTAGTCTCTTGCTTTTCAAAGATTCATGGTGCCCATAGGGGAACCCCCTTGTGCCGAAAGCATTTAGCTGAAACCGGGCGTAGCAACAGCCCGGCAGCGTCAGGGCCAGGGAAAGGTTCAGGCGCGCCTAAGAGCAACACTGCTCTGGTCCCGGCAATGAGAAGATCCCACTCCGCCGACCCCTCGGCCGCCCCCAGAGTATCTTTTGATCTTACTCCGGGAGGCGGACCGGGCTTGCAGCCAGTAGTTAGTCCTGCTGAGTTTGAAAGTCCCTCTCGGCTAGAGAGGCTGTCCCATCCGGAGGCTGGTTCACCTGTGCTCGTTCGCCTTTGCCCTTTCTTTGGGCAAGGGAAGTCTCGCAACTGGTACCTTTTCCTGGGAAGGATCGAGGGAGCTGCGCCTGATGGCCGGCGTTCGGAGCGCTGCCAAGTCCACGTCCACAGCTTGGATGCGCACGTGAGTTTTCCATGGCATGTGGTCACACCACCTCCGTCCACCGACTCACAAGGACGATATCCCAAGGTCTGGCTTCAGGAGTTCCTCCATGAACCACCCCAGGAACTCGTGAGGCGAGGTGTAAATATGCAGGCCGCTCATCTTGCGCCCGGAGCCTGGGAGTGGGTGCATCAGTGGGATGGGAAAAGAGTGGCCCAAAAGGGTGAGCTCCCTACCT